ATTGGCATTGTCATTGCTCCCTCTCCAACTTCTTTGCCTTCTCAGTTGCCGATGTTTCGCATTGTGAAATGGAGCCTTAAATGAGTTTTCAGTTGACTTCGTATTGGTCTTCTTGTCTTGTCTCCACCACCTCCCCCTCCACCTCCTACTCCTCCTTCCCTTCTACACTACAACCCTTTCCTACTGCTTCGTCGTCACATTTATCAGACAGCATTCAGATTGAAAGCCTTCGTCTGAGTTTTGATTGAGAACCCTTTTAGGCATCTTCATGTTGCCATTAAGAGAACGATTATTTAAAAGACTGAATAAAATGCATTTATTGAAATGCTTCTTGCATTTTGCTTGGACTATGAAAAAATGCTTTTCTAAAGCAGAATACGAATTTTACGAATTAATGCAGAAAACATTTTGCTTCCACAAAAGATACAGAAAGACTTCAATAACTTTGTGCAAATATGAAACAAGTGCTTTTTAATCGTGCTTTTGAGCTCGACTTTGATACTTAATTGAATGCATGCTAAATTATATCCTCAAAAATTGCCCATAAGGACAAGACAAAACTTTCCTCAGCTACAACTTTATCAAAACTCAACCGATTTTCAAAAACCAAGGCTTTTTAATCATGTTTTGATCCCTAGAATTATATTACATTCAAAGTTGAAAACGCTATTTCAAGTCGAAATTCATTAACAAAATTGTAACTTTTAACTATAGCCAATGGAAATTTTGAATAGCTTCACCAATTTAAACTAAAATTCAGCGAAATTAGACAACTCTTTTGGTGGGTTATCGCAAGAGTTTTTCTGGCTGGTTGCCAAACGGATTCTTGTATGATTTCAGTGGCAGGCAACTTGGCAGATTGGTCCTGAAATATAACCAGCCCATTGGCAATTGCAGCTCCTTTAGGAATTGGTCAAAGGCACACTCAGGCAGACGGACCGACAGCAGCTGTTATTTCTTATTATATCCGCACGAGAATCTCAATTAACATAACTCACCTAACCAATGGCCAAAGTGTGTGTTGCCATAAACTAAACTGCGCCCGCATTGTCGCCCGGATAGCACCGAAACTCTGAACTGCCTCCCTATATATCTGGGAGCTTCCTGTGCCGAATCGGAATCCAAAGCAGTATTCAGGTCTGGTGGCCATCTACTCGGCTCATTGTCAAACTGGAAATTGTGTTCATAAATCAGAAACTGTCGCACATGTGTGACACTTCCCACTACCCACTAAAAACACACACAAACCCCGCCTTCATCCCCCTTATAGCCTACCAACGTTTATTGTATTGTCATTTTGCTGCGCTCGTTGGATTTTCGGGTGTTGCGTTGGGCACACTACTATTTGTGTGGCCGTATGGCGTAATTAGATTTCGGGGCTACTCGGCCTGACCACGAAAACGGGAAGTGGCAGACAATTAAGGCAGTAGCAGTAGCAGCAACAGCAACAGCAACAACAACAGCAGCAGCCTCTCCAAGCTGGCAATGAAGGAAGCATTCAACGGCTCAATTAAAATTTACAAAACTGATCGCATCGATATTGAGCGCTTCAATAAAACCGCCAGCCATTTCCTCCTAGCCAAATGACCAACTGTCCAAGATAGAAAAATAATACAAAAAACAAAAATGAAACGATACCATTTAGCGGCAATTAGCAATTAATCGAAAATGTGGCGACTAGTCTGGTCGGGTCTGGTCTCATTGTCAAAAGTGGAGCACGTTCATTCGTTAAGCGACATGTGCAACATATTAAATTGTACGCACTTTAAGCGCCAGCGTCAACATTAACACATTTTTGGTCACAAAATGTCGACCCCAGTTCCTCATGGATGTGAATTTTTGTTTTTTGCTTTGCTGTCATGCATTAGTCTCTTAGAGAAGAAACAGGAGGGGGTTGAGGGAGGGGAACTGCGTCTTCGTTGTCATCTCAGTTACCATGGCTCAGTCTCAGTCACTTTGTTAGTTGGTTAAACTTCCGCACCAGGAGAGAAGACGACGACGACTGCATCCGCATGCAACTTTCTGTGTGAGATTTCCGCCTATTGCAGCTGCAACTGCCACCCTGCCTACGCTCAAAGGGGGCGTGGGTTGGAGAGGACACATGGGGGCACTGGAGCTATCAGCAGCAGCTTACTTCTTGCCATCATTGTGTGTGCTGTGTCTTGAATTTATTGCGAGATTGTAAATCTGCCACGATTACTGCAATTATGTGGCCACTTTTGAGCCTGAGCACACAATCGCCCTCTGGCGTTCAGAGCTCAAATTGTGGGAGGGTTTGCAATAGAAAGACTGTGAGCAGTTAAGAAATCTCAAGAAATAGAATATAGTTTTATGTCTTGAAAAAACATAGATTTCTGTCTATTTTGAAAGAAAAACTGCAACTTTGTTTTCGTCACTAGAATTCACAGCTTATCGAAATATTTATCCATCAAAATCTAATAATGTGTATATATATATTATACAATTTGGGAAAATCAACGATTACAATTCAATTGAGGTGAAATCCAATGTATTTAAAATTGCTGCAATTTTATTTAGTAGTAATAAAATCGTAGTATAATATTGTAATCGATTTAGCGATAGCTCTGCCAGCTTTTACCCGCTTTTGATAGGTATGTAGTACTATATCTCTTATAGAAGATTAACCAATAACTCAGCTAGATTATAGCCCCCTTAGGTATCCACACCACTGACCTGGCTATAAATCTTCAGCTAATAAGTCAATTTCAATTGCAGCGACTGCCACAAACCGCTCCTCAAACCCACTCCATAAGAGTCATGTGAAAGTATTGGCTACCCCACTCCAACAACTACCCCCCGCTTTGGATATCATAATCGACTTTATTTCGGCGCCAAATCTTGCACTAATCGTTGCAGTCGCGCCGCAGATGCGCCGACACCGATAACTCCAGCCAGAAATCCCCAACCTCGGAGCAGTTTCAGAGCCACAGGCACTAATAAAAATAATCTGTCAGCTACTTCATCTGCGGCAGCACGTGCGTGACTGCAACGACGACGTCAACTGCGCTGCGCTGCTTGCAACGTGTTGGCTGTGGCTCGTTGTAATTTACGTGGATGTTGCCAGTTGCCAGTTGCAAGTTGCCAGTTGCATAATGGTTGAACTTTCACATGGCGCGCGCTTGTGCCAATTGTTGTTATCCAATTGCCAGCCAGCACTCAAAATTCTTCCTATAAATCATGTAATCAGACATGATTAGGGTGTCTACTTATTCGTGTAGGAAGTGCGTGCAACTTGTGGCAATTAACAAATTAATTATACAACCTCAACGGCAAAGCTCAGCCAAAATGCATTAAAAAACCGCGTAAATATCTATTATTTTTTATCTCTTGATGCTGGTCATAAACAACATTAGCCGCAGTCATAACAAAAACAACAGCAACAACAATAACAACTGGTCGCACATTGCAAAGTTTATGGTCAAAAGTTTGCAGGCACTTGGCCAGAGACATGGCCAAAAATGCGACTCGCAGTTGTTGCCAATGGCCAAAAGACAAATATAAACGGCAGGCAGGCGAAAAATGCAGGCAATAAACAAATGCCGAGATAGAAGCAAAAGCAAGTCGACTACTGAATGTCCTTTTAGAATTGGGTAAAATGAAAATGACCTCGATCTTTTTATATTATTGAAAATTTGCATAATTTCATAAATAGTTCTCTCTCAATTCGATTACTTTAAATGGCAGAAACTGGCATTTATCATTATACTTTAATTAGATTTAAGTCAACTGAATATCAGCTCCATTTTTATTTATTAAAGAAATATGTTAGTTAAGTGATTCAAACAAATAAAAGAAACTCCATTAAATACCAACATTTAAAAATTTAAGTAAGACACTTAAATTGTTTTTACATAAAATAATAATGTCTTTATTTAATTAACAGAGATTTGCTGTGTGTCAGATTTATTTTGCACAACAAACTAAAAGCCGGAATCGATTTACGGAACACATAACTTTAAATTAACTCGACTTAATAATGTAAAACCTATTAATAAATGCATTAAATTTTAAATTAAAATAGGAAATGCTTAAGAAGAAACTTAATTTTCGTGACAAATGATTTATATTTTCTAAAAAGTGAAAGATTTCATGCATATGCATTTCTATTATATCTGGGAATTGTATTAGCAATTCGGAAATGCTTGCCACAATGCCAGATCTCATCGCCATTTAATGTGATGCACTCTGCTTAATAACTCAAAAACAACAGAAATTAAATGTAAAATGCAATAGTAACTAAAACAACAACTACGTCCACAACAAACACAACAACAACGACATCGACAACAACAACAACAACGGCGACGACAGCGACAACTTTTTGAAAAAACGGAAAAACTGGCTGGGGATCTTAGAGAAAATTTCGACGCTGCAAGCACACACAAAACTGAAGTGGCGCGAAAATTTGAGGCACAGTTGCAAGAGCAGCGCGCAAGCGTGCGGTTTTTCCTCCAGTTTTGAGCAGGCAGCGCCCGAAAGTAAACAAAAGAAGACTCAACTCAAATTAAAAGTCGCATTAAATAAATGAGAAACGAACGAAGTGGCGGCAACGACGGACCAACTTTATACAAAGCTCAATGCTAAAGTTAAATTAAATAGACAAAGTTTGCTTTTTGCAAATGTGCAGCAAAAAAATAAGAAATAAAGAAAGAAGCACATTGAACAATATTATTTTCAAAAACTGTATAATAAATGTTGAAACGTGACGCTAAACGCAGATAACGATAACAAATTTAAAATACTAAATTAATGAATGCAAATGCAACTAACCGAAATTAAATAGATTCACCGATTTTATAGTAATATTAAAAATAAACAAGTTGAAATAATCTCTATAAAATAAAGAAAAAAGCAACAAAATAAGCGCAAAACAATTTATTTTGTTCTCAGGGCATCAGAAACTCAAATAAGCGCTTAAGTATTTAGCATTTAAACGATTATTAAAATTAAAAAAGTGAGCAAAAAATACAGCAGCAACAACTGCCACATCGTTAAACGTGGCAACAACAGCTCGAACCCTCATTTGTCGCACTTCCGACGTGCCGCAGCGAGCGAAGCGACAAAAGTCGCACGCAAAACGCGTGGAAAGAAAATGGCAAGAAACGCGATAAGAGACAGCGGCCTCATGTGCATGGTAAGTGTGAGAGGGTCAGCGATAACTATCACAGAGTATGCATATGCATAAATAAAAGGAAGTTGGGCATGGGGCATGCAACTACTGCAGCAACAAACTGCAATTGAGGCGTGAAATCGACAAGGGTCCGAGAAAATGGCCACTGTCGAAAATGTCGAAATTATACGGCTGCAAATATCTGCAGATGATGCGCGCTTTTCCGCTACAGGTTTTCGCCCAACAAGTGCTTCGGTGGAAGTGCCGTTATGGGTGGCCGGAAACTGACGTTTCATGCATGTATAAATTATTTCAATTTAATTCACCCACCACACGGAAGCCTTTCCCCATCTGTCGGGCACTTGAACTTCAATTAGCTGGGAAAAATGTCTATAAAAATATATAAAATCATAAAACAAATATGTATATTCGAAATGCATTCCTTTTCATTCCTTCATTCATGCCAGTGCATTCATTTCATTCGCTTCGAGTGTTGCGCAAGTTTTCGCATATGGCATTTGCTTTTATGACCTCGAACCCCGCTCATAAAAATGTTCACGGTTATCTAACCACACCACACAGACGACGGTCCATCTAAAAAAGTTGCCACTGCCAGTGCAAAAAGCTGAGAAAAAAAAAGGAAAAAAAAATTGAAACATTTGCCAATTGCAATCGAAACTGGAAATTTGCAATTTAAATGGATGGAAACTTTGGGGCAATTTCCAGCATTTCTTTTGTACACTTTCTCACTGCGCATTTCCTTGTGTGTTGGCCTCGGTTCCTGCACCACTATACAGAAGCCCGCAGACTGAGACTAACTGAGACACACTCATTCCCTTGCACATCCAGCTCTCCCCATCCTCCCACTGTTTTCTCTAACAGCCTTTTATGTGCATTGAACTTGACTTTGGTTTTTCGTTACGTACAGCAATACAAACATGAAAGCATACAAAAAATAGGAAAACTGGTTCTGAGTGCAGGCCAACAACGAACTCTGCTGCACTCGCCCCTCCTAGTCTCTTGGCTCGCATGGCCAGCAACAATTAGCCAAGTTTTGCCCTTGGTCTGGCCCAATTTTCTTCAACTGTCTTGCAACGTTTTTCCGCCTTGTTGGCCACAGCAAGTTGCAGCAGTAAAAACAACTAACAATTTGCAAGTGGCATTAAAGCAACACAACAAAAACAATTGCAACAACAAGTTAATGAAAACGCCTGCACACACTTCGTGGTTGCAGCTAAAACAAACAAACAAAATCCAATTGCTCGCAAAATTTCATGAGAAAATTTCTGCAAATGCTAAAAAGATCCTATCTAGTTCAAAAGACTATTGAAAACCTATAAGAAAAAACCTTGGATCAAAGTTCATATTATAAAGGAATTGTTAACTTTTGAAAACTTAATCTATTAAAAACCCACAAACTAAAACTAGCGTAAAAACTTGAATATAAAATCATAAACTGGTCATTTCAGTTTGTAAAAAGATGTAATAAGGATTTAATTTGTAGATTCTTGAAGGATTTTTCTTCTCAAAAACCATTAAAGCAATAGCCATAAGCAAAGATGTCACAAATCTTTAGACGCTCCATGAGGCCATAAAAAATGGTTTACTAGTTTTCGCCGCACTTTTCAACTCGTAAAAACAACGTAGCAACAATTACTTGGTCAAAACCAGCACCAACAACAACAAAATCAACTGAGAATAGCAACAATTTTTTATTGAAGTTTTCTATTGAATTTTAAAATTGCCCGCGCGTGGCTTAAATAAAATGGAAAGACATTTCCTTAGCCCAAGCAACAACGACAACAACAGCAACAACAACAACTTTTTGCCACTAGCCCATAAGACCAAAGTGTTAAATAGAAAGCACATAAAATTTTATGTAGTGAAGAGTGGGTATAAGGACTGAGCTACTGACAGCAGCTAACTGCAAGGATAACTGGTGCATACAACAAGTGGAAAGCAGGGCTCAAGTTGCCTCGAACAGGTAGGCGTATTAGGCACACCGGGGAGGGTTGTGGAGAGTTGGAGGTTGGAGGCTGTGTGTGTGTGTGTCGACTGCACGCTGGCTGCTGTAAAGTTCATAAAAATTCACTCAGGCGCAGTTTTAACGGCCGTTAAATGTTTACGCGGTTGCATTTTTAACGACTGTTGACAGTTCATTTGGATTTGGATCGCAGGGCTTAGTTAAATGGCCATTGACTATGCGACATAAAACTACATGCATATTTTGCAGCTGACTTTGTGGGCTTAAAGAACGTACAATTATAAAACAGTGAGAAGATTTGTGTGTAATATATTTAGTTATTTATAAATGCTGAGTTACTATACGAAGTATCAATTAAAACAGTTAAAATAAACCATGAATATGTTATTAAATATTCATTTATTTCAAAGAATTCCAAAGCCCAATCAATCTGTTTATTCCTTACTCTGCCAAGTCACATTCAAATCAGGTAATTGTAATATTTACCTCATTTGATACAACCTTATAGATTATTTCATTTACAAACATTCTGATTGCTTTATTTCATCAAAGTTAGTCCCAATGGCTGCCTGGCCGACATTGCATAATCAGAGATAATGTCGATACCATAATTGGACTTATATAAGCTGGCGAGTAAATCAAATCAAGGCAATTCAATGCTGGCCAATGGTTAAAAGTACACAAACTGGTCAATAAGTTTAATGACCATAAAAGCAATGACACGCCACAAGTTCAACAACGTTGTTGGCGTGAAAGTGGAACCAGACACATAAGCTGAACATGAATGAGCATGCCTTTTTGGCATGCCACACAGAGGAGATGGAGCGGGCGGTGGTAGCGTGGGGTAACTGTGAATTGGGTGCCCCGTGGTGGCAAGTGAACCGCTAAACGATCAATGGTTACAACGCGTGCGCAACGGGTTTACAATGCAACCGAGAATTGAGAGTCGAGTTGCAGTTGCAATAGCTTCCGTCCAAATGTGGCAAGCACTTGGCCGGTTGAAAGTGAAAGTGGACAAAAGCGGCTGAAGCAGGTGGACAGCTTATTGACTTATTTATGGTCTGAGCGCTTTAACATCAACATTAATATTTTATTAAACAAAGTAAAGTTGCTTGATCCCACAAATTAAACCTTAACATGGCATTTAATCATTTGGAGAAGCATGTATACAACTCTCTGTCTCTTTCTTGCAGCTGCTGTTTGCCTTTGGCTTGCATATCACACTGAGTAAAGCAGCAGATAATTGGCAACGCTTTCCCACACTCGAAACATTCGTCAGCTATGAGGTAAGTATTCAAACAATGATTACATTAAAATAGTTATGTTTGTCGATTCAATGTAGACCTTTTGCCGCTTGCCATGACTGTGTTTCTTTACTTTGCCTACCTCTATTTTCATTACCGGTCGATATGGCTTCTGTTTGCCTCGCTTCTGTTGCACTCGCGACACAAAATTATAATTTTTTATATTAATAGTAAGTTAATCAATATTCTGTGAAATTTACAAATGTATAATATTCGAAAAGGAAATAATGATAATTGAAACTAATGGGGAACGAAACTAAATTAATCTTCTCTTGTCTTCTCTTAAGGACATGCAACGTTATTTTGATCAGCGCAACTTCCGCAGCATGCGGCACATCGAGAATCCCAACGATGACAGCTATTTGGACGCCTTCAATCAGTACAACGAACAGCCAGCGAATCCCACGCAGACTGCAAATGTCCGCACCAAACGGGCGGAGCGTCAATTGCCCAGTGCTCCGCGCATGTTGCGCTTCGATCTCAGCGATGCCGTGGAGCCTAGCCAGGAATTGAAGCAGTTACTCCGCCAGTATCAGCAGCGTGCGCTTCAGCCAGCTCCCGCTCCTGCACGTGCTCTAACTCCAGCTCCAACAGCTCCATCAGCTCCAGTTGCTGCTCCCAGCAGCACTGCAAAGCCTAGCAACAAACGATCTCGGAAACCGCGTCGCTTGCGCAGATCAACTTTGAATCAACAGCCGGCCAATTTCAAGGTGGAAATGATTCCCTTCGAGGCGACAGATGCCCGCGAACCGGATGCCATCACAGCACAGCATATCCAGCGTGCCAGGGCATTGGATTTGCAAAGGGAACCAGCTCCGACTGAAGTGCACCCATCCGCCAAGCAGCCCAAGCGCAAATCTAAGCGCGCCAAGCGCTCAGCTCCGCTGCAGTTGGTCAAATTTGAGCTGGCGGATGCAAAGACATCTCTGCCAGCTTCGCTACAGCGCACTGGGAAAAATCTAAGCCCAACCAGTCAGCTCACGATGGAAGCGAATCAGAATCAGCATCAAAATCGAACCACAACCCAAACAAGCCAAGAGGAGAATATGCTGATGTCCGGTGAATCTGCAGCAGAGTCCAAACGCCTTTATGTCTACAAGGAGGCGCCAATCAAAGCCAAGAAGTCGATCAGCACACTACCCCACGAGGTGCAAAAGGTCATCTCGCATATAATCAAGGATGGTAACGGTGGCAAGGCTTACATCAAATATCTGACACCCCAAAAGGTAGACTACGAGCACTACAAGGCGAAGACCATCTCGTATGTACCCAAGCCCACGGCCTATATCAAATATATGGCACCCAAGCCCGTGGAGCCGGTGCATGTCCACATTCAGCCCGTTCCCGTTGTGGAGCAGTTACGCTACGTTTACAAGCCACAATATGCGCAGGTTTACCAACCACCGCACACCATTCAGCAGCCGATTGTGGTGCAGGAGACACCACAGGCTGTGGAGCAAGTGCATCACACCTATACCGCTGAGGCAGCTGCCGAGCCAGCTTTGCCAGAGCCAAAACTAAATGTTATTCCACCACAATTTCGACCCTCCAAGCCGGATCCGTTGTTGGAGTCGGCGCCAGTCTATGGACGACCCATTGAGCAATATCAGTATGAGATTCAAGCTGAACCAGATCCCACCCAATCACCACTCATTAAGATTGAGTATCATGCGCCTGCAGATAAAATTAACGAGCACTACAAACAGATGCCCGAATTCCGGGAGCTGTCCACGCTGATTGGTAAATCACCCGACGATCAAATCCATGGACTCACCTATCTGCTGGCCAAGGAGATGCAGGCCAAGTTACAGCGTCAGCCTAAACAGCTGTTGGTGGCTCAAGTGCCCGATCCCCGTCCGCAAGACAACACTGCGCCCATACTCTTCCATCCCGGACTGCAGCAGCCGCCACCAGTTGCCGGCGCATTCAAAACGGATCTCAGCTCGCTGGGAGTGCAACCGGGTCGTCTGATTGGCATGGGCAAAACGAAACAATATGTGCCCATTGTGGAGTCGAGCCACAATGATGTCAAAGAACTGCCAGCCGTGGTCAGCAGCTCGCCCATAAAGTTGCCCACGCCCAGCTCATTCGTTGACTACATGCCAGGACACGGATTATCGCATGGCTACGAGGGTGTTCGCAATGAGCAACCCTTTACCACAGTGGAGCACATTGTGCATCAGCCCACGCTGCAGAAGCAGCCACTTCTTCCTCAGCCTCATCCTCAGCCTCATCCGCATCCTCATCCTCATCAGGCTATACTCGCCACATCCCTGCCAGCCCATCTCGAGGGCGATAAGATTGAGAATGGTGTGCATTATGTGCACAGTCACGATGACAAGTCGGTGAGTTTTAGTTTTAGAAATTAATATGATATTTACAAATATTTAAATTTCCAATTAATTCCAAGTTTTTATTTGAAACAAAATATGAAATTTGTTAAACTGATAAATTTAAATTATTAAATCACAAGCAGATGATTCAAATTAAACAAAAGAAAGAACGACTATCTTAGATAATCCTAAGATTACTGACCTTATAGACCAGAGTCGACATAGTTGACATTCTGAACTTATCTATACTATATGTATGAGTTTAGTTAGGACAAGAAAGTTAACAAGAATATGTCAATCGAATAGAAATCGATACAAGCATTAGTTTATGGCGACAACTCTGGCAATAACAATGCATTAAATTAAAGCATACCTTGGGGCTGGTCACAAAGGCTTAACGCACCCGAAAGTGTGCTCCCATTGATTGGCATAGGCAAAAACACAATCAACATAAATAAGGCGAACTGCCCGAGCAGCAACAACGACAATAACAACAACAACTCCCCAGACACGACACGACAATGTGGCAGTCACAACAATGGAGCGCCTGCAGCAGAGTTCCCCTCACTACCACCGCCCCTCCACTCTATGAAGAGTTCTCCCCAATTGAGGATTGAGTATTGTAAATGGAAATGGGAAAGTGGATTTTTGGAGTCATCTCTCTCCCACTCCCTCGGCGTCTCTCTGTATGTGTGCAATTCAGTTTGATTGCCGATCCATGTCTCGCCGGTAATGCACTTAATCGAATAATTTTCAAGTTCGACAAGCATTTTCAATGTCGTTAGCCACGTCCCCTTCACCTATGTTTAACCAAGTGGGAATCTTTTACCTGCCGTCTGCTAGCCGAGTGGAGGCCACAAAAGCAATGCAAACGACTTCGGCTTTCATTACGTGAAGCAGATTATAGCAGACTGCTGCTGTCTGTGGATATTTGCAGATTGTGGCATTGCCTGACAAGTCGAACCCTCAATTGATAAAGATATACGAGTCGTGGTAAACACATACAGACATATCTAGCTCTACATATATAGCAAACTGTTCCCTATTGGATCACCTTAAGTTTTGAAGGCGCTGCCACGCCTCTACTTGCACTTGATTGCATTCGCAGGCGGCAACGTGGCTCGCTTCAACTTTATTTTTATACACACTTTTTTAACCATATTATTTTTTCTTTTCATTTTGTTTTTTTTTTTTACTATTTTACCGTCTGAGCGGAATTAAAATTCCTTTTTGTGAGTTGCAAAAGTTTTGCCGTGTTTGCGGCACGACGACGACTTGCATTTAATTTAAATGCTTTTTTATGCCGCAGCAACCCAAAGCAATGGCATCAACTGCGTGTGTCTGTGCGGGTGTATGTGTGTGTATGTGTGTGTGTGTGTGTGTGTGTGTGTGTGTGTGTGTGTGTGTGTGTGTGTGTGTGTGTGTGTGTGTGTGTGTGTGTGTGTATGCGTGTGTGTGGGTGTGTGTGCGTCTGTGTCCACTGAAATGTATCTTAAGTCTGCACGTTGCACTGTGCAAACTGAAAGAGCAACCACAGAATATCCAACTATCTGCACATAAATGGAAAGGTGAAATAAATTCGCAAAAAGCAGACAATAAAATCAATGAACACTGTTCGAAGCAAGCATTAATATTTGATAGAGTATTGTATGATAAAAGGTAGTGTAATTTTGTTGACGCGTGGATCCAAACTTTCCACCTTTCTTTTTTTTAATTAAGGCTTTTAAATTGTGGTTTGACCAACAGACTAATACTGCATTTAAAGTTGAAAACGCAATTCTGGCTCGAATTTTATGAATTCTCTACAAATTACATTATGACCAACTGCATATCTAAATAAAGAAGGTTCCAGCGACCTAAAAATCGCACAAAATAAAAATTCAGAATCGAGTACAGTGATACATGTTCGACCAGTCTTTATGAACGTCTTTTAGCTAACAATGAAATTACTTTTTACATACTTTACACTACACCGTCTTGCTCTTCATCTTACTTGATTTCGGGACATGCCATCTGGTAAACGAATTGCGTCAAGGTGCGGGTCGGTCGCCCCGTCATATATCCAGCAGTCAAATAGGGAATGAGGCCGTAAGTGGTTAGCATGCCTGTGCCTCTGGTGTCGATGTGGGCCCAATCGGCGCAGGGCACCAACTCATGTAGGATGGCTGCAGCCAGGCAAGAGCTGGCCAGACCACGGCCATCATTGCTCAGATCGTAGCCGGTCTCATCGGTGACTTGATTCCTATAGTACTTCCACAGGGGCATGCGCCACATGCGATCACCGGTCAAGGAACCAGCCTTCTGGAATTGTTTCCACACATAGTGCGAATTGGAGAAGATGCCGGAGGCACCGCCGCCATAGGCTTTCTGTACACCCCTGCCAAGGGTAGCCACATCGACGACCAGTCTCGGCTTATATGTCGTCTGGCCATAGATTAGAGGATCGGCTAAAACGACAACGCCAGCCTTGTCCACATCCCGAACGGCCATGGAGCGGGCATTTAGCATGGTGACAACATCACCCGGCTTGACTGACATTCCCGATGGCATATTCTCGCACAGCGGGATCACACAGGTCACATTTATTGGCAGCGATAGAGCTGCGATGCAGCGCATCATTCCAATAATGGCAGCGGCAGCCGACATGCTGCCACGATACTCATCCATGCCCTTGCATCGTCTCAGATTGATGCCGCCCGAATTGAAGGTAATGCCCTTGCCGACAAATAGAATGGGCTTGTCTTCGGGCGCAGTGCCGCAATAGCTAATCTCCAGCAGCACTGGCGGCTCACAGCTGCCCTTGGCAATCATGAGGAATGCATGCATCCGCTGTATTTCAATCCAGTCCATGGTGCGCACCTCGACAGTGATGCCGCACGGACACAATGCATCCACGGTGGCCTGAGCAAACATCGTTGGTGTCATGCAATTCGCTGGTGCATCCGAGAGTCGCCTGGCCAGATTCTGTGACTCCGCCTTGAACATACCACGCGTCCATCCATCCAAATCGTGCGAGTCGTACAATTCCAAATGTGGCACAGGCAAACGTTTTTTCTTGGCCAAGTTTTCATTGAATCTCCAAACGGCCAATGCGGCTCCCTCGGCTGCCTGTTCCGCATAATCCATGCCATCGACAGAAATAGATCGTACACCCTGCTTCTGCAATGATCTCGCACCAATTCCGGCAGCGACGCGCACATTTTCCATGCCCTCGTCCAGCATTTCCAGCTCATTGAAACCGATGCCCTCGATGCCCACTCCAACGACAGCCACCGCATTAAAATCAGGATCGATATTGTTGAAGACACGTCCACGACCCAGTGAACCATTCACCCCCGTCTCGCAGACAAGTTGCCGCAGCTTGCCCCCAGTGCGATCGTTGAGCTTCTCACCCGATGGCGTGAACTTTGGATCCTTGTTGCCCTCCTTCCTATAGATTCCGACAACGAGGCCCTTGCCGCCACCCTTGCCTTTCGACTCGTCGCAAGTGAATCTCACGGTCAAATGCTGCAACGATTGCTGCTTCTGCTGCTGCTGCCTCTGGAGTCCCATAACGCTGCGAAAGACTTGACGGCGCATGTGCTTCATCTTAAAGTTTATATTTTAAAGTTCCTCTTTCACGAACAATTTCGAATTTTTCGTAGAAAATTTTAAAAAGTATCAAATGTCCGGCAAGCTAACAAAAATTTTTATATCAGACGAGAAATTTTGTAGTTTTTTTTTTGCAGCTTTTAAATATTTTTATGAAAATACTATCTCTGTTCTGTGCCAGCCTGTAACTAAAACAAATGTGAATTACATTCACATCATATTCAGCTAGTTGCCGGCTCAGATCGCAAGGGTAATGTGATAAACATATTTTTCATTAGTCGAGTAGTTGATTTTGAAAATGAACAACATACTTAAATTGAAAGCTCAAATAAATTCAAATGATAGAGAAAATACTTGCTAATTAAATGAATTGCACTATGCGGTTTGTGAATTTATTTAATTTGTATTTCGCATTTTCTTGGGGAGATTTCGAAGCTTACATTCCTCATAATTGTTGTTGTTAAACTCCATAAGGAACTATGGATTCTTTATCAGCAAGTGTCTTACTCAGTCCAGTTTCGTTGAATTCTGCATTTCTCCCAAGCAATTTTCTTTATGTGATCAAGGGTTTAAGACAATAATTCATTTTAAGGGTATTCAACTTATCGCTATTCCCAATTTCCAATTCAGTTCAAAGTGCTGTGTGCGGGGCTGGGATGAGGTGGAATAGGAAGTGGTACGGTTTCAACTCAGATGCTATTGACATTCTGGGAAATTCAGTGAGCAGCGAGAAGGGCAAAATGGGCGACGACAAAGCACCAAAGAAAAGGAGCCAAGAAGTTGATGTCGCTTTTGCAGACATGCCATAAACAGGCAAAAGTGCAACTGCAACAAACAACAAACGACAAACAGAAGAAGAATACGAAGAAGCAGACGGAAACGAAGACGATGTCAAAGTGGCAGAGCAGAAGTTGCCGCTGTCAGTGGCTCAATTCGCGTCGACAAATCGACTTAAAATTGTTTTTGAGCCGCGCAACAAAAACTGATGTTGACATTTTTCACATTATTTTCTTTGATTTTGCAATTGCCAACTGCGAAAAGCTGATTAAATTTTATTTATTGGCTCTGAAAAAGGGGAGAATTGCATAACTGGCAACCGTTTGTTAATGCGCATTACCAAGTCATCAAAGTGTGGGCAGTGCAGTAGACCAGTGCACAACATTTCCCTCCTATTCCTACCCTCACACTCACCCAACTCTTGAGGATACCAGGTACACACACATTGTTTTACTGTCGTTTAGCATGATTTTTAATAGGCTTTAGGCCTTGTTCCTGTTGTCGTCAACGCCAATGCCGGACTTAGCATCCAACCCGTTGACTGGTTGTAAAACTGAAAAAGCACTGCACTCACTTCCCAGGCAAAATGGGAAACCTGATGAGCATGAAGGCAAGCTGCCAGATCCTGCCCGGCCTTTCTGTCGGTATTGTCTGCCTGTCTGCCTGTCTGTCCGTCCGTCCATCTCTGACAGCCAAACGACACTTGTTAGGCTCAAGTTTTGGGATTCCTTCGCCCTCACAGCCCGTTCAGGACATACCGTTGCAATGCTCGTCATGGGACTTGTTTGACAGCAGCTGTCACACACACACACACGTACGGACACATGAACACACACACACACACACATAAGCAGGAACTGGAGCTGAAGCAGGAGACGGTAAACGTTAGCAGACTGTGCAACATGTTCAGAGATTTTTGGGGCATTTGTCATTTTATTGTGGTCGAAATGGTTGGTAATGGTTGGTGTGTGAGTGTGTGTGTGTGTGTGTGCTAACTGCTGCTTGAGCCTGTCCAGTGTGACCAGCTGCAGGTGCAATATTTTCCAGCGGCTAACTCACATATTTTAATTCCATTTTTATTTCAACCCTTTTGCTGTTGTTTGTTTGTTTTTGCTTTTTTTTATTATTTTACTTGTTTTCTTTTCGTGCAAGTGTTGAAAAGAGCTTGTCAAGTAGTGGGTTGTGTTGTGGGGTTGGGTACATAACTTTTATTTAATGGAGCTTGCCAGGGGAAACATATGTGCATTGCTAAGTTCGGGTATTTGGCATTGAAAAGCACTCGACAAAAGGTTTCAGCTTGGGACTTGCCACGCACATAAAACGAGAAACGCAAAAGGTTGCAAGCTACTTTATGAGCTGCTTCCCTCTGTGCCCTGGGTGTGTGTTACTGGGGTGAAAGGTTCTGGGTTTTGTGTACACATCCAGCCGGCATATGTTTCTAATGTGCCCCATCTTAGTTTGGGTGCTCTTAAAGCTTTGTCAAAGTGGATTTACTCAAACAATTGTGCCACATAATAAAGTGCGGCATAAAAGCTGAGAAAAGTCCACAAGTTATAGTAAATAACTTTGAAATGGTTAAGTACTCAAACCATAATACAAAGTGTTGATAAAATAGTATTTCACTTATTCTGAAAGTGTTAGGCTTTCAATCAAAAATGCTACTTTGGACATATTGAAGAAACTATTTGATATAAAAGTTTTATAAATTCTTATGCATCTATTAGCATTTCGATATATTTCACTTCGATGGTACCACATTAGGACAGTACTTCTCTACTTTATCTAAACCCAACCCTGCCGTTACTTTCAGCTCTAGCGCATCAATTTGTAGTATTTCACATTGTGGTGCTTAAATTCAAGTGGCATGCAAAATTAGATTCTGTCATATATAATTCGCTGGGCACAGCTCAGATATTAGGCTATTGTCAGCTCAGCAGTATCCAAAAAGTTAACCCAAACATAACATTGACTTTAAATTAGCTTCACTTCACTCGCTCACATAATAAACCGCAGCTAAAACTCAGCGAACTCAACTGCTATGAAAGAAAATTACAACTATATTCTGCACGCCACAGTTTAGATACCCTTAACATAAGTTATTTAGGGCGTAACTATTTTTGAAATTCAATAGATCAACAGAAATGAAATATCTATCAAAAAACAACTATTATTAAAGGGATAAACTGCATGCATAGAAGGGATAAACTGTTCGTCGGACCAGTCACTGACTATATAGACACTTCGACTGATGTTGATAAAGATTTTATATAAAATTTATAATACCCTCTGCGAGGGCAAGCAAAATAGTTGGAAAAAAAAAACACAGATAAAAAATTATACCCATGGCGAAGTCCGTTGACTCCTGTTTCTGTTGCTGTTCTTCTGCTCAACTTTCACTCTCTCTCTCTCTCTCTCTTCCTCTCTGTCTTTTTATCTGTCTTTCTCTCGATTTCGCTCTAGCTGCATATTGACAGTCACATTCGCATAAAAATCACGTAGTTTGACATTTTTCCAGCTTTCCTCTTGTCAGCTCGTAGCTTGGACGCCATTTGTTTGTTCTTTTTTTTCATCTATTTTTACTCTTTCTGCAGCAGCTGTCACGCAATCAGCCCAAGCACATTTGCTATAGCAAAGCCAACAAACTGATAACTCAATTTTGGTTAGCGTTGCACCTCCGTCCCCCCTTTTACCGTAGACCACCTTACAGCCCCACCACCCCCGACAAAATGCTCAATCTGCTCATAACTCGAGCGAGAATTGCTAACAAGCGAGCCATAAAAACTCTGTGTGTGGCTTGCAGTATTTTTCTCTCGCTCTCTTTCTTTCTCTCTCTCTCTCTCACTATGCTTTTTGGGGGTAGGCGGTTGCATTGCAAAATTGCTGCCACTTGCCGCGCAAGAAATTATGCAACATACATTTTTGGGCACTGGCTAGGGCAGTGGAGCTCTAATCAGAATCCCAGCCTCATAATTGCGTGCAAAACTTTTTTTGGGCAACTGTGAACATTGACGGCAATTGTGTCAATGGTTGCCGTGTTGCAAGAGGCGCTCCAGCGTCGCCAAACGTCAGGATGAACGTCAGGACATTCATTGCCTGCTGTTGAACACGTTCTGACCAGGACACACACACACACACACACACACATACACTTGAAGGCGAGCAACTCGGAACGCATTACATTGTAAAATTGGTTTTTGTAAATTGTTTGGACACAACATTTATTTCCATTTAAATGCGATTTGGCTTGCTTTTTTGGTCCACTCCACACAGCGACCGGCATTCTGTGGCGCCTGTGGCCGAGCGTATCCGAGTGTGTGCCAGTGTGTGTAGGTGTTGGTGAGTGTTGCTGAGTGTGACCAAGCCAACACTTGTTCAATTTTAAATGAGCATGCAGCTCGGCGCAACTGCTGCAGCTGCCACTGATGCCTCTCAGTGCCACAAACCCCATTATTTCTTATTCAGAAACTCAGCCCGAACTCCGCCTGTTCCCCCCATCGCTGTCAGTAGACCCCTGAGGTTTTTGGCACTGGTTTTTGGGCGAGGTGTGCTTTGCAGCGCTTAAACGAATTGTGTGAATAATAAAGGAAGCACTGAGGTTGCCATAGATATTACGTTAGTTGCCAACATGGATTAGTATTACGAGCAGGCTATGATGCACAATATCTCCTCGTATTCCCTCGCAAATGTGGGCAATTTTCAGCAGCAGCTCAAACAAAACAAAGTACTCTGTTCATTGAAAACTTCTGAAAGCAAATCGACAGTAAAAGCTGCTCTTAAGTATGAGAACAATTGATTTCAAACATAAAATTACAAATAAAATATATATATATATAGTAAAATTAAAGTATTTGACAATAAAGTCTTAATCTCAATGTTGACTCAAAAATAAATACTACTGTTCTCTGAATTTTGTTTAGGTAGTCTCTATTAGTTTTGTATAGCCTTATCATGCCCTTTTTGGTAAGCTACAGGACATAAAAACTATAAGCTGTCATTGTGACTTTTAGGGTAATGAAAATGGTGAAAATAAAGACTTTCTTAACATGTGTTCCTTAAGTGCATTTAAATCTTATGTCATATTTAAGTAACGCATGTATGGTTTATCGTTTGGTGACATCTTTTTACAGCTTAAATTTGTTATTTGCAGCCTTCATATTTTTATATAAATATTTTAAATAAGTATTTTCTCACGCTTAAATTAGAGTTTTCATGTCTTTTAGTCACAAATTAATTTTGAATTTCAATTGGTTTAAATTTTCATCAACCACAAAAGTTATCAAGGCAAACAATTTGTCAAAATCTCAATAAATTCAATTAACTGATAAGCAAAATAAATCATCAAGCCGCACGATGATTTTTGCGGTCTAATGATGAGAACAAGTTGAGTTCAGATGAATTCTGTTCTGTTGTGTTGCGTTGAGTTGAGTTAAGTTCCTGGCCAGAGGCAATGAGTTAACCACAAAATAGCACCACACAAAGTAAAAGGCAGTGGGGCAGGCATCAAAAGCCACAGGCAGAAACAAAAGCCAAACGATTTTAATGAGCCTCACAGTGGCTAACAAATGGCCAGGATTAAGGATGGGCTTGGAGAGGGAGGAGAGGTTTGGGGCCTTTTTGAAACGGAAATTCAAATCCAGAGCATATAATGAAAATCAACAACAATGCTGATTATATGCAAATCAAAAGAAATAAAAGCCAAAGCGCGTCCAAGTGGCATATAATTTTGCAGTGCGTCAAAGGCATTGCTCAGAGCCCCAACCCCCTCCAGCGTGTACCCCGTTTTGTAATAAAATGTTGGCCCATGGCTTCGCCCACTCCAGCTAAAGTGCGAAATACGCGTCCAGCTACAATAGTTGTTGTTGTGTGGAGTGAACTGAAAGTGCTGGAGGGGCAAACTTAGTGAGTTGGAGTGTTTCTTCAGCTACAAGTTGTGTGTGCATATCGCTTTCAAAAGTAAAAAAAAAAAAGTTGTTGAACTCTCTCAAAAGCTGTTTGGCATGACAATTTGCCAATAGTAAAGCATACTTTTAGGCAGTCCCTGGACACAGCTCAATGGGGTATCTAAACGATTAAAATAGTTGAGAATTTGTGTTGTGCTGACTTCCCCAATAAAAGCAGAAGAATGTACATCAAATTAATAAGAAAAGCAAATTAGTTATTAAGAGTATTCATTCAATTTTTATTTATGTGTATATGTATAAATTTATTTAATATAATCTACCATTATTATTTTAAATAATAATCCAAGCTTTACCAAATTTAATTGTTCAGACATAAGTATCAATCGTTAGGCAATTTTTCTGAACAGTTATAGTTCACATAAACCGATTTCTAACTGATTTTACACTTGAAAAGTACTGAATAATTGCTTGTATCTACGATATTGCTGTCATCCCATTTTCTCTTAGTCTGGCAACTTGTGCATCCAAGCCAGAACCCATCCTCAAATTATCAAAAAAAAAATATAAACGAACTCACGTCTTATGTCCTCAAATTGCATTTTGCACTCGACTCGGCTCACAATTCGCCAGCACTTTTCAAGGAACGTGTTAAATGCAAAATGTGTTTTGTTCAAAAAGCCGTAGCCAAAGCCAAATGGCAATTGCAATTTCTAATAAATTCCGTGAGAGGCCAACTGTTTGTCATATTTTGCTGCAGCTCTGGCAAGTGCCTTTAGCAGCTGTCCTATTGACATTGACATTACTCTATATATATATATATATGTATGTTTGTAAAGATAGCATACCGCTTTCGTCTGCTTCTAATGGCAAGTCAATTTACAGTCACAGAAAAATTGCAGCATCATCCAAGCTGTTATTGTTGCTGTTGTCCGAACAAACGAATGCTGATTTACAGATAGTCAAAAAAAAAATGTATATATATATATATATATGTGTGTACGTAAGCCCTTTTTCAATATGGAACGTGATGTGCTTTAGTCATTACCCCCACTTTCCCCCTGTCCTGATGTCACATTCTGAAAGGCAAACATTGACCAGTGTTTACATGCGAGTCAAGTCTTGTTAGCGGCATATCCTCAATATGCAATAACCTTGTCGAAAAGCGGGGAGGTTGCAGGTAAACGCTCTCATCGTGTTTCATCTGCATTGTAATTATGTTCATTTAATCAAATCAAATTTGTAATGAAATTCTGCGACTGCAGCGCATCGTAATAAATTGCTTGTCTGCCCCGTGACCATACTCCGACATTGGAATGGAATCGGGATACAAAGAAAAAATCAAAGAAAATTTGCATATTCGCTGGCAATGCCGGTTTCTCTATATATTGTCGATACCCTATAATGTATTGGTTAAGGGTTAGCTAGTTATCAGCTTTAACAAATCAGAGAAAACTTAAAGCTTATATATAAATATATTAGAATTATATTTCGCAAATTAAGTATAAATATTTGTATGCTCTACTTTATTTCATAAGGCTTTTTCAACTAAGTCGAGATAGCTGCATCTACTTTTCTGCAGGGTATCTTGTAATCGTTCACTGCCAGTTTTTTTTCTGTTTTGTGGTTAGTTTCCAAACTATGCAACGTGATTTGGTTTGCTGCTTTGCACGTCAAAAATCTATTAACATTTTGCCGCGCTGTTAATGAAGGACTTGCCATTCTCCTCCCCCTCAATTGCCCGATCCAGCAACTATTGCAAAGGAAAAATGCAAGGGCCTGCAGAAATATTTTTTTAACATTTCATTAAAAGCAAAGCACGATAAAAATTTAAGCGCAAATGTTGGCAAATTGCTGAAGCGTAGAAATTCTTAATTATAATAAATGCGCTTGCGGTTTAAAGAAGACAAACAATGAACATATTGAGGAGGGATGAGAGGAAGAGGATTGAAGAAATGAAGCCAGAAAACAAGTGAATGTTAATTTAAGCAATAGTTGGGCGTTAAAAAATGCCTCGAAATTCCCTGCACAGCTAACTATTTATGGGTATTTCAGTAATTTCAACGAAAACAGATTCAACGAATTTTTATGAAAACTTTCATGAACTTCATTTCAAAGGAGAACAAAAGATGAAAAGGATACTTTTACTTATGTATTTGGGATTAAAATGATTTCTTAGTCTTCGAAATTCGTTTGCTAACTCAGCCAAATTTGCGGGCTGCAATCAAACTTAGAGTGAGGCATACAAATGACAACAAAATAATCAACAACAAATTGAACAACTCCTTTTTCCCCACCCCAGGAAAGCCTTTCTCACTCGACGGCACACAAAACCACAAAACATATAAATTTGGCAAAGCGCGCCAAAAACTTTACATAGGGCATTGAGCATTTTGCATACACATTCGCCGCAACTGACAAGAAAAATGCCTGGCGAACAACAATGTAACTTAATTAAACTTAATTTACAACTCATTAACATATCAAAAAGTTTGCCACGCCCCCCTCCACATACGCACACACATGCCATAAAAACCACAAAAGCAGACCTCCCTAACAAAACATATAGCAAAAGTTGTGACAATTGTCGAGCCGACAACGAGATTTCCCTGGCTTCTGAGTGAGTGCGGAAACGGAAACTCACTCACATAAATACTTATACATATACACACACACACATCCATTCACACGCTTGCGGCAACCAACAGGATAAAACATGACGACATTTGCGCAAAATATTTATTTCATCTTGAAATGTTTACCAGCGAAATACTTACAGCAAAATACCAACTCCAAAATTCTTGTTGACATCTACAAAACAAATCTATGCAACACACATGAAATGAAATCACGCTGATAGGCAGTGGGCGTGGCCGTGGCAATGTGGGCGCTTAGCGGTGGGTGCTTGCGGGTTGAGGGTTTGGTCTGTTGTGTTCTGTTGTGTTGTGTTGTGATGTGAAGCTGGCGCAATAGCTGTTTTCTATATATATTGTTGCAAATTTCATTACGCACGCGCCTGCCTCAATACAATTTACAATCACATGCATAACAAAGCGCCATGTGAATGACAGTCGTCTCCAAACCCCCTACACCACAACAACCACCCCCCTCAAGCCCACAAGTGCACACACGCACAACTATGTGTGCTTTATGCCCGCCATCAGCGCCAGCCACAGTGAGAAACTCCATTGTCTATTGTCACACATCGTGGTAAAGGGTATAAAAGGGTATGAAAGTTATGATAACATTTGACATCTCAATTTTTTGTAAAAAATTTGATCTCTTCTGAATGTACTTTATGCGCAGATAATTTTACTCAAGTACGACAAATATAGAGATAAATACAATTATTTATTATTTGTTAGCGATGTGATTTCAATTCAATTCGTAGCTACAAATGACAGCCGTGGAGATCATCAATACTGTCAACTAAATTAAAGATAAGTTAGTATTGAAGTTAGACAGGCATTTATATATATACACAGATCTTGTAAACACATGTTCTAGTGAACTAAGTTAATATTCTTGTTAGACAAATATTGATATATTAGAATACATATCTTTCAAGTGCATACGAACTTCGTTGCATAAATAAATAATAATACAACTAGCATTTCATTTATTTGTGAATGCCGTTGATGTTCTTGTTGCTGTTGCGACAGTTGTCTGCAGTCTTCACTGTAGACGACAGCGGCCTTAATACATTTCCCATTTTGCATACTCTTTTCGTCATGTGCACGAATTGTCAACCAATCAGCTTACCAACTTACACACACACACACACACACAAGCATAGATATTCGAATGTGAAACTAACTTAAACTAAATCTGCCACTCCCCCTTTTGGGGGCTCTGCTCTCTTCATTACAGCTGCATCAGTATGCCTCAAAGTATGCCTTTGGTTATCGCATACGTGATTTCCATACCGGCAATGATTTTGGCCACAAGCAGAATAGGGATTTGCATGGCGTGACACGCGGTCAATATCACATTTTATTGCCAGATGGACGCGTCCAGAACGTGATTTATCATGCAGATGATACGGGCTTCCATGCGGACGTTAGCTTCGAGAGCGGAACAACTAGGCACTGAGTAACGGCCAGAGGAAAACAGGAAATCCAACCGTAAAACAACAACAAAAATGAACCAACCTAAGCCAACCCAAAAACGACAGCAACAGCAACAACAACAACAACAACAACGGGCAAATGTGCAATCAATGGCATACGTGTGTAAGTTTTAGAATTACCTTCGTTGGATTAGGTTAGGTTAAAAGTTAGATAAAGAAAAATTCAATTTGAAGAACTATTTTCATTGATAACTAACTATTTTGGGCAGAAATCGTTAGTGATTTGACTATTTATTCCGCAATCATAAACTGCATTTCTTTCAAGCTATACAAAAATTATTGATGCCTAATTTATTTGATTATTTATATTGCTGAGCATTCAAATTTCGTTAAACAAAAAACAGCTTAAGTTTAGGGATGTCAAACTTGTACTTATTATTTCTTTATTTATTTTTTTTATTTAATCCATCGATTTTGTTTGTTTTTTATATGAAATGTATAAACTAATCAAACCAAATGAAATGGAAAAACTTTAAGGAATATTGTAAAATTTGATTTTAATAATTAAAAGTATCTTTTACATTTTTTTGTTTTATTATATGTGTAACTTTATAATAATATAAGATCATTAAATATAGTTTTCGAACTGGGAACCTTGTAGTTTTGTCAGCCACTTGTTCACTTCTAACTAACAAATGCAATTAATACAAAAAAAACAACAAGTTGTGTGTCACCAACAAGCACAAATAAATTCAAATAAACGCTATAATAATTTACAGATTTTTGTAAAAACAAAATAAAAAAAAAAAACAGCCTTCGTGCATTTTTTATGGCAAGCAAAATTTGTTGAGTAAAATATCGAAATAGTTAATCATTGGCGATTGTGCCATAATTCAATTTACAATTACAGGCGACAAGGCGGACAAGAGGAACGTAGGAAGAGGCTGGAAGGGAGGGAGAAGGGGTCTGCGGTTCCGGTAGCCTGACAAATTGCACAACTTTCAATGGAATTGGAGTGGAGAAAACCTTCAAATGGCAGATGCGCAATTGCATCCATAATTGACTTTTAAAGCTGTGTAATTGCTTAATGTTTTTTTCGTTATTGTGCGTTAAATGCGTGCATCAAAATTCAACAATTTCAATTAAACAATTATTCAAGCCTTGTCACTGACCTTTTGCCTTCCGCTTCGCAATTTTTTCCACACAGCTTTTTTTTATAGATTTGAGAAGGTTTATTAATTCAAGCAATGCGTGGATTTTATTTAAAGAAGGCTAGTTTCAAATCATATTATCGATGATTTCTGTCTTTTCGAGAAGGTTTATTAACTCATCCAGTCAAAATCAATGCGATGTTATTTGAAGAGTCGAGTTTCAAATATTTTCAATGACATTTGTCTACTAGCACCTTAAACATACATGTGCTCAACTTTGTTCTACTCTATTTCTAAAAACTTTTTAATAGTTTTAGTTTTAATAATTTAGAGAGATATTAATTACTAATTGTTAAAAAAAAAATACACTTTCCACAGCAGACTTAAAGGACGCTATGACTGAGTCCGGACGAGATTCAACACATTTTTGAGAATATAAAAAAAAAAACAATTGACCTAGAGCGAATAAAAAACTTATTAAAACTATAACAAGAGGTCAGCAAATAATAATAACTATTAAAATAAAATTAAAGCCCAGCTTAAACTTGGAATTTAAAACATTTTCCGAAACTCATGCGTCGCAAACAAGTTAATTGTGTTTTAAAAAGCGTGCAAGCGTATCTGTGTCTCGGTATTCCTCAGTCATCGTTTGTAACTCTATTTTGGATAATTGGCATAACACTCAAATGTCAATAAATTATGTTATTTCTTGTTGCTTGTTGAACTGAGATTTAAATTGTAGCAAATTTCTTGGCAGTTTTTTCAGCGCCCATTCGAGACGCCCATCATTTATCAAGATTGAAGGTCGTCAAAGAGGCTCTCAGTATGGGGTGTCAAGGTGCCTGACTCTCGGCATTTGCCGCTTGCTTGTGTACTCAACATACGTTTTAAGTTGTACTTTAATTAATTTGAACAAATCGGAATCGAAATCACATAACCAAATCGAAGTGATTCTTATGCCGCATCATCGACTTGACGTGATGTTTCAGTGACTTGCCCGTGACTTGACTTTAGGCATTGATATCATCACAGAAGAAACGCAAAATGTTTCGCTTAGAATCGGAATCGGAATTGGAGTCGGATTCGAAATCGGAGTCATCACAACATTGGAATCACATGTGGCTTTGGCAACTGTTTGCTACCATTTAAAGTTCAATGTTGCCAACAATTGTAGAAACAAATTTCAGTGTCTGTATCAACATGTCTGTTATTGTTGCTGTTGCCGTTGGTTGTCTTATGTCGTTGCCAATTTGTTGCCACTTTGCGAGTGGTGCATTCAAAGTCAACCGCTATAATATCCACACCTTAAACTCGCTGCCACTGTGGCCACTGTGGCCACTGCTGCATCTTTGGCATTCTTTTTGTTTTTGTTAACTATTTTTAATGTTTGAAGTTATTTCTTTTTTAGGTTTTGTGGTTTTTCATGACGCGACGCTCATTAACTAGTTTAACTAGCATACACTGCCACTGTAAAGTATGGACACGTGTTGTATGGCCAAATTGCCACTCAGCTTTTAGATTTCTTGCTTATTTGGCTTATTAGAATTATATTATATACTGCTCATGCTGAATTAAAAAGATCATAAGCAAAACAAAAGCATCGGTTAAAGTATTGGCAAGGTTTCTTTTTTCCAATTTCAAGTTATTTCTTCTTGCGTTTTCAAAGAGTATACAAACTGCCAATACCCACTAGAATTCTGAGCCACAAAGCTACATCAATTTTTGGGCTAATGTACAAACTGTTTAATTGATTTGACATTAAGAGGTATGGAATGTAATTTGTCGAAGTTTTGAGCAGGTCAAACTGTTTGCCAGAAAAAAAAAAAAAAAGAAAAAACATCTCGTAGAACGAAACCGAAACATTTGCAACAACCATAGAGTGGGAGGCAATATCATTATGATCGGCCTCATCATCGTTAGCTATGAACTAAAAAAGTTGAGCAAATGAGGTTTCACTCTTGTACAGCCAATTTGGAGTCTCTGTCGTATGGGTGCTGCGAGTGATTGACATTAATTGCCAGGCCGAACGAAACCGAAACAAAAACAAATTCCAAACCGAGATGCCACCGAGGCAGACGCTCACACGATGGGTTTCGTTGCAAGCGCAACTTGCCACATTGAGTGCACTCATTTGATGTGCGTTTTTATGTTTATGTTTCGGTTTGGCTTCATATTTTTTTTTTTCTGCTGTGCAATTGTTATTTTATAATTAAGCAATCCTCGAGTTAATTAAAAGCGAATTTTGACAAGTGCATGCCGCAAAAGATTTATGACGGTTGCCCCCAAAATCAAGAAGAACAACTAAAACAACTCTGAGAACCAAGTGCATTATAATTACACACGGAGTTATGGTTATTATATAAATCAGCACATTCTCCGTGCCAGCAAACAAAGTTAACGGCTATAAGAATAATATATGTATTTGACACGCCCACTTGAAAAAACTTTTACGGTATTCGGATTTTTTTTTTTCGAGTGCCTCCTCTGCTGATGCTGCCACTGCTGCTGCTGTGTGGCATTTGAAAAGAAGTTTTGGCTGCGATAATAAAATCCCATTTAAGTTTGACGATAAGTTTTGACCATTAGCTGCTGGGTTTTTGAGCAGAAAGCTGGTTGGAGTGGGTCGGCGCTGTCATTGCAAGTTAAATGCTTTAGATTTTCTATTTCCCTTTTTATATTTTTATGCCAACGCGTTTGCCAAGTTATCGAGCCAACTGTGGCCCTGGGCCCAAATGCAATTGATAAGCCGATGCCGACGCCGACATGGCCAAATGGCAAATGGCTTGGAAACTTGGCTAAAGGTTTTTTCGTTTGGCCTGTTTTTGATAAATGAGCCCAGATGAGCCTTTTCAAATTATCATTAGATACGCAAGTGTTTCTTTTCACCAAGTTATGTCATTCTATATGACAAAATCATTGCACGTCTTGTCACTATAAAGTGCGAAATGTGTTTGATATTTGTAATTTATAATAATTATTTGCTTGAATATAGGCTGTGGCGATCATAGAATAAATATAAAATCTATAAAATTGTTGAAAAAATCAGTAAAATTAAATAACCGATTAGGGGCTGATTCCTTCTTGTTTTTGGCTAACTCAAATGAAAAAAAGACAGATCTGCCCGATAAAAGGCCAATCAGCTGCGGCCTATAACCTTTCCTGAGTAAAGTTCATCCTACAACCACTGAAGTTTAATTGGATCACATTTAAGCCAAGTATTTATACCCCTTGGTGTACATCTCATTGCACTTTAGTTAAATCCTTGCACAAGTGAAGTGAAATAATTAAATCTGGGCACTGCACCTGCCAGTTAGTTGTCCGTGTCTTGTGCAACAAACTGAGGGACTCGCGACATGTTTGCCCGGATGACTTGATGTGCCACTGACGACACAGTATCAACATCAACATCAACATCAACAATGGCAGCACAAAGTATCTTTCTCTGTCTCCCCGGTGCAGCAACGAAAAAATGAACAACAACAGCAGTAACGTAAACACGTAAACAAGTCAACGCAGGTTACGGCTCAATCGCTCAGGATCCGTATTCTCATCCGCATCCATATCCGCACAGCACGGGCATGGATAGCGTGGACAGCGAGCGTGTCGTGATTTCCTTTAGCTTGCTAAATAAAAATTAACAAGGATAAATGATGTGCAAGGCAATGGCTGCCGCCGCCAACACGGGCAATTGTCTAGGTGGCTAGGACAGCAACCAGAGAGGCGACAAGATTGCCTGGACGAGGGGCAGGACTTGCAGTTGCTCTCTTGCAGTCGCGTCATTTGATGCGTTACTTTTGTGTGTGCGTTAAATTGATTAAATGTGAAATTGGAATATGCAAATGAAGCCGACAACACACACACACACACACACACACACTCAAGGCGGGACACTAAGAGGGGGCGTTGCTATGGGCGTGGACGTCTGTGGGGCGTGGCTGAAATGTGATTTATGTTAGGTGCAAAGTTTTTCGCACAACTTTCGGGTGCAATGAACGGAAGTGCAGCGACTCAAGACGTTAAACCAAGACGACGACGACGATGACGACGACAATGCAAGGGGATGCCAAAGCCCGGGGAAGGTGTGAAAAAAATTCGCTTAATTTGTCTAAAGAAAAGCCAAGCGCATGAAAATTTCCATTAAGAAAAATGGTGGCGAGTGTGGCAAGTGACAGGCAAAGCTTCCCTTTAGTTGCAGATTGTTTGCCAGCACGTAAAAGCAAAAATAAAAATAAAAAAAACAGCAACGAGAGGAACGCAAGAAACTTATCTGGCAGTTAAGGAAATAATGAGCGCAATTCAGAACAATGAAGAGCTATCAAACGATAGCATTAGCAACTAAAAATATGTAATGTAATTTATATACTTAGAAAATGTTGATTATTAAAAGTTGTTGAAAGTAATAAGGCACAAAACTGAATTGTTTAAAATAATTGCAGTCACAGAAGTTTTCCAATGAGTTCAATACAAGAATTGCTACAGAAACTATTTAGAAATATTAAATCTATAAGTATTTATCAGGTAAGTTGAAACTAAGATACGATTATTTATTATTATTAACTATAAATAATTTGAAATGCTTTACATAAATTTATAGCCTCTTAAAATGGAATATATTAAAAGTTTACAAACTTTACAAACGATTATTTATTTATTAATATTAACTATAACTAATAAGACAAGTAAAGTTATTTAATATATTACAGCAGACCGATATTTAACTCGATTGGTTTCTTCTCTTGCCTGCTGACTGGCAAAATTACTGTGCAAAATAAATTCCAACATTTTTTTGCTACTTGTTTTGAGCCCAATCACGTTGTCTACAAGACATTTAACCCATTTGTAAAAGGCAGTCTCCACTCCCCATAAAAATATGCAAATTACCTGGCGCATCTGGACAGGCGACTGTGGCAGCTTCAACATTAACTGCAACCACTTCTCACACCAGACACCGCAACAGCAAAGCCAACAACAACAACAACAACAATCGATAGCTGGTGGCAATAAACGCAGCAATTACACAGTTGGCTATTCTAATTCACTCATTTTTGGCAAAAATAGGTGCGCCCCGCATCGATGTCTGGGGTTTTGCCATTGGGGTTTCTATTTCTATTCTACAATATTCCTCCAGCCGAACAACAACAACAACAACAATGGGCAACAGGTGATTCGCCTAAATGTTGCACGAAATGCGCAAAAACAAATTCGCGAAAAATCGAAAATGCTGCAACATTTAAAAACATTTCAAGTGATCGACTACCAGATACTTAGTGGATAATTTAGATAGATAAACAAAGATAAAAGAAACTTCATATTTAGCTTAAAACATATTTATATTGTCAATAATCTACGAAATTCCCTCCATATTATGGAGAGGGTTTCGTGGAAATCGGAATATCTTAATTCTGCCCACTTTTATTATTTCTAAAGGGTATGAAAACATTTTTAAATGCTTCAAAGCGACTGGCGAGCGACAGCAGAATTTTGGCTCTATTCTTTTAAATGTTAATTTGTGCAGCCTCGCAACAATTCAATAACCAACAGCAGCAACAACAACAGCGGTTAGCATCAAAATGTCAACAGAAACATATTTTAGCCAACATTTTGCTTAGCCATTTTTAGCTGTCGCTTAGCTGCTCTGCATTTAGCCATTGTTGTCTGCTTCCGTTTTAGCCCGAAGTACATCACGTTATTAATTAACGGGAGCTTCGTTTGCATTGGACACTTGAAGTTGTTGGCAAGTTTTTTGGCTCCTTACCCCACCGACCCCGCACACTGCGCGTCACACTTGAATATCTTTGACTTCGTCATCGTCTTTGGACTTGACAAACGATCGGATTTGAAAAAAACTGCAACTGTTTGAGCGGCACTGCGATGACAGTTAAAAACTTTAAGCTTTGATTTTGGGCAACAAATGTTACCCAAGCGCGAATTCATGTCAAGTTTGTAGTTTTGTATTGGTCAGCACTTTAAAATGTAACTTTATGTAGGTATGTGAAAAGGCATGTGCTCTAATTACATTTTAAATAATCTTTTCGTAATCGCAGCTACCACAAAATGCACTCAAACTGTTTTTTGGAGTGCTGCTCCAAGAAATTTCATAGCTCTCGTGCACTTAGTTCAAGTTGAGGATTGAACACTGGAACTGGGACCGAACCGGTCTGTGTATGTGTGTGTGTTTGGTGCTGTTGTTGGCGTTAACGGGTATTATGTTGTTATGACAGTTTGACAGACCATGTACAATACCACACAAGGCTCAAGTGTCACGGAAATTGAAGCAGACAAAACTCTATAAATATCTTGTATATATGGGATTGTATCTTTTATAATACCTAATCAGAAGTGGGCATAATGAGTTTTTCAAAACGGTTGCAATGTAAGACTAAGGTCAGTTTTGGCTATGGCCAAAAATAGGCTAATCGTTCAAATTTACCACAAAAATTTAAAAGCACTCGAACTTTTTTGCATTTATAAAACTAAATAATAAAAGAGAAACATAGAAAACAAATGTTGTGAGATAAATATTTAATATTTTCTTTTGCATTTTGTATTTTTCAAATATTGTTAAAGATTTGCTTTTGAAAGATTCTTTTGATATTTGTTTGCTGAATATAAATATATATTTCCTTAGAAGCGTAGAATGCACTAACTCATGCTAATCAAAGAATATATATATATATATGATAAATATAGCAATATATATCAAGAATTTCTATTCAATTTAATGCCATTTTAAATTAAACAAGTAAATGTTATTTTATATTCAATGAAGTGCATACATTATTTGCTTGTCAAACTTTACTTCGCTGCTCTCCTAATTATTTTCATATCTCAAACATTGACACACACATGCATACACACACAAGCACACACACACACACGTTCACACACACATATAAGTGGGCAATAAAATTATAACAACCGCAGAAATCAGTAATCAAAAATGAATTGCTTTTAATTGTTATTTAATCTTTGCTTGTCTTTGGTATATCGAAATCGTTATATTTTTGTTTCCATCTTTCTCGTTTTTGCCTAAACTATTCAAGGTTAATTGGTATTTGAAGAAGTTTGGCTCTTTATTGTGTGGCCTGAACTGATGACGGAAAGAAGAGCTGAAGAGCAGTTTGGAAGCTGAAAGAAAAACCCTTCGTTGGCAACACGTCGCCAGATTTGTGCAACATCAGCAGACCGAGGAGGAAGACCTCATAACAAAATCGTGTGGCGCAGGCCAAATATGGATAAGTTATGATTTTTAGCATGAGCCTCACGTCATAGATTGAATTTTGACATCAAACATGAGGTGCAATTGGAAATATACTTTTATATATAGATATGTATATATAGATATCTGCGGGAAACACGTTCACAGCTTGTGCAATTTTCACTCGCCGATTTTGTCACGTTTCGGATTTCTTGCCAACTTGTTGTGCGCTCTCAATAGTGTTCTTGGGCATCTGAGCTTTCTCAAAGGGCAGACCGTACAACAACAACAACAACAACAACATCAACAACAAAGCCAGCAACTGACATTCGCTGTGACATTTTGCGAGTAGGCGGAGGAGGCTGGACTCAAAGTCAGTTGATCAGTTTTTTTTTTTTTTGTTTGGGTCCCAGACCAGTGCAGAGAACGGAAAGCCAGTCATAAAACTTAAATATCAAATTTTGTGCATTTAATGAAGTCATTGCGGGTGTTTTTACAAGTCTGTTGCCCGAGGCAATCTCTAATTCCACAGCATTTAATAAAATATACAACAAATCCAAGCAACTTGTTATACATCCGCTAAGCTACACAACCTGCTCTAATGATCATCACCAATTCATTTATCATCTAACAACAATCATCATCATCTTCTTCGACAGCAGCAGCAGCATCGACAACAATTGCTGCTGTTGCTGCTGCTGCCGTTGATGATCTGCAACATTTTTCATTTCAACACTCAAGAAGCTCTCTCAGCGCTGAGCAGAAAAGAGCAACATGCTCATTCTCGCAAAGAGAGAGCGACAGAGAGGGAGAGAGAGAGAGAGAGAGAGAGAGAGAGAGAGAGAGAGAGTGAGAGAGAACGCAAATGAGAGCGTTAGATGAGATTGTTGGCTATTGTTGTTTGGCTCTTTAAAGATGATCTAGAAGTTCAGCGCTATGAACCTGCCTCAATTGTTGGTTGTAGTTGCTGTTGTTACTTTTTTTGGGTGCAGTTGGCAACGCGCTGATGCTGATGCTGCCTCAGTCGCTGCCTCTGTCGCAGTCGCAGTCGCAGTCAGCGCAATCGCTGACTGTTGCGACTGCGCGTTGATTATAAAAAGCAAGCGCATCTCCATTGTCTACCCTAATTCAAAACGTTCGTGTACTTTGTGCGGTACTTGTGCTGCCTGGCATAGAAAAAAAATTAAGAGCAACAGCTACAACAACAACCACAACAACAACAACAATTGCATAACTATATTGCCAAGTTAAGCTGTTGGCCCAATTGAAAGTGAGAGGCGTTCAATTTCAATTGCAACTGTTGCAAAAGGACATTTCAAATGTGTTTTTTTGTGTTTAAAGTGTCGCAAAATAGTTTAGCTAAGAAAATGAAATAATCCCCAATGAACCTATAACCAATTTGTTACTAAAAGTGTTATTAACTTAAAATTAGAACATATATTGTAAAACGTTTAACCATAAAATTTGATTTTATTTTGTACAATTTTTCACTACAATTTAGCGCGGATTTAACAAGTGGAGCTAATTCAACGCCATTTATATACATTTTTAGCAAAATGATGTCCTTCAAATCGTTTGCATTGCTTGTAAGTATTCCTCTAAAGAAAATCTTTCAAAATGGAAGATTTTATTCATTGTTTTATTTGGTTAATTTATAAGTTAGTGTTTTAATCAACATACAAAATATTCTTATCCTGAATTGGGAATGTGAACAAAGTAAAGACTATTAAGCCAAAATAAGTGTGAGAGAAATTAGTTTAGCTTTTTCCGTGTTTCCAATACAAATATTATTAAAACCAAAAAATCGTTGCTGTGTACATAAAGAAAATTATTTAAGATAATACTTCTGATTATTGCAATTCTAAATAGTTGTCTATCAGCTTCATCTCTTCATCTTCTTTAGTTACGCAACCTTAGCTGAGATTTTGGTACACAAATCCTAAGCCTACATAAATCAGCCACAAACAAATTATTTGAGCTTTTTGACTCACCCGCCCCTGTCCAGCACAAAAGTAAAACAAGAGCTCGCACAAAGGACAACACGTTAAGCTTGTTATATGTCAAATTTGTTTATAAGCATGTGGGTTTTTGTCCTCGCACAGATCCTGCTGCTGACCAACGCTGTGGCTGACGGACGCGTTCTCTGAACTTTGCTGTCCGTTGTCATTTTTCTTTCGAGGCAATGCATGAGCTTAGCTCAGTTTTTTTTTATTACTATTTTTATTTTTTTCTTCGTGCTGTTCTTTTTTATTGTGTGGTTTTTGTCTCTGATACATCTGTGCGGTGGATTTGCTTTTTTGATTGCATGCTCCAAGTTGGTAGCTGCTCATAATTTAAATCTTTAGTCAGTGTAGACAAAAAAAGGAAACGACAAAGCAAAGCTGTTTGCTCAACTGCCGAAAACTAGTTGAGTGCTTGGCAAACACACACACACAATTTTTGGCAACACTTGGCGTCAATGGTAACAAAAACGATTACATAACTTCCATATCGACTGGAGTGTTTCAGCCAGCCCGATGTGAAAGTCCCAAATCGAACAAATTGCAAATAATCAAAGACACTTAAGTGCTGTGCGTAATATATGTATGTCAGAAAGGAACACACACACACACACACACACTCACACACACTTGCAATACTTGAGCATACTTTGTGGGGTGGTGCCGTTTTTGTCTCATCTGGCAACAGCTGTGGACTTTACCTAAAATACGAGTACGCCCCCAAATCAGCAGCAATAATATTTGATTATTTTCAACAACTGCCAGCTAAACACTTGGCTCTCATATGAGGGTTTTCGCAAATAAATGGGATACAAAGCACATTCTTAGCCTACGCACTCAGCGCGTGTTCGCAATCGCAAAGTTTCGATAAGTGCACCCATACTCATACCAGATGTGTATAGTATTTGATATATGCCCAGCTCAATGGTAATTGTCAAGTGGAAAAGGAGCAAAACATTTGCAAGAGACGTGTGCGATTGTGTTTAGCTACATAATTAAAGCAACAATATTCGTTTGCATTTTAAGAGTGTAAATACTCTGAAAGTTTAACTGGCTACAATTTAATATAGAGTAGTCAAAATGTCATTAGCTAATAATTATGAAAGAAATGCAATCAAAAACTAGTTAGAGTTTTCAGTTTGTGACAAAGAAAGGCATATTAGAAATACTCCAGTTAGGGCAGCCGGGCAACCTTCATAACTTTCACTTGTTCCCATTAAAGCTGCCCCGTACCAATTTTATGAAAGGATTGGGTGTGAGAGACGCCCCAAAGCAGGCAACAAATAAAGCAGACTTAACTGCAACATTGCTGGCTGCCACAGACAGGCTGGGATGTACACTACACACACACACAAAAAAGAGGGCGTACTAAATTGTTGGTGCGACACTTGGATGCTATGCAGACGAGACTCCTTCTGTCTGCTTGTGTTTTTTAATGCCTGGGCTGCCAAGCAGATAACCGGCAAAGGTAGCACAAACAGAGAGACAGGCAGACAGACAGACAGACAGACAGACAGGCAGTGCATGCCGGGTGCTTGGGTCTGCCAGACTAGGGGCACAGCAGGAAAGGGAGCTGGGTAGCCACTTGCCAGACGCGTGTAATTTGCCGCTTGTAACTTTTTGACTTTTCACTGCCACTTTTGTTTTTCTAAATATTTCCTTTTTTTTTTTATTTTTGTGTGGTGGTTTTTCACTATTTTTTGACGCTAGCTAGTCACGCCCAAAAGTAGACTAGTATGCCTGCCCATCGCGCTTTGGGGAGCACTCGAAACGGGCTGGAGATCATGCAATAAAAGGCAACGTTCCCTTTAGCTAGACAAGTGCTAGACAACCAAAAAAAAAAAAGCTATGTTGAACATGTTCATTTTGGCCAGCAAAAACAAGGCGGGAGGCAAAACCATGATGCAGATACCCAGGGAACGGCTGGCAGCACTACCACAACTACTGGGCGCATATATTAATATCCCCCGTTTTCAGCTGCTCATTTTCGCACGCGAAAACAAAAAAAAAAGACAGAAAAAAAGGGCCGTCAGAATGCCGTTGTCAGAAAATGATGGCAGTCAAACGCATCCGCAGCAGTGGCACGCTTTTGAATTTCAAATGACAGACATAAAATATGCATCGTTTGATATTTGGCTGATGGTTTTCGTTGCCATGCGAAGGCTGCCTGCTTGATACCCAATAAGCAGCAGCTGTTGCTGCTTCTCTATGCTGCTGCTGCTCTAGCACCATGCCCGGAATCTGTATAATATTCCAATGCAGGCAGCCAGGCGCAACGTCATGACATCATAGGTCAATGCTGGCTTTGATTAGACGACTGATTATGGTCATAAAGCCACGCAGCCACAGTCATAGTCACAGCCACTGCAACTGCAACTGCAACACACACGGACACACACACACAACGCCGCAGCCACAATCACTCTGCCCTACAGGCTGAATGATGACGATTGAAGTGTGAACAATTGCCCAATTGTGTGCTCATCCCAGGCATTTGAATACCCTAACCAAAGCAGTTAGGCAGTTAGCAGTTAGCTCGCAATGCAACTTGAATTATTTACAATTTGGAAATGGTTAACAAAGCGAAAAAGAGACATAACTTGAGCAACGTTAATGAAAACAATTTAACAACTTTACAAATCAAAACTCCACAATTTAAACTGATTAGTGTATGCAATATTCGATATGTAATCATTGAATTCTTATTGCATTACAAATTCGATTTTAATTGAAATGATTTACGAGATTTCATTAGCTGGCTTGATGTTTGTGATTGGGATAATTGAGCTACGGTCAATCGTATGCTCATTGCATGTGTGGCAACAACATCAAAAATACAAAAAAATTATAATAACAATGCCAAAATAAAAAAAATTTTGCAATTGCTGCGGTTTGCCAGCAGAACAACGCAAAAACTATGCACAAAAATATTTTAGCGAAGGCAATTTTCCATTAGATGATCGCTACAAGGCGACAAAGCGGTGGTGGCGGTTTTATTGTCTTTGGCCAAATGTTGCACACCATAGCAAAAAAAAAACAAAAAGAAAAAGAAGATATATAAAAAATGTAATGGGGCTTGTGAAGAGTGCAGCATGAACGATGCTGTGGAAGGCTATGTGGCTTTGGCTTTGTCGAAACCATCTGGGTCTAGGTATGTGTGGTAATCTAATTAAATCGAAATTTCAGCTGATTACAAAAGCAAGCAACAAGCCAGCAGGCAGCAGGCAGCTGGCAGTATGCAGCATGCAGAACGTCAGCAGTTACAGCAGCCACCAACGTAGTGGCTAATTGCCAAACGTTCAACGGGGCGTATGCGCAATGGGGGCCAGAAAGGCACTTTTAATTGCATAGTTGTCCGTAAGTGTTGCTTTGTATTTGAAATTACTCGAACCGCCTTTAAGCCTGGCCAAATAGCTGCATATGAAATTAGTTCAATTGGTTTGTGGTACACGAAGAAATTTTTGGCACTGCTCAATGCAAAGCCTTAACTATATAAAGTCATTATTTTCACATCTTAAGTCAGCTTTTAAATTATGTCTAACTCACTTTTAATTAATTTAGTAATTTCGTACATTTTTTTACACTTTCACTTACTTCATTGTTTTTTACACTGTACAACAGCGGCTTCCACAGCTGCCGCCCAAAACGCTTTTATTATTTTCTCAACTCGTTTTCAACCTAATACTTAGCAAATTGCCACCAGCAACCATTTGAGATATTTGCAACGCTCGATGACTCTAATATATAATTTGGCATACACATTTTTTTGTACTATTTTGTTTTTAATGCCGCTGCCACAGCTTATTTTGAATATTTATGTTATTTTCTGTACATCTTTTTTTGCACGTTTTCTGCTTATTTACAAAAAGGTTAATCTCTTTATGGAAATGCTGGCGGCGTCAATTTTATGAGAGGTTTAACGGTGTGTGGCGTATCGCCAGTAAATTCGGGTTAAATAGGGTTAATGTGGTGTACAGGCAACTGAGAGCTCATTTTTTGAATTGAATAACTCATCAATTTAAAATTAAAGAGAATATTTTGCAAATACATTGGAAAGCTATTAACTGATTATCTTATTTTTCTTTGACAAATTGCAAATGCGATTTTTAATAATTGACTTTGAAAGTGTGCAAAGGAACAATTATTTTATTTATGTATAAAGTTGAAAAGATCATATATTATTGGCATTTTTAGTACAAAAACCAAGAAACGTAAAAAAATGGCCTTAAATCGTTTTTGGCAAAAACATTTCAATCAAAGCAAGCCGCCAAAAACGATAAATCGAAGCCCAATCCCAAATCCCAACTCATCTCTGCCACGATCCCAGAAAGCCTAACTTGGAGGTACATGTGCCAGACAGGCGCCAAAGTCACAGCGTGTCTGATCTTTAGCATTGTCCTTGGCTTGGAGTTTAATCTAGTGTTTCCGACTGACAATTTCTGGTTTTCAATACTTCATGTGAAGTAAGCACGCGAGCAAATTGCGCAAAAGGGGAGGGGGGGAAAGCGTATTGATTGAAATCGCAGCTGAGGCGAAAACAAAAGACTTAAACAACAAACTTCAGCAAACAAAAAAAACCAAGCGAAAAAAAGCAATAAAAGTCATTTCCCATTGCACATACTCACGTGGAGCGGAAGGGGTGGCTAAGGTGGAGGGGCAGGGGCATGGGGAAGACTGTTGCGGTTACTCTTATTTTTATTTTTTTTTGTTGCCATTCACATGGCCCATTAACTTTTATTTGGCCAAATTTGCATTTCAATGCCCCAAAGTGGGGGCACACAAAAAGCGCTGCAACATGCAACAAGCGATGAAAAGGTCAGCCAAATGTTTGTTGTTCTACTGAATGTCGTGCATGTTGCAAGTTGCAAGTTGCAAGTTGTAAATTGCAAGTGTATGTGGCAGCTGTTGTACTATCTAACATCAATGTAGACGAGTTGTTTCCTAGCACCCAAAAAAAAAAAACAAACAAACAAACTTTGCTAACTTGCTTAATTGCTGGGAACGTTGCGAATTCCATTAAAAAAAATACACCAGCACACATGCAGTTGCATACATATACATATTTATAGAAAAAAAGCAGAAACCAGACCCAACATGGCCCAGAGCTTGGCTCGTTAGGCACACCATCATCGTCATAGTTATGCTTTAATCTCGACGTAGGCGTTGCAGAATGCTGTCGAGGGTGCTGTCGAGGGTGCCGCTCAAAATTAAGGCAAGTGCCTCAAAGAACTGCAACTTATGCTGATGACTTAATAACAGTGAATAAATGAGAAATCCAAGTAAAAGATTGTGGAAAAACCTAAATAAGCTGCCTGGAAAATGTCATGAGATTATCAAGTGCTGCTGATGTGGCCAATTAAATCAATTACTTTAAATGCACTTTTGCATCACAAATAAAGCTTGACTTGAACAAATATTTATAAAGAATATTATGGTAACAACAATTTTATTGCCACCATAAATCCAGCTGAACTCTTTTCTAGCATACACAGTTGAACATTTATTAAATGTTAACCGCACATAAATCAATTTGTCAGCCAGGTTTGCCATTTAGCCGCAAGTCTCAAACAGTATGCAGTTGTCATATATGTATTTGTAACTTTTTTTATTTATATTTTACTAGTTCTTCAGTTATAGTTGTGGAATTTGCCATAGCTCTTTAAACTGGGTCGTGATCAAATGTGAAGACAGAGTAGGACAAATATAAAGACATTGGAAACTGATTTTACTTTTATCGTGATCAGCTCAGCATGAGCTCAAATTTTATATGATATTGTAGCTTGTTTTGTAAGTTAATGCCTTTTTATGCATGCCATCCAAGAGTAATGTTAAATGTCTGCATATGATTTGCATCAAAAACAGCACGCTCACAGTTAAGATAAATCCATAAACTTTTAACTAACTTGCAAAAAAGGAGATTATTTGCTTATGCCAAAAATATTTCAAGTAACCAGAAACTCAATAGAACTCATAGTATAGCTAAAACTATAAACAAAAAATATAAAAATACTTAATGCCTAACATTATTTAATAAATGAATTGGAGTCATTCACATTATTTCCAAAGAAACAAACAGCTCTACATTAATACCAGTTTCTGCTATGAAATTATAAAGACTCATCTGCAAATCATTTAATTTGAAGCAGTAGCCACAAATTCGCCAAAAGTTTGGACTCTTTTGTTTGCTTGTGAGTTAATTGCCCAAATTCGTTGAAAAAAATTAAAGCCATCAAGTGGCAGTGGCAAACAACGTGCCTCACTCACCCGCTGCCTACCTGTAATTAATTTCAACAATTTTCATTGTATTTTTTTTATATTTTTTGCTAGCGTCAAGTTGAAGGCCCAACTTGACGCATCGCTGACAAAAGTGGGCGTGTGCGACATGCAACACGAGAGTTGCTGAAATTGAAGATAAAGACAGACATTTTGCACAATTTGTTTTAATTCTAATTAAATATTATTCATTTATGTTGAATGTGTAATTTGCTGCCCAAGATTTCTTTCGTTGCTTAATAATGGCAATTTTTAATATAAAAACGCTTATCATTCATAAGGCTTATCTGTGTAATTAACAGCTCAGCATGTAGCGGCAAAACGTAAATAAAAATTAATAAAAAAAAAATGGCAAACTTCAAAAATATAATAACAACAATAATGCATATTAAATGCCTTACATAAAGCTACACAATTGCTATTTATTAGATTATGCGCGATTAATGATATTTCAATGCGAGCCGGCTCGTGCTTTGTGTGGCATGCGGTCATTTCAATGATTAATGCATTAAATATTATAGCATGTAATTATGTTTAAATGAGGTTAAAGTTAATACAAATTAACTTTTATTTAAAACGCAAGATCAATGTCTAAAGTTCTAAAAGATTGCCACAAATCATGGCAAACCCAACCACAAACCACAAGAGAACCACGTTGGAGAGCCTTCAACTGCTTTTAATTGGAGCTGTGAACAGCCACTTAGCCAAGACATAAACCACACGAAGTACACTGACATATTACTAAGGAAATCATTATCATTTATGATAAACTACGTAACCTTACGTGAAGCGAATGGTACTCAAGGCTTAATTTGTGATTCACTTATGAGTGCTACTGAGTCTATTTTTCACATAGTAGCCTCTATCCGGTACTTCATATAAAACTCTGTTATATATTTATTAGCAATAGTTTTGCGTTTGTAACCACTGTGCTTGGCCCAGTCTTGGCCCAGCACTAATTCAATTCTCCAACAGCAGCTGCATACAAAAGCAAGTTACAATAACGAAGTCGAAGACGTAACTTGATTTTCAGCTGTTGTTGTTGTTGTTTCTGCTTGGAATGCAGTTAAATGCAAGGCTTTATCCATCTCAATCTTTATCTGTCTCTACTATTGTATATCTTTATCGTTTATCGTTATTTTCTGCAGCATTACATTTTGACTGTCGACGGTTTGCGGCAATTTGTTGTCCGCTCTTTGACTTTGCCCTTTATTTAATTTACACGTAAATTATTTTTACTTTTTTGAATTCACAGCAAATGGTATACGATTTTTTCTGTAAGGCTTTTGGCTAACAGTAATTGCATTTGTTTAACATGCAAAATTGCTGTTGACATTCTTATTGCCCTTAACGGGATTTGGTTTTGGGCAGCTTGAAGGTTGGGACCACCCTCAATCTGCATGTTCAGGTAATTGAGGGTACTTTTGGATTTGATTAAATTAAATAATCTATTTGTGTTAGTTAAGAGGAGAAGAACCGTAATTGAAATTTAGTTTCAATCGTAAGTTGATTGAGTTAAAAGCATAATAATTTAACTCTCAAGTAATTGAATAATTAAGTTTGAGTAATGTCAAACAAAAACTATAAAACACATTTACAACATTCATTAACTCATTTTAAATTAAATTAATATGCAAATAAATTATAAATAATAAAATTCCGACAAATATATATTAGCTCTATTAATAAATGCAGCTAAGCCTGTTAGCACCTGTGATCTAAAGTCGCATCTCACGCGTCGTATGCACAATTTATAAATCAGCGAACAATTTAAAGCAGTTTGTCAATTGACTTTGACATTGACCATGGCCTGCAACATTGGCTGCGATAATGAACAATAGTTAAACATATTTTTGCAGTTGATCATAGAAAACATGTATTCATTATTATGTAAAGGCTTTGCAGTTGCAGCAACTATTTCCGCAATCCGCAAACTGAAGTTGCATTTAACAAATGCAAATTGAAATAACGACAGCCAGCTGACAACACAGCCAGCTAGAAGTCCGTCAACGCTCAGAGCTGGCCTCACCTGACCAAGTTGGCCAGGTTGATGAATGGATGATGCATGTGTCAATTAGCCGTGTCAATTAGCCATGTTTGGGGAACTAAACAAAAAATACAAATAAATAAATAAAACGCATATGCGGTTGGCTGCCATAAATTTGTGAGTCCGCCACATTAATTGTCAGTTTGTAACCTCCGCCATTTGTTGCCCTTTCCACGGAGGCTTTTCGCTTTGGACCGCATTCTAAATACGAGTGAATTGCAACAAGTCATCGTCAGCGTCAGCGCTGCTTTGGTTTTGTGCACCTGCCCCAGAGCAACACAGCAACAACAACAACAACTACAGCACAACTGAATGTCAGGCCCGATTTTATCATAGCTTCTATTTCTATTTACCGTTCACTTTTTTTTCTAACTTAACCTTTTTTAGCGCCTCTATTTTAATGCTTTTATAAATGCCAAGTTTTATTTTGTTTGTTTTTGTATTAAACGTAATTTTTTTGCTCAATCATTGTTATTCTTTTTTGCCCATTGCAGAGTTTATCACTTGCTGCCATCACCGCCTACGTTTACGCCCAAATAGCGCCCGGCTCGAATGCGTATTTGCCGCCCACCAAGAATGGCTACGATTATCCCGAGCCCAAGAAGCCATTTGTAAGTATACAATGCCAAAAACGGAGTCCACTTGAATTTAATTAAAAACTTAAATCTGTTTGAATAAATCAATTGAAAGTTGAATTTCTATACAGGTACTAAATGAGTTTGCAAAAGTTCACTCAACACTTTTTGGTGGCTTCAAAAACATAGTCAGAGTGTTGCATAAGCAAACAAGGTGCTTTTAAATTGTTTACGGTGTATGCAACAGACACAAATATGCAACGAAGAGCTGCAAATTGAATTAAAGTCAATGGCTAATTATGGCCATAATTTTCATTCGCAGCATCAGACAATTCACCCGACCTGCCGACAGACCTTTAACCGCATAACTTCGCCCCCTCTCTCTCACTATATATTTATATATTATATATTATATATATATATATAAATATCACTCTCATCCTCTCTCTGTCTGTGTATCACCACAAAATCATCAGTCAAGCCTCAATGCAGTCACAGGCCAGCCAACACTTCAGTCTATAAATGTTCAGCGTCATGCCGGCATTACCTTTGGATGCAAGCTGAGAGAGATGGAGTTATGTGTACAAATAGAGACAGCAACAGTCCTTAGACTGCACTTTTCAATTTGAATGTGCACGGACCCAAATGACGTTGCATTTGTCACCTGACAGCATTTGGAAATCGGAGGCGTAGCCAAACCACAGCCAACAAAACAAATCTTTGCCCAAGACGGGAATGAGTTAACCTTTTTTTTATTAATTTTTTCGCTGTCATATTTGCAGAAGGTTAAGTCAGAATAATTGATTGCAATACTTAAAATGAAATGCATTTCCGGGCAAAGCAGTTGTAATCTTATAAAGCAATGTAAGCTGTCAACATGATGAAAAGTCAAACAGTGTGAAAAATTGAGTTGAAAATTAGTTGCATCTGTCATATTTAAAATACAATTTTCAATTCTTCATTTAAAATCTTTCAAATCTATATTCACAGACACCTGGCCAGCCGTCACCACCCGGAACTCCCGGACGTACACCAGTACCTCCACCACGCATCCCGCCCGGTCAACCAGGCGATGTAAGTACAACAGATAGTTAAGACCAAGTCTGCCCAAACTCAATTTTCCTTGCACCAACAGGATCATGTGCACGTTCCCGGCATGCCGTTCGACTTTGAGTACGCAGTGCAGGATCCGGAGACGGCTAACGACTATGCGCACAAGGCATCCAGTGATGGCGATGTGGTCACCGGCGAATATCGCGTTCAGCTACCCGACGGACGCACCCAGGTGGTCCGCTATACCGCAGACTGGAAGACCGGCTACCATGCGGACGTCAGTTATGAGGGTGAGCCATCCTATCCACAGGGACCAGCTACTGGAGGACGTGGTGGTGGCGGCGGTGGTGGTGCCGGTGGCTACAAGTACTAGAGGGAGCAGAGTTCGCATCGTTTCGCGTTTTGAGTTATGTCTGTCGTAATTATATTGTTGTGACTTCCATCAGAAATGTCTAAACTTTATGGTATACACCAATAAATATTATTGATAAATTTGGAATCTCGGTTTACAGTCAACTTTTAAAAAAGTTATTACAGTGAAGAGTTTTGACTCGTAAATAGATCTTATAATTCTTGTAAGCCATAGTGGGTAGCCAAAAGCGACATCAAGCGTAATTTTAAGGAAACTACAACAAATCAAAGCTTCGCTCAAGCTTGGTGAAACTTGCGAAAGGAAAGCACGCCAGCCTGCTCAGGTAAGCTTGTCAAAAGCTCTATTATATGGAGCAGCCTGCAGCCCTCGCATGGAGCTCAACTGTCAACCGCTGTCAGAGAGCGCAACAAGTGTCGCTCAGCTGTCAAAGCTCGCTCAGCTGACGGACGACAACAAGCCAAGTGCGCAGCTGCGAGAGGAGGTAAACAGACACCTGTAGCGGCTCCATCGTTGTAAACAAAGCTCGAGCGCACTCGCGACAAATGTCAACGCAGGCGCAGGATAGTGTGTGAGCAGCGCAGCGTACGTCAAAAGCGCACACACAGCAGCTAGCTCGCTCGCACCAATGGGCGGGCAAGCGATGAACTCATCGGTGACACAGAAACGTCAGCGAAACGTCAAACAGCTAACGGCAGTATACAGAGAAAAGTTTTTTATGCAGACCAACAGAATTTTCACACGCACCAAACACACAAGGCGAAAAGCGTGCACAACTTTGAAAAACAAATTTTGAGTTTTGAATTTTTTGAAAATTACCGAAAATTGTTGAAAAACGTGCGAAAATGTGCAATGCGTGAATGGAAAAGTTTTTGTTTTTTTATTTTGTGAAAGTAGCTCGCGGAAAAATGTTTGTGCAGGCGTAATGAGGAAATCAGGCAGTGGATGATGATAAAATGTGTGTGTGTGAGATGTGTGTGAAGCGAGTGCAGCAAATTGGGCTACAAAATTGAAATCGAGGCTCGCGCATTCGTGTATAATATATATGTATATGTCGCGGCCCAGATCGTTGCAGCCAATTGAGCAATATGGCGAGACCATTTTGGGCCTGGCGCCGCCTAAGCCTGAGCCTTTTATTTGTGTTCATCTACTGTGCCCCTGGCATCATTGCCGAGAAAATCAACTACAATCTGTGAGTGGGCCAAGTCGCCATCAAGATTACCCCCTGTTCTAACCAATACATATATTCACCCACATATATATATATATATCTATATATATAAATACGTATATAGTGTTCATTCCTGGGCGGACAAGCTGGGCTTGGAGCTGTTTTCACTGGGCGATTTTATCACCAGGCGCAAGGAGGTGCAAGAGGTGAGTGTGAATCGCCTCTATTGATTTTTCCCACATTGTTTTTTGTTGTTGACGTTTGGCGACGCGTCAGCAGCAGCAGCAGCAGCGACGTCATATTTGGGTTAAAGGCTGCCTGAGTAGGCAATTATATATACAAAATGTTTGAAGCACGCGGTACATATAGCCCCACCCACTCCCCCCACCCCTCTTTCCCATCCCTAATTTTTCCCTTCCGTCCAGCCCAATTGTTGTATCTTTTTATGAGGTCAGTTGCTGCTGCTGTGTAATTTATTTTTAGTCAGCGCAATTGGATTTTGAAATGAAATTGCTCAACGGAAGCGTCAAAGACAAATTAGACATGTGGCATATACGGCATGTGGCATGTGGCATGAAGGCAAATTGGCAGAAGTTCTTACATGTATCTATATATATACATAGGCATTTAAGTATTTACACTAATTCTCTAGCCATTGTACCTTGACAATGTAATGGCAACAATGGCAACAAAGAATAGTAAATTCCAGATGGAATTATTGGGGAAAAGCATTTCCCACGGTTGCCTGACAATTCGCATTGTTTTTGAATCATCTAGCAGTATTCAGATAGTATATACAAACACAAACTACTTTGACTATGTAGGACACTTATAAAAATTGAGGATTTAGAGACATCGAAATTTAAAATAAGCAAAAACCAATTACACTTTGTCACAATATGACATTTTCTTGGCTGCCACCATGCGTTTGAGGACCCAGATGACGTCGAACACATAAATATAATGCCCTTTACACAAAATTGCTCAAGCCTAGACCAATAACAGTCAGATGTAGTCATAAAAATCACAACAGGACTTTAATTCTTCGATTTTACTTAATCTTCGAGTTTTGTTATCTTTTGTGCATCTCACGCCAAAATTTGCAGAGCTTCAAGGAAGCAAAAGTGGTGACGCGTCAAGGTGGCGTCATTGTCGAGTCGATGGCCAAAGAAATCGAAATGATGATGGATCTCAAAGTCAGCGCCGTGCGTGTAAGTGAAACTCCCTTAAAGTATACTACATGAAAACCATGTAAAAATTGATCTTTGATTTTAGCGCATTATGGATACCGCTGAGAATACGGCGCTGTCGCATCAGAATGATATGGCGGACAAGATGTTCTCGTACTACAATGCAAAATCGATGGCGGAGCCGGGCGAACCAACACCACCAGCACCGACCACGCCACCCGATATGGATGATCAGATTGGCGAGCCGTTGATCTATGTGCCACCGAAGGTGTTGGTGCTGGAGCCGAGTCCGGAATTTCAGAATACGCCCGTTAATTTCAGCGTCAGTTCGGTGCATGTGCCGGTGAATGTGTTTGATCGAGGTTTGAGTTGTGCTTTAAAAACTTAACAGCTGTCTGTCTCTCCTCTGTCTCTCTCTCTCTCTCTCTCTTTCTCTCTCCATCTATCTCTCTCTGTCTTCTGTACTTGTAATTGTAACTGTTGATCTCTTTGTTAATCACACTGCGTGTCGTTTGTCTATCGTAAAAGCTTCTTCAACTTCAATACACACGAGCACACGTGAATGCCAAAAAAGAAAAAAGAAAAGAAAAGAAAAGAAAACACACTGCGTCTCTGTCTGTCTACTGCTAGCCTGTCTAAAACTGTAGCACTAACTCTGTTTCTGTCTCGCTCGTATGCTGTATGCTATATAATTAGTTGCCGTTTCATAGTTAACCGCTAACGTTTAACCGTAATCGTTAACCGTTGCGCCTACTTTTTCTTTTTCAATTTCCAACCGCTTACGTCAATGCGCGCCAAAAACAAAAATCAAATGACGCACGCGCGCCCACGCAAGCAACGCATCGCCGCATTCTGCGCTGCACAACTGTACCTAATGGCCGATAGTTGGAGATGGGCGCGTAATTTTTCAATTGAATGGGAAAGAGAGGATAAGTTTATCTTACGATTGGCTTAAGTTTTATTGCAAATTTAAAATTGATAAGCTTCAAGACAAACTCCAATTTAAATTAAGAGCTGGGTAATACAAGAATTATATTGTACCTATTCTTACCTAAACCCGTTTGCAAAAAAAAATCTGAAACTAACTCTGTCGATGCAGAATAGGAATATATATATTCCTATTATATATACTCTCTGTAGTCGGAGATGATTTATGCTGCCTGTTACATGCCTCTGAAGAACTTCATAATAAGCTTTTCCGCAATTGGAATGGGTTCAAGATATAAAAATAATCATTCGAATTTTCTCAAGCTCTTTTATCTCCAAGGTAAATGTAAAGAGAGTCCATTGAAGCATTGATTAAAGCAAAGAAAGATTATACTAAGGAAAACTCCAAATGGTAGAAAATATCGGGATCGGAGAGGCATCCTTCTGTCTATCATATACTTATGCGTACTTTTGATTATACGCTTTTCCCCATTTTGAATGGATTAAGGATATACAAATGATGATAAGCTACATTTGAATTTATAAGGCATGGTTCTTTGACGGAAATACCCATATTGTGTTAGCAACTAAAGTATTAACCTATTCCGCTCACGCGTTCATCTCTGAGGGAAACATCACTCATCGCTGGTGTTGCGTTGCGAATTGTTGCTGGGGGTGCGCGTGCGTGGCGCTGTGAATGTTTTATTGCCGACACGCGGAATGCTTTGCCAAAAACCGTACAACACCCAACTAAGCCACTTTAAACACTTGAGCCCATAACCACGACCACGACCACGCCCACCAATATATGTCAATCAAAAGCATACACACACACACACACACCCACATACACACATATAAACACACGCGCACACCTGCGCCTGCACTGCCTTGTGCTAATTTTTGAAACGCATCATAAATCCTCAAAAAGAAAAGTCAACCAGAGAGACATTCTACTAGGTAGTCTGTATACCCAGCCAAGACAAATACTAATCAATTTGTGTATTAAAATTCTTCCCGTTTCTTTGACAACAAAAAAAAACAATTAAAAATAAAACACGAATCATCGGCCACACATAACGAATACAAATCACACGAACATGAATACGAATACGAATACACAAAATCAAAAACAAAAAAACAATAATCCACCCAAAAAAAAACACAGCGTCGGATGTTATAAAAGCGATTCAATGGTCGGAGAATTTGGATCAGATATTTCGTGATAATTACAAAAACGATCCAAGTTTGTCGTGGCAATTTTTTGGCAGTTCGACAGGCTTTATGCGTCAATTCCCTGCATCGAAGTGGAAGAAGGACGTACCGGTTGATCTATATGATTGCCGTTTACGCTCTTGGTACATGGAGGCGGCGACGAGTCCAAAGGATATTATTATCCTAATGGATGGATCTGGTTCAATGTTGGGACAGAGGCTAGATATCGCAAAGCATGTTGTCAATACGATACTTGATACATTAGGTACAAATGACTTTGTGAACATCTTCACCTTTGATAAGGAAGTGAGCCCAGTTGTCGGATGTTTCGAGGACACACTGATTCAAGTATATATATCTTTCTTTTATTTCACTATCATTTTTCAATTATACATCATTTTCTTTATCAATTATCAATCTGATTTTTCTTTATCCCACTCAAAATTCTATACAAACAAACAAAATACAATTAAATTACTGCACACACTCAATCGATGCGGCTTCAAACACAAAACAATCCCATACAAAAAAAAAAACAAAAAAAAAAAAACAAAACACAAATATCGAATATGTTTTTTGAACACTTCGAAATGCATCCAGGCAAATCTGGGCAACGTACGTGAACTAAAAGAAGGGATTGAATCGTTTAAACCCAAATCGATTGCCAATTATACCGCTGCATTGACAAGAGCTTTCGAGATATTGGAAGAGACGAAGATTAATTCGCGCGGTGCGCAATGCAATCAGGCGATTATGATCATTGGGGATGGGGCACCCGAAAACAATCAAGAGGTCTTCCAGTTGCACAATTGGCGCGACCCGCCCTATAGGCCGGTGCGTGTGTTCACCTATCTGATTGGCAAAGAGGTGGCGAATTGGGATGATATACGGTGGATGGCATGTGAAAATCAGGGCTATTATGTGCATCTCAGCGATACCGCTGAGGTGCGCGAAATGGTATTAAATTATATACCAGTTATGGCTAGACCCCTGGTATTGGGTAGGCACGATCATCCGGTCATTTGGACGCAGGTCTATGCGGACCTCGAGGTGCGTAACACATTGTCCCCAAAAAGGGCTAACTCTTACCCCTTAAAAATTCAACAAAGAAACGAACAAAAAAAATCAAATTTAAATGCTATCTAGGATACAAAACTCTCCGACTATTTGTGGGAGATCAAGCAGTGCGAGGAGCAAAAGGCCGATGTCCTGGAATACTGGCAAGTCCGCGATCGCATGTTGGAGCCGAATGAGATGCGCAGGCGCGAGTATCGGCGCATGAAGGAGGTACACATAATGTTTTTCTTTTATGGATAATTGCTTCTCAGTAAATCTTTTTTGATATTATTTTTGCAGACCTGGAATCAACCAGTGGACTCCAATGTCTATCAGTTCATGACCACCGTTTCCATGCCCATTTACGATAGACGCGAAAATGCGGTAAGTTGAGACCATTAGATATCTGGTGTGGCCGTATGCGCGTTACAAATCCGTAATCAAATCGAAAATCAAACCAAATCAAATCAAACAGTTAGCACTGCCAAAATTCTTAGACAAAATCTTATAAACGACATGTCGACGTCGCATCGCAGACAGCGATGCGTTCATTATGCTCTCTCTCTCTCTCTCTCTCTCTCTCTACATATATATTTATATATTATATATATCTATATATCTCTCACCCTCGAAGTTATCGATAACATACACAAAAAACAAAAAAAAAAAACAAAAATCAAATAGTACCCAACCATATTCTATCTATATTAAAAAAAAAAACTCACTTTATACTACTACAACTATATTAATATTTTATGCGTTATATATATATAACACACAACAACTACCTACTACTACTACCAAAACTATACACAACTATACCACAGAATATCACCGAAGAAGTTTTAATAAATGAAGCACTCTGGGAATTGCAAACACGTGAGGTACAAACTATAATGCCAAATTCTAACAAAAAACTACAACAAAAAAAAAAACAAAATATTTAACAAAAATTCCAATTCAAATTTGAGATTTGAGTAAAATGTATTTAACTGCTCCTTAAGCGAAAGTTTTATATACGCCAATTAATCGCATATATCGTATTGAATTCCAATATTAATAATATTATCCAAGTATATATAAATATATATTTGTATTGTATATCAATATACTTATCTAAGTCTAAAAGTAAACAATTTGTTATACTTTGCGCTACATAACATTGCATACCTATTCCATATTTAACCGATATACTTAATATAACTAATTATACCTACTCGTATATAACACTAGCTAACATGGTCTAGGACCATGCTATTTTATTAGCAAATTTTTTTGCCATTATAGTTGACCACGTACTCGTTTTAGGTACTATCAAACAAAATCCAAAATCGTTAAAAATGAACAAAACGAAAATATATATATACATATAATATATATTCCAAATTGCAATTCGATTGGTCAAGTATTTAAACGATATACCACGTAATTATATACTATAATTATAGCATATATAATTTTCTTTATATATTCGTAAAAGTACCATTAAATAGCTATGCCTAGTTACTTACTTAACGTAATCGTAAATTATAATATATACATATATATATATAGAACATTTTATCTAGCATTTTGAGTAGTACAATTTAACATTTGTTGTTTTACGTAAGACCAATCATTGGGCAATATACAGCCGCGTGGCCTAGAGCCAAAAAAAAAAAACAAAAAACAAAAAATACATTTATAAAGTACTCGTATATAGTTCAATTGGTTCTTAAAAACAATCCCAACTAGAAAACCCCATTCAATGTTAGCGATGATGATTATTCATTGATGTTTAGTAAGTACAATGAATTGAGCAAATCGAACTGAATACCACGCAAAACTTAGGCTAGTGCTGAGGCCCTATAGAGCACATGAAACAACAGCAACAACAACAACAACAACAACAAAAATAACAAACAGCAACCGAAACAGAAACAGCAACAGCAACACAACAAAACATACAAGAAACATTTACCAAACACCAACTAGAAATACACGACTCGAGATGAGGCATCGAATCGAATAAGTTTTTATACCCTTCATAGGAATCAGCCTAAAAGACGGCAATGTGTAGGCAGAGGCACCTTGGTTGCAGCATATTAGTTATTAGTAATATATAGTAAAACACCATAACACACTCAAATATTTACCCTAGCTCCCTGCTGCGCCTCGCCCCACCCCCTAAGAGGTGTGTACACCCCGAAAATATTTAAGTTTGCTTTCGTTTCTAGAGATTTATTTATGATTAAAAAATACCAATACAAATTCACAGCTCATTAATCTAACGACCGATATAAATCCGGCTGCGAAAATAAACCTTCAAGTTGTGAGTAAATTGTTTTTAAGTCTAAGCAACAACAACTGCAACAAAAAAAAAAAATAATAAAAAAAAAACAAAAAAAAAAAACATTTAAAATAAACTAAATTCTAAATTTGCAAAATTATTCGAATTCAATTTGCTAAATTAATTGTTTCGATTAATGTCTGTGCCGCATGCAATTCTATTTCTTTTGCAAAAAAAACAAATTATGCTTTTGAATTTGAAGCACCTCCCAATTGAGCACCTTCTTCTTTTTTTGGCCACCACATCCCACGCCCATTTAAATCTTTCTTTATTTTATATTTGCCTCACATTTTTGATTTCCTTGATTATGTGGATATTTTGTTTGCCACTGTCCGTCAAATGCTTGGTACTAAAATAAATCAAATTTAATTGCTTATGTTTCTTATGCGTAATCCTAGAATCTTAGTTCTCTGTTTTAGGCTTTTGCTAATGGGCACTCGATCAATTTCTTAGGCAACTGCAAAATCTACTAACTGTCTAGTTGAACTGCAATCTATACAAAACTTCGTGCCACAAACAACAATCAAAAATCAACAGTGTCTTCAACATATAACTCTCCTCAACTCGATCACAATGCGTTTCCACTGTATTTCCACAAGGTGCAGCGTCTTTACACAAAGTTTTCACTGATATTGCAACACAGCGCTGCACACACAGACTCACACAGGCACGCGCTTACACACACACACACACACAATCAACAGTGACTGTGTGAAGGGTATAAAAACTATGAAAAATACACAACACCAACACCACAAATACTTCAAACAATCAAACACCCAATAAACCCCAAAAAACCGTACTTTCCAAGTACACCTTTCACTCCACATCTTGTGTATTACTCTGTCCCTGCTCGCCCGACCCCGCCCCGCTATACACTATGTAAACAGCTTCTTTTTACCAGTTTTTCGTTGATTTCTTTCTATGAATTCTCAATGAAATTGTAAATTACTCTTTTCTTCTTCGTTACTTTGCTGAAGCGTCTAAAATGAAATTTGCTAAAAAAAAATAAAAATAAAAAAAATATTGTACAATTTATTTGTTATATTTTATTAACACTGCGTTATTTTGGTTAACACAACCACTGTACGCTCTCATACGCTCTTAGTACTACTCTGCTAGCCATGTAATTAGTTTTATGCTGTCAAAACAATTAGAAAAAAGCTAAATTTGCAATTTACTAAAAATTATTTGTAATTTTAAACATCAATAAAAATAAAAAAATAAAAAAAAAACAAAAAGAAAGTAATAACGCCATTTGAAAAAAAAAGAACTCTTAAAACTGTATTCGTAAGTTCTTGCGTAGTAAAAAACAAATGCTTCTCATATTGTATTTGCATAAACATTTCTTACGTTTTGTTCCCTATTCGTTTTATTTGTTTTGTTCAGTGTAAGCCGAATCAAACAATTTCGTTTTTGTACTAGCAATGCCATTTATCAACTTCAAGTTCAATTCATTTTCAGTATTTGATTAACATGCAAACAAAATAAAATTCTCTGTACTTGTACTTGTATTTGCGCTAAAAACCAAAAAAAAATACCATTTAAAAAAAAAAAAAACTCCAAACTTGTGTATATGTTTCGATTCACTCACATCATAAAACAAATCATTTTGTTAAATTTGCTTAAAACTTTTATGCTCATGCACAGACAAGAATCGCAAATATATTGGGCGTGGCTGGTACTGATGTGCCCATCAATGACATCAAAAAGCTGCTATCGCCGTTTATGGTAAGTGTTCAGTGTTCTAAAGCAGCCGAGGATATATAAATAATAATGAATATCCCTATAGCTTGGCGTGAATGGCTATGCGTTTATAGTAACCAACAATGGTTATGTACTATTCCATCCAGATTTTCGTCCAATTGTAAGTTGATAGATTGAAATACTTTTAATATTTATCTAAACATTTTTAAATTTACATTTTTGGCTGAGTAGTTCCAAGGTTATATATTAAAACCAGCTTACAATAGCGTTGACATGATTGAAGTTGAGCTATTGGATGACGATCGAGCCGCCAGAGACTTTAATCCAGTGCTGATGACGGTGAGTTTGCAATTGCTCAAAAAAAAACTTTTCACATATTTTATCATGAATTTATGCATCGATTTTTATTAGATACGCGATTCTATAATCAATCAATCGACCGGCAGCAAATGGATGCTGGTAAAGAATCATTTCGATGAAATGGTAAGTTTGAAATTTCCTTTTTGGGATTTCCTTTATTACTTCATTTATACCACTCTTGAACACTTGACAGAAACGTGTGGCTCGCGTCAAGCGTCAGTATTACTGGACTGCTATAAAAAATACACCATTCACTTTAGTCATCACCTATCCGGAGCGTTATGGTGTTAGTCGCATGGAGCCACGCACCGAACAGGATATTCATCGCACCTATATAACGGGCAAAAATATACGCAGCTTCTTCGATGGCAAACGCTGGAAAATTCATCCCGATTGGTAGGCTTACAGAATAATTACATTTCGATTAGTTTTTATACTCTGATACCGATGGGAAACGTGAAACTTCGAACATCTGCTTGTCTGTGTAAAAAACTACAGTCGACAAAATTGGTTGGCGATGTCCTTCAAAGATTCGACCACCAAACCCAGTAGGAAGGTTTGAAGAAGAATATTACTAGCAATCTCCTTCAAAGATAAGTAAAAAAAAAAATTGCCACCTTATAATTGGTATCAGAGTATTTCGCAGTCGGTGACGCCCGAATGCAACGTTCTCAGTTGTTTATTATTTAATTTATTAACTCGAATTCTTTAAATTTAAGGCTATTTTGCAAGCAAACCAATAAGACATTCCGAACGCCCGAAACTGAACTTTTGTATTTTGTGGATCGTATGTCTGAACCTGGTTGGCACTGGCCATCGAGTCGAAGCGCTATGCCCCCGGAGCATGCGGCGGCCATTTTCTGTAAGTAGAGCCCGGAAACACAGCTCGAAGATTGCCACACAAATTCTTATTTTTATGCTTTTGGTAACTAACTAAAACGCCGCTGTTGATGCTTTTCGAACTAAATTTTCTGCATATTGTGTTTTGAAGTTTATGTTTACTAAAAATTATGCTCGAAAGAAAACCATAACAAATCTGAATACTAAAAGATAAAATGCAAATTTCGATTAAGATTTCAATAACCATGCAAATTCACAGCTAACAACTCATCAACTGGCCGCTATCCATCAATCAATGAAAAAGAAAGCTACTATTGTGAGTAACGAATATACCAAAAAGCCAAAGTCAAGTCGTAACATCCAAAAATTCCCAAAAAAAAAAAAAATAATAATAATAATAATAAAAAAAACCAACAGATTATCACCAATAAGTGCACCAAATTATTTTGAGCTATGCACTTTGCACTTTGCACCTTCATTTCATTTTTTGGCGAATTCAGTTGCCACGTTCAACGACGAATCGGATATGCCTGATTAATAAATATATATAGACTTAACTTATGATTTCAACTTGTAACTGTAAAAACTATATGTACTAATTAATACTCGTGTATGTGTTGCCACCAGTTAGCTGCGGAATTTGCACAGCAAAAAAGTCAAAATGCATGAGAATAAATAGATTACGTATTATTTGATATAATTTATTGACAAAGCTTGGTATTGAAAAACAATAAAGAAACAACAAAAAAACTGAGTAAAATGAGAGCATGTTCGCTTGCAACGCAATTGAAACGTTGAGCGAAGTGTGAGAGCTGATTTATAATTGGTATACAAAATATTCGTTTTAAGAACTTTGTCAACTTTGTGTTACAGGCGATCGCCAGCTAATGCAATCACTGGTTTTCGATGCGCGTGTCACGAAATGGTTCTCCAACAACACCACTTTCAATGCCCGCGACAAGGACGAGAAGAGGTAAGTGTCTAAGGAGGTGTCTATGGTATTGCGATAGTGCAATTTGTGCTAGACTTGTCTTGTTCCACACACAGTCAAGTACAGTCAAGTGATACTACTACAACTACTTAACCCACAAACCAGAGAGGCCGAGCACATATTAACCATTATAATTTATGTGTATCGCCTTTCTTTTTTTTCTCACATTTATTTGCAATTTTTTGTGGCGAACTGTTTTTATGTGTGTATCGATATCGTTGTTGTTGTTGTTTGTCTCTTTCATAATGAATTTTTTTCGCACCCAACAAACGAATACTGCAATCTTTGAAACTCTTGTACTCTCCACATAACATAATGCCTTTCATAATGTCTGAAATCAAAAATACAAATACAACAAAATATATATATGAAATACCTCCTCTAGCGTAAGCGCATCAAGCCCAATAGCCGTACTAATGGGTTTGCTGCCAAGGTAAACAGAAAATACTCGTCTTAAACTTTACTTATACTATTACTATTATCATATTATCATAATATTCTTATGTTTTTTAACCATTATACGCACTCCAATATTACTTTGCTAATATCCTCGTTTCTGTTTTAACAGACACGAATTCAAGCAGAGATTTGGGATCACCGTCGCCTTTTTGGCCACGCACAGTGGTTTGACCCGCTGGCACGAGTTCCACTCGAATATGGCCGAGCAGCCGGGTGTGGGGTAAGTCACCCAACAAACAAACTACAGTAAACACTCTATAAGCACAACTCTAACCATTTCAGTGAGAGCTTTAGTCAGAACAATAAGCGCGCCATCGATGAGATCTGGTATAAACGCGCTGTGGACCAATATTTTGTGCACAAGGAGAGCTTTGTCTACTCGGTGCCCTTTGATGCTGGAGGTGCGTCTTCCGGGAACCCCTTTAAAAGCAGACTATCTAAAATACATATTTCATTTGCAGAGAGTGGCTCAGAAATAATCGTAACTGCCAGTAATGCCATCTTTCACAATGAGAGCTCCAAATCGGCGCCAGCTGCCGTCGTCGGCTTCCAGTTTCAGCACTCGGCTTTCTACAAGCTCTTCCATAACATCACCGGCAATGTGAGTGGTCATTAAACTTTTGAAATACAGCATACAGCACATAATAAACCACTTTTGGCAGGCCTGTGCTGTGGATGATAAGGACTGCTATATACTCGATAATAATGGCTTTGTGATCATCTCCTCACGTGTACACGAGACGGGCAAATTTTTTGGTGAAGTTAATGGCGCAATCATGATGCGCCTCGTCGAGGAGCGGGTGTACAAGCGTGTCATCGTCTACGACTATCAGGCAGTGTGCTTTGAGTCGAAGACCGAAGTCAATGCTTCCAATATGCTACTCTCTGTAAGCAATAAAGTGAATTCATAAAGTGTTCTAGTTTTTTATCTATTTATTTATTGACATATATTTATTACCCAGTTCTAAAAACCCTCTCTCTCTCTCTCTCTCTGTCTCTTGTAGCCACTTTTTCATTTGCTGCGCGTAAGCAAATGGCTGCTGCATACGGCGCTGTGGTATATTGTACAACTGATGAGATTGGCGCCGGGCGTTGCGGGCCATTACAATGATGTCTATATGGATGGGAATGGCACCGAACCGGAGCCAGAGCCCGATGACAATGGCCAGACAAAGAATACCGCCTGGTTGCGCTACCTGACACTGCATCGCACGCGGCTCAAGTCGTGCGACATGCAGCGAGAGCTGTACATGTTGTACAATGAGAAGGACAACGTTGTCTACAATATGACAGCGCATGCATGCGAGCGGCCATTTGTGGTGCTGCCCATACCGAACAGTAATCTCATACTGCTCGTCATCGATCAGCTGTGTCCCCGAGATGTTGCCTTCGTGCTCAATGTGAACCCGAAGCCGATCAGCTACCCGCTGGCGCCCAACGAGACCTTCTCGTGTTACAAGCACGTACGCGAATTCAATCGTGTGCGTCCATCGAGTTGCATCAGTCGCCATGCGAATGTAAGTGACAGTCTCTCTGGATCTCTCTATATATATATATTGATATATATGCAAATTCACTCTGTTTATGTCTTACACAGGAGAGCAACATCAAGTTGTGTGGCAAGGGTTGCACGATCTATGCGAATCTCATGTTGCTATTGCTGAGTCACGTGTTGAGTCGCTTGCTTTAACGGCGGTCGCCATATGTTTAGCTAATTGTAGGCAATATCTATATATACTTATATTGATAATGGTTTTTTGTATAATACTATGATAGTTAAAAACAGAAAAAAAAAAGCAAAAAAAAAAATAGAGGGGGAAGGAGTACGATTTTTTACTATACTCGAAAAACGCTTGAGCGCTGTTCATTTTTTCCACAATTTTTGTCAAACTTAGTGTTAAGATATGAGGTGTAGCTACCAAAATTTGTGTTTGTGAGTTTTATGTTAACTATTGAAACCATGTAACAGTGTGTGCACTGCCTATGATGGACGAGGTGCTGCTGCTTTATTGTAGACCTTCCAATAGACAAACCAAAATATACATACATATATATGTATATATATATGTGTATACTATGTATGTATATATATATTTATGTGTATATGTATTATGCTAATTAACTACAAATTCCAACAACGGCCTTAAACAACTCGCAAACATATAAACATTTAAACATTTAAATAAGAATAATAAACGAAAACATTTTGTAAATGCCGCTCGCTGTTAAATAGGCAAAAATATAAATATATTTGCGCACACTGTTCCATATAATAAAAAAAAAACTACTGCCCATGTTAAGTGTGTGTGTGTGTGTATGTGTGTGTCCGAGTGGAAGTGTGAGTGTCGTGTCTGAGAGTGTGTGAGTAGCGTGTGTCTGTGTGTGTGTCTGTGTGTGTGTGTGTTCAAACCTAATTTAAGACGGCCACCATTTGTAAGTAAAACTTAGCTAATTATTACTACATACATATATATAAATAAATATATTAAAAGAAACGGAACAAAATACCTACAAATAATGCGAAATAATGAACCATTTCAATTTACATAAATACATTAACAAACACATAACAAGCCAGGTACATGCTATACGTTTAAGTAGCTTTTGTATATTTGCTTAGCTTAGCCCAAACAACAACAACAACAACTACCAGAATATACTATAATAAATACCAGAAGCCATTCAAAAGTTCGGCTTTGCGAAGCATTCAATACTTTTATAAACATTCGTTATAACTAATTAGCCTAAGCATGGAAGACCCACATAGAGTAAAAACAAACCAAATTCATTGTTTTTATATAAAGCATACATACAGCAAAAAAACATTTAAAACAAAAAAATAATAATAATAATAATAATAATAACTTCGATTGATACCTAGCATAACCCACAAGTACCTATTATAGCAACTTTTTATTACATACTAACTAAAAAACTACTTGATACGAGCTACGAGCCACAGAACTGAGCAGAAGCAGCAGCGTCTAGTAAATTTAGATTTAAAAGTCAAAAGAACAAAACAAAATAAAACAAAAAACATAGAGAAATACTAATATTACATTTAAAATTCAACTAGTTGAAATTTACCAGAAACTACACAAAACAAAAATGTCATATGCAAAGTTTTCAACATTTAGCCAATCTTCAAATTTCCAACTTTTACTCACTAGCTCAAGTACAACTCATTTGGATTCCATTTTTCACACCCAAAAAGCTTTTGACCCTCCCGATTTCCGTAGTGTCCATGTACCTATCCTTGTGCCATTTGTTATTTACTATTTAAAATATTATACACTTAGCACTCTGTTATTTATTTAGAACCATTGAACCCCCTTAAATACAATTGAACCATTCCTCCTCTGATTACTTAAGTAATATTTATTTCGCAAATAATTGAATAAGTGACAAAAAGAGATATTAGAAAATTCAAAATGTAGACAAGCCGTACAAGGCTCTTGAACTCTCTTTTCATTACAAAAAAAAAAAACATTACATTAATGAATATTTGAAATTAAATAGAATAATGAACACTGTTTCCAATTCCGCAATGCTAAACGGTGAAACGGAATCAGTTCTGTGACGGAATCGGAAACAGCACTGATTACAAAAAAGAAAAGAAAAAGAAAACATCTTTATTGAGACGAGAGATAAAAACTTCCTTTAAAAACACTCACTAACCACTGCAGTTTGTATTAAACTTAATTCGAAAGCAAAAACACTAAATACATAGATATTTATATATATATATATATTACTTAAGCATATATTATTATTGAATAAACAGGAAAAAATTTGTCAAAAGTGCTAAAATATCAATGCCATGTTTTATTTCACCAAAGACCAATGAAATTCATATATTCTGGAATTTTCTTTTAGGAATTTGTAGTGATGTGCATATTTTCGTTTGCCAGGAGGAATGCGACCAATTCGACAGGGCCTTAAATCTTATCTTTGAACAAGACGAGCCTGAATTGCTGAAGGACAAATCTTAGCAGGGGCCTTTGAACCCGATATGCCAACTTGGGTGGACAGACCGTGGACCATATTCAAAATCAAGTCTTACGCAGCTGCAATCTATAATAAAATCTCTTAACTCAGCTCAAAAATGTATTTCATTTACAAAGCTACATAAATTAGATAGTTTTCTATTGAAATTATGATCAAATGTGCCACTCTGATTTATAAAAGATTCGAAAATTTCGATGCCACAAAACTTGTCAAGCTGAAACGTATCCTTTTAAATAAATCAAACTAGGCAATGAATTAAATTTTCGTTACACTTAAAAATTTATTTTAACATTAGTTATATTATTTTATACAACTTTCTTTCATATTACAAAAAATGCCTTAAATTATTAATTAAACGCTAATTTAGCTAGACGACGATTTAGAGTTCAAACTTTGTAGCTTTTCAACTGCCATTTAAAATATATGTATCAATTGTATCATATAAGTTGGATGAAATTTGTGTTATCTCTTACATAGTTGTTAAAATGGTTCACAAATATATATATATATATATATATATTATTGCAAATCAGTGACTTCTACTAGAGATAATTATTTAATGTATATATAGTGTGTATATGCTGCATGCACGGGGGGCTTTAACAAAAACTAACGTATTTTACAGTACAAACGTGTAAAATGAATAAAAATATTATATATGTATATATAATAAGCCGCAAGTCTCTGTTGAATCTCAATTCAGAAAATGAACGTCAATAATTAACGATTAGTATTATGCATGTACAGATATATATGATAAAATCATAATATTGAATCTTCCATTAAAAGGTTTCCTCTTTAAGAATTCCGATCGGGTGTTCAGTAGTCAATGCCGTTGCCTCCATTCTGTTGCATGCGCACGGATCGACGTCGCGTCAAAATGCGCGCCGGGGCGCCGCCCGCTGATGTTGCTGCTACTGCTGGTGCCGCAGCCGCATCGATTGTGTTGTCCTCCACTACTTGTGGTGCTGCAACCACCGCCGGATCGATTACATTAGCTGTAACTGCTGCGGCCGTTGCTGCTGTTGCTGCTGCAATTGATTCCTCGCTGCTGACCATGCCAGTTACCGTATTGTCCATTACCTGCGGCGTTGTCACTGGTATTAGACCCAGATTTATTTCCTCCTCCAGCTGTGAACTGCGTCTGGTGGCAATGCCTCGCAATTTAGATTTTTTCGGTGGCAACGTTCGTGGTGCGCTTATCTCACGCAATACGGGCACAACTGGCGTCAACTCCTGGACATTGCATGCAATTGGGACGCTCTCCTCCTCGTAGTTGCGCTTCCGGGCCAATCGTGCAGCAGCACCTCCATTTTTGCTTATATCATCAATTGGCGTCAAGATGATCTGTTCTATAACGACCGCCTTATGTTCATTGTTGTTGCCATTGTAGTAATCAGCAGCCGTGTGTTGTGTTGTTGGCGCGGTTGCGTTGTTGCTTGTTGTTTCCAGGCAGGCATTCTCAACAATGGTTTCCAATTTGCTGCTGCTGCTGATGGGGGGTTGCAACTGGTTGTTGATATTCGCATTGTTATTGCTGGTTTTACCATTTGTTGCCGCCTTCACAGTTGTTGCCACATTTTTGCAGATTTCCTTTTGACTGCTGATATTGTTGCTGCTGTTGTTATGTGCTTGCTTGAGTTGGATATTTTCCTTTTCCAGAGTCTGTATGCGGTCGCGTGTTGTTTTTAATTCCTGTTGCAAGAACAATATGGTGCTCTGCATGCCCTCCACATCCTCATCCAACTCCTGCAAAAAGTCATCTAGCTCTGTAAGCAAACCAAAATAATGTTTAGCCATTGATAATACTATTTTGTTGGAGTTCACATACCTGATTGAGATTTCTTGACCTCCTCGCTGAAGCTCTTTTGCATGGCCAATTCAGTTTCAAGCTTTGCCAGCCGTCCGTTCGATGTCATCTTGCCCAGCTCCTCGTTCTCCTGATACAATAGCCGGCACTTGGCCATCAGACGTTTGCCCGTATTTGAGTCGGGCGTAAATTTCCAGGCGGATAGTTCATTCTGTGTCTCCTCGAGCTTGGCCTTGGTGGCCTTCAGCTCCTTCTTGAGACGCTCAAAGAGCAAATTGACAGCCGGATCGAGTAGAGCAGTGCGTAAGGCTAATGCCGTCGGCGCCTGTTGTGCCTTATACTCAGCAATTTGGCTCTATTTAGGAAAGGCAAATTGATGAATGTGAATATGGGTAACTAATATCTAAAGAATGTTTTTACTTACCACATAATCCTGAAACTCCTGCTCCTTGTTGGCCAGCCGGCGCATGAGTATCTTCTCGCGACGTTGTGCGTCAGCGCATTGCATCGCCATGCGCGTCTGCTCCAGCTTGAGGTTATCGATCTCAACTGCACAGATGTAGAGATGCGTCGTGGTGCAAAGACAGGCAAAGTAGAGGGAAAAAACCAAAAGACAGCTTGTTAGAAAAGATAAAGGCAGCATATGGGGACACAGGGGCTGGCTGGAGGCAAAAATTCGATTCGATTCGAGTACGAGTAAAAAAAAAAGCAGCAAACAGCAAACGCAATTGTCAAAAAGGGGGTGCGGCATGTGGCGGGGGCAACAGCTCCCCTACAGGCTACACCTAAATACAATATACAATATATTTTACAAGTCCTTTATGTGAATATTGTTGATGTTGTTCTTATCTTTTTGTTGTACATATTTTGTTTATAATTGATTTGTGTCTTTTCTATTTTTATTTATTCTTTTTTGTTTTTTTTTTTTATTGAACTTAATACGAAATCATACCAATGCGTTGCAATCATTCGTGTAAGTTCGTGACATTTTTCAGCGCTGTTGCTGTTGTTGTTGTAGTTGTTGCGCTCTCGTGTTGTTGTTGTCGTTGTTGCTGACGTTGTTGCTGCTCGGGTTGCTGTTGTTGTCGAATTTTTGGATGTTGTTGTTGTTGCTGCTGTTGTTGCCACGAACGTTGCACTTGCACACGTTATTTCTTGCACTAATTCTTGCTTATCGCTTCGAGATTAGCTTCTCTCTTGAGACTCGTCTCGAACAAATTACTCAACACTGGCTTGCACTTGTTTGCATTGCATTGCTGCTTCTTGCTTGATTTTTGCATTTGCAATTTGCTTCTTGCTTGCTTTCTTTATTTTTAAATATATATATTTTTGTGGAGGGACACACTGTGGAAACAACAAACGGTTTTGAAAATTTTTGTTGCAAAACTGAAAAATATTTAGAAAAACACTTGTGGGGAAAAACTCGACGCGCGCACTTTCTTTGCTTTCCAAAAAAAAGCTCTCATACGAACATCAACATTAAATATTATTTATTTTTTCTTTTTGGCATTTTCGAACACTCTTTTCTCACAGAAGCTCTCTCTCTCTCTCTCTCTCATCATAATAAGCAAAAGTTCAACGACTTTCATTTCATTTCTTATTTTTTTATATTTTCTTTTGAAATTTTGTTGTGCAAAACACGCAAATTGGTTAAATATGTTGAATTTTTTGTTAGCTTGGCGTTATTACGTTTTATTCGTTTATTATTTTTAGCATACGCAAACAAACCCCGAAGCAGCGTTATTATGCGAGTGTGTGCGTGGGTCTGCGTATTGTGTGTGTGCGTGTGTTTATTGGCTAAAGGCAAATAAAACAGTTTGGCCTATATTACAACCAGGGCTGCAACTCTATCGAATATTTAATATTTGTACATACATGCTATTGAAACTAGTTTTCGAAAGTTGTCTGCCTAAACTACACTTACCAATGTTAAAAAAAAAAAAGATTAAAATTGATTTTTCTAAATATGTTTGTATTATAAAAGGATAAATAAAATTCAACCATAAATTTCCCATTAACCTATTAAGTATTTACCATTAGCCTCTAGCTTTTCTTATCTGTTATATTTCAAGTTTCAAACTTTACTCTTTGCCCTGGCACTTAGTCAATTAAACAACACGCGCTAATTAAACAATTAACTTCAACAGACAGACGAATGTTTTTTTTTTGGTTTGCTTTGTTTGCCTTTCAATAACTTTTATTTGGCTATTAAATATCTGTCAGTATTTGTTTGTTTTTATTATCTTATCGCAGCAGACAAAATCAACAAACAAAAAACAAGCACACTCACACAAACACACACACAAACTCGCTAATTAAGCGCGCGCTTTATGTATTTATACTTATTTATATTTGGTAAATTGGTTTTTTTTTTTTTTTGATTACATTTGCAGTTCATTTGTGGGCCATGATTTGCATTAAATTTTTTCAACACTGGCAAAGTTCTTGGCTTAATAACACAAAAACGGGAGAAAAACATTTTTATAAAACCATTTGTTTATTTATTATATTATATATTTAGTATGTTATGCACTCGCTTATCAAGCACTTTATTTTCTATCTTTTACAAATATTTATATATTTATTTTTGTTTATTCATTTACTGTTGTTTTGTTGCGAGGCTGAAAGTGGACGCTGTTAACAGCAAAACAAAAGAGAATGTGAGGGGAGAACGGTGGTGGGGAGGGCCTCGACAGATGAAGAGCGAATATAGAAAAATATACGCATGTATAGATATATACATATATACATAGTATATGTATATATAGAGAAAGAGAAGGGGCGCGCGCGCAGAGGCTTCAGATACGAAAATGCGGGCACGTAGACAAAAAAAAGACGGCAACGTGAGCAACGCTGGCAACGAAATTGGCCAGAAACGTAAACTGTACACACGGCCGAAGACTCTTTTAGACGACGACGAAGACGAAGACGAAAGCGAAGACGAAGTTTTTTGAATTTGATAATTTTGTTTACACTGTTCATACATATATATATATATATATATATATTGATATATTTATTTTATATTTTTAATCATACATTTATTGCATGTATTTATTTTGATTTAATCAGCATTTTAAATTGTTCTTTTCGCACAAGCACTTTTCAACACTTTTCTATATTTTATTCTGATTTATTTATTTATTTTCATTTTATTTAGTTCGATTTGCACACACTTTCAAATTCACCTTTTATTTATTTATTTTATTTAATTTTTTGATTATTGCAAAAAAATTACGCACTAAACGAAACGCCAAATAACGCTGAAAGTCTTCAAAGAGTGTTCGCTTCAATTGTTAAAGTTCGATATGTTTTTTTTTATTAGAAACCAAAAACAAGGCACACGTGGAGTTCTTTTTTCGCTTTTCAGTGTTTTTCTTATATATTTGAATAGCATTTTTGCACAAAAACTCAAAACGTAGTCTGTGAGAAAACCCAGTGGATAGAAATACAACAACTTTGCGTATAAATTAAGGTGCGCGAACTTCATTTAATATTAAATTAGAATTAAATCAGAATTGTAATCATTTGTTAACTAAAAAATTTCAAATACATATTTTATGAAACCACTGCATTAACTGCACTACATATTTCTGTTTTTATTTGTTAGTTCGCGCACCTTGTTTATATTTACACGCAATTTACTCAACTGAAGAATAAACCAACAAAAAAATAAGCAAATTAAACAAATTACACAAAATGTACACACGGTTTATAATTGTTTGTTGTTGTTTCTTGTTGTTGTTGTTGTTGTGTTTTAGTTTTGTTGTTATTGTTGTTTACATATATAGTCTCTTATATTATATAGAATATAATATGCTTAGTAAACATATATATATATTTTTGCTATATATATTTATGCATAAATAATAAGTTAATACCTTCAAGCAGACGTCGCTGTTCGGCTGCGACGACAGCGTCAGCAACAGCGGCATCATGTTGTTGTTGTTGTAGTTTCTGCTGCTGCTGCTGTTGTTGTTGTTGTTGCTCTTGGGTTTGTTGTTGTTGCTGCTGCTGCTGTTGTTGGTGTAGATGGTGCCGATGCGGCTCCTGCGTTTGCTGCGACTGATGATGCTGATGAACATGATGATGCTGATGATGATGATGATGAGACGACTGTTGCTGTTGCTCCTCAATCACGGACGGCGTTGGCGATGCGGGACCCGAGGGATTGCTAATAGCACCCCCCAGCCCCAATGCCCCCGCACCAACACCGCCAGCGACACCACCGGCACCTGCAGCTGCACCACTACCGCCGCTGCTGCTGGTGCTGCTGTGTAAATTTGGATCATATTTTGTTGTTGGCATTTTATCGTAACTGTTCATCAAGGGTCTCTGATCGTCCATAGTCATTGCAGCGACACTCATTACTCAATTAGTTGGTCCTTCTTTTGCTAGCGCCAAAATATGCATATAATATAGAAATGTGGACACACTGAGCATACACACACAAAAACCAACACTCGCTGCCAGCGGAGCACCCTTTCTTCGCTTCCTCTCTCACTCCCACTTTCACGCTCTCTTTCTCCCTCTCTGTTACACGCACACCTTAGAGGCCTGCGCTCACCAATACCAATGCATAAACTCTACGGCGACGCGAGGCAAAATGCGAAGAAAATATTTTTGATATATTTTCGTTGGCAATTTGTGCGTACTTGTTGCGTATTTGCAGCGTTGTATTATTGATTACTTGCTGTATTGTTCATTTAATTGCACTTTTTCAATTGATTTATATGGTTAGATGCACTTTAAACACGTTTATTTTAACAATTTTCTTGGAGCCGTCGGTAATCGCTGGTTGGCTGAAAAACTTATGCTCAGCGTTGCCACACGCTCGCATAGCCAAATTCAAAATGGTGGACGACGCGAGAGCACATACGATATAATACCAAAAACGATATGGCCACCCTTATTCATATAAGCTCACGACCAGCTGGTCACATTGCGAAGCACACACAATGTTTACGTTTTCACAAGAAGAAGCATCTCCGCGGCAGCCCTGGTTTTAGTTTGCAAATTACATAAAAGTCTGACAAAAAATAAATATGTTGCGACAAGTTGCTGGAACCACGTTCGCCAAGCTGCTGCGTGCCACAAACAGCGCCGCGAATGCATCGACAACAATAAAAACGGGCACATTTGGCGGCGCCCTCAGCACGGTGCTCGCACGCCAGCAGCAAACGATGCCCGTCGTCGAATCGTCGAAAGATGCTCTGCCCAAGAAGGGTTATTCGCCATTCGGCACCAAACAGTCGAGCATGGCAGAATGGTCGCTAGCTAGATTGGATGATCTGCTCAATTGGGGTCGCAAGGGCTCCATTTGGCCCCTTACCTTTGGCTTGGCCTGCTGCGCCGTGGAAATGATGCACATTGCTGCACCACGGCAAGAATTCATATTTATTTGTATATTTGTTTATTTTTGTATAACTGATTAAATTGTAGCTATGACATGGATCGCTATGGAGTTGTTTTCCGTGCCTCGCCTCGTCAGGCGGACGTCATCATTGTCGCTGGAACGCTGACAAATAAAATGGCACCGGCTCTGCGCAAAGTCTACGATCAGATGCCCGAACCCAGATGGGTCATCTCGATGGGCAGCTGTGCGAATGGCGGTGGATATTATCACTACTCATACTCGGTGGTGCGTGGCTGCGATCGCATAATACCCGTCGACATCTACGTGCCCGGCTGCCCTCCCACTGCGGAGGCTCTCTTGTACGGCGTATTACAGCTGCAGAAGAAAGTGAAGCGCATGAAGACCCTTCAGATGTGGTACAGGAAGTAAGGATGGAGGCTAAGCCCACGAATTGAATAAGCGAAAAGTGTTAAATAAATATTGTATGCAAATACGAGTATAGTCAATAGCACAAATGTTTCCTTTACAAAACAAATCAATTCCAATTCGAATTTAATTTTAACTAACGACACAATCCCTTGTGACGTCACTTGTGCCAACATATTAGAAACTGCGTCAATTTGTGACGTCAGCCATAAGGCAAATGCCTGACCGACCTCTGACTAGCTATGATATCTCACAGTGTTGCCAGATCGTTTAATAGATGCAGCTGTGCAATGGGCGATGTACCCGAGAATCTGCAGGTGATTAAATTGGAGCCACCAGGCACTCCGGAAAAGGCCAATATCAAGGAGCGTTTGAATCTGCATGTAAAGCGACGCTTGCAACAGGATCTACCCCTCTCCAGCCCAGAGACGCCCCCGGGCGACATAGTTGCAGCCACAAGCAACAAACGCTGCAAAACAACTGCAACACAATCTAAAGAAACATCGAAACAGAGGAAACCCTATCAAAAGCGAGTCGAAAAGATTAAAACAGACACGGGAAAATGCAAGAAAGGTGAGTACATTATTTGTATTACTGCCAAATTGCAAATAATACAGCAATATTATTTGCAGCACAAGCTGCGAGTCCTGCAGTTTTGGATTTCGAGGCATACGATGAGTCTGCCGAACATGAGGCCTCGCCAGAGAGCTCGGATCAGAAAAACATAAGCCGTGATCGCTATAAGAATTCTGATATACTTAATATGGTGCTGAACGCAAAGAAACGAGCGCTAATGCAAAATCCGGAGGTGCAAACATTTTGGTCAAAAATTATGGCAGCCCTGAAGAACTGACTGTGATAGGGCAACACTAACTGCGAATGTGGCGCCCTTTTTGAAAAATGTACAATGTTGAGAAGAGGACTAGTTGTGAAAATGAAGTAATTTAAGAGTTGTAATGCACAAAATTATATATAGTCTGTATTGTTTAAATGTTATCGAAGTCGTGTTTCATTGACTGAGCATACTCTGAGAACTATGGTCTCTCTCTCGCTCTCTCTCTCTCTCTCTCTCTCTCTCTCTCTCTCTCTCTCTCTCTCTCTCTCTTAAGTGTAGCCGGCCGCTGCTTCCGAGGTTTTTTGATGCTGACAGCTGCAGAATTTTGCAGAGCCGCTCAGAAAGAATTTCGACGTTTTTGGGGTTGCAACGTTTTGCGCCGCGTAATCGCAGTGGTTTACCGTCGCAAATAATATACCATAGTATATAATTGTCTAAGAATTTGCAAAAGTGTTACGACAAAAAGGTAGTTGAATAGTGCAATTAAAAATGTTAACGAGATACCAACAAACAAAAAAAAAACCACGATGCGAGAATAAAATGAAAAACTATAACAATAATATGCCAATAGGCCATGTTAGATAATCCCGTTTTTAGGTTCGTGTGGCGCGTTTGCTATCGATTTAAATATTATTTTCCCTCTCTCGCTCGCGCTCTCCCTCTCTTGTCCTTTTGGCGAGCTCATTTTCTCTTTTGCTCTATTCTCTGCGTGTATGGTTTTTTCACCCAGCTCTCACACTCTCTTGCTGTACCTTGCTTTGACTTTGTGCTTCGTCCTTGCCTTGCCCACAAAATTTGCACTCAAAACGAACGCCCGTCCGACCGACAAACCACCCAACCACCCACCGCGAGCCCTTTCTGGGCAGCTTTTCGCTTTTCGCTTTCGTTCACTTCCATTTCCATTTGGCATCAGCTTCAATAGGCCGTTATTCTCAACGTACGCTGCCTTCATTCGAAAGAAATTCGCAACGGCGCCAACTTGCCAATAGTCATACAAAAAAGAAGGAAAAAAATGTGCTCGCCTCTTATGTAAATTAAAAAAAAAAAGGGAAAAGAATTCTCCTAGTCGAAGCGCTTGTTCAAAATAAATTCAATAGATTTTCCATTATATAATTGTGCAAAAGCCCTTGTGGAGAGTAAAAGTGACGAAAACAAAAGTGCAAAAAAGTGATTACAAAACAGTTTCAATTTTTCAGAGTGCACAATTATATAAATAATAAAAGTTTAACAAAAACAAACGAACACAAGAAATGTTTTAAAATATTTATATATAAAAATAACATATTCTAAATGAATTAATAGAAATCTACGAGCTAAATGTTAAATAATTGAAAGTAACTATAAATCCTGACCTGTAAAAATTAACTTATACAAGACTTAATTTTACAAACATGTTTTTTTTTCCTCACTTTTCGCATTATACAACATGTTAGCTACTGTTAACTGCCACAATCCAATAACAAGAGCAACAACAACAATGGCAACTGAGACTATTAACTGCCTTTCCTCTTAGTCAGTAGTTTCACTCAGGTTCCCCAGTGTATTTTTTTTTTAATAGCTAAATCAATACTCAGAACAGAAAGTTGGAAAAAAAAATAGGTTGTGAAAACCTTTCTCTTGTTGGTAGTTGCTTTTGCCCTTTTTGCTAATTGTATGACCATTACTATTACATAAGCCACAAAGCACAAAAGCGGCACAAACAACAACATTTTGTTGCCTTGCCAGGAAATGCCAGGAAAGTGTGGAAAGGCGGAGACACATGCCACATAAACACACACACCTATATATATATATATAAATATATATAACATGTATATAACTATAGCTAGTAAGGATAACTCGAGGAACTGGGAACTAGGTCAGTTATTGAATTTTCACAGGCAACCTACCCACGCACAGTGTTGCATGCAACAAACAGATAGCAGCTACAGCTATATATGTGCAACCGATGCTCAAATGCACACCAAATACAACATTCCTATATATATACTGTTAACAAATAAGGAAATCGAGGCATTCCGGTTAACGAGTCAATTCTTTGATTGACGTTCGCCATTTGGAGCATGTCAATGAGCCATAAAGACACACGACAACAACAATAGCAACAACAAAATGCAATAACAACAACAACGCTGTGATTGGCTGACTGACATGACAACGGCCCCTTGGCTACCTTATTGATTGGCACACCCCCCACACTTGCCGCATCCTGCAGCTGCGCCCACTGTGCCAGATACCCAAATTTATCCAACTCACACGAGGCGTATGCGTAATATTTGCCTTTTTGTCATGCTCCGATGATATCTGTGTGTTTGTGTGATGCAAGTTAAGTGTGTGCAGGCAGCATGTGCCACAAATCTAGTCGACTCCTATGGCTTCCTTCAGTGCATTGCACTTTCACCGATTACGTATACGACTTCTGGGCCCCACTCAAGTCGAAGCCCATCTGTGGTCGAATTTGGCTCGAGCAGCACAGTTGGACACCACCAGCCACTTCAAACAGTGTGCGGCATGCACATCCTCTGGGGTGGCAATTATATGATTACCGCTTTGGTCCTCCTTGACATTTATTATGCCCAGCAACTGAAACAGTTTTTGAACTATTTCAAAGAGATTTGTACAGCACTCTTATATTTTTATTTGGTTTGCACATAAAATGTTTGATTGAAAAGGAAATCTCCGCATTTAAATTATCTGAGTACACTAATAATATGAAATCCTCTCAATCATAAGCTAAGAAAAATGTATATTATTTATTTCCTAAAGCTATTGTCATCTTTTTAAATTTAAAACCCGATTTACATCGATAGCTGTACGCTGATTTGCAAAACATTCGCTTGTCAGCGAGTTAACAGTATAAATAGCTGTACTGTAAGCCATATCGCTTGGCATTATCATAATCCACAACAAGTCATTTGAGTAACCTAAGAGACCCATCAACACGAAATGCTTAGCCTGACAGAACTATTAAAAGGTCTCCCCCCCCCCCCGCTCCCTCCTAGGTGTGAGTGGGTTACCTTAGCTACAGGCTGGGTTTGTTGCCCATGCCGCATAGCTGCAAGCCCCCACAGCGCCATTATATATAATGGTTGGCAACAACTACAAGCTGGGAAAATCAATTCCAAAGCGATTGGCTGCCTATGCTGGGTGGATGACACATAGGAAACATAAAAAAAAAATGAGCAAGAACAACAGCAACAACAACAGCAACATTAACAGTAGCAGCAGCTGCAATCATTGCAATCCAATTAAATGACCGCTTGGCTGCCTACTGCTGCTGCTGCTGCTCACTTTTCGAGCGTGAAACGGGCACATTGAGTGAGAAATGCACTATTGCAATTGCACTCAGTTTTACGTTCCATAAACTTGAGATCCACTAATTGGGCTGTGTTCTAGCACACAGCTAGCGTCATCAAAGCCGCAGCGCCACAGCTCTCTCACTTTTACTCTCAGTTGGAACAGTTGCGTTCGCTCTCAATTGCGTTGCATTGCGCCGCTGCGCTCGCCATGTAAGCCCCGCCACCACCCACCCGCTCCTCGCTTTGCAGTTGCAGTTTTTGCCTATTTTTGAAAGATATGCGGCCCACTTAGCGTTCGCCTTTTTTTCCTTTTCCGCAGAGTTCTATTTATTTTTGTCAAGTGATTTTCACAGCGTCAAATAGTTGGAGTCTTCAAGTTTATTCACTTTAAAATGCTCGCGTGTCAAATATTCTGCTTTAAGTTTAATTTGTACAAATATTAAAAACTTGAAAATAATAATGCAATACTATCATAAACTTAAAGAAATATTGAATATTATATATAATATTCGATGCTTTTAAAGAAAAGCAAATAAAAACCAAAATTACAAAAACACGTGCAATAATATAAATATAAGTTACATAAGCCCAACTATAAATAAATGCTGACTCAAATAATTAACTCTCTCCAGGGAAAAGTCAAGCAAAAAAAAAAAACAAAGCAAAATAAGTAAAACTATGTTCTTTGCCCACTTTATTTCAGCTAACATGCTTATTTAAAACAAAACAACAACAACAAACAATAAGAGAATTAAATACAGAAACCGTTTTGCGACACACAAGTGCTAAGTACACAAACAAAAAGGAACAACAACAACAACAACAACTACAATAGCAACAACAAACAAAATGTCGCCTTTTATGGAGAAAACGTTGCTGTTGTTAGGCGTGCTGTGCTGCATACAAGTAAGCGCCCAGGTTTATGCAATACAATAATAATACCAATGAACCCTCTCCACCCCCTCACCCACACCGCACACCACACACAAACCCTTTTACTTATCGCTTCCCCACTGAAAATGGTTTTTTGCATTGTTAGACAACGTCGCCAAGGCATTTACGAGTGCTCTTTGCATGCATAATGCAATTTGATATGATTATTTATGGATTTGTTGCAATGAGTGTATCTCTATATTCTTCTTCTTCTCCAGTATCCACTGCCCTAATGTGCTATGACTGCAACAGCGAGTACGATCCCCGTTGCGGTGATCCCTTCGAGCCCTACTCCATCGGCGAGGTGAACTGCAGCAAACAGGAGCCCCTCGAGCATCTTAAGGACAAATACAAGCCAATTCTCTGCCGCAAAACCGTGCAGAAGAGTAAGTTCTAAGCAAAAATGAATATTTCTTGCATTTTTTCGCTTTTTCTTATGAACTGTGATTGATCTTTCAGTTTATGGCAAGACCCGCATAGTGCGTGGATGTGGCTATATACCCGATGAGCGTACCGATAAGGAGTGCATAAGGCGCTCGGGCACCCACGACGTGTCCGCCACCTATTGCGCCTGCACCAAGGAGCTGTGCAATGGAGCCACTGCCGTTGGAGCAAACCAGATGCCTCTGATCCTCGCATTGGCTGCCGGCTTTGCGATCTTCGTCACAAGACATAGCATAAGAGTGGAGAGCTCATAAATATTCTCGTTTGGCATTTGAGATTAAACGTCTTATAATTTATATATATGATTTTCATTGATTTTAATTAACAATTCCTCTTGGGCATTTTTCTTTTTTCTTTTTTTTTCTTTTTGTTAATAGATTTTTGGAATTTATGGCAATGTAAGGCACACTTAGATGGCCACTTAATTTAGTTGCATAATTTATTTTAATTATACGTATGTGTTCGTAAGCGTAAAAAGTGAGAAAATACTATAAAAAAAATACAAATAAACTCTGTACTTAATTTGTTGGGCTCATAAAAAATAAAAAAAAATGCATATAAAAAGTACCTCTAATAATGTAATTGTAAAATTACAAAAACAAAAAAAAAATACTATTTGGGCGGTAAAATCAATTTAATTGTTTTATTTGATAAGCTCATTTTAATTCTATATTCATTTTAATGTGTGTATATCCGAAATATGTAATAAACAAAAAACTGCCAGTAATTGTCTCCGCCTAATACCAAAAAAAGTACATTTTCATGCCCAACTTTAAAAACTAAAATAATATTTTGTAGTTTCTTAAATACACTAGGAAAGGATATTTAGGATTCTGAAAAAAATTCATCAATTTTAAAAATGTTTCCATACATTTAGGACACTTTATAACTTAAAAGGAAAAAACTTGACCCAACAGATAATAAAAACCATAATTTCCATAATATAAAACGCTCTTTAAAAAAGAGCAAATACATTTTCAACTACTAAATCGCGATATTTACATGCAACAAAGAACCCTAAAAGGTAAATTTTAAACCAAAACTCTTCATATGATATTTAAAAAAAAAACAAAAATTAATTCAATGAGTACATTATAGAGAATAGTTTTTGAAATAACTAGGACACAAGATCATTTGAAAAACAAAAAAACACATATTTCAACTAAAACCGAGAACAAAAACATAGCAGAAAACTATTTACAAAAAAAAACAAATCAGTAAAACATTCATTCAAATTATGAAACTATTAAACAAAATCATACTTTGTCCATTTTTAGCTTCATACAAGAAAAATTAAATAAATACAAATAGACAAATAAACAAGAAAATCTTCCTAATGAATAAATAAATAATAAAAAAATAAAAAAATTGTCGTGTAGCAGTTTATTGTTTAATTTTAGTTTAAAAAAAGAAGGATTAATTGTTAGGCACAAATCCAAAGTCACGGCTAATAGGCAAAGTACAGTCAACACAAAACAAAGTGCAAACCCAACAAGAAACACTAGCCAACCAACACAAGACACAAAACCAAAGACATTTCAACACTTGATTTTGTGTTTTTAATAAATATACAAAACTTCTTATATTTGCATACATTAATTGCCCATTTCATGCATAGTTACACTTATATTCACACATACATATATAGAGCATGATACTTATTTAGTTAAATATTATTAAGAATTATATGGACAGCTAAAAAAAAAAAACAACAACATTGTAAGCATATGTAGATAAACTTAACTAATTTTAATTTACATACGAGAATAAAAAAATAAAAATGTGCATTAAAACAACAACAACCAAAAACTAGCCGTTGTATCTAAATAATATATATGAAAAATATATTTTGTGCATATTAAATTAGTTAAAACTAACAAAAATGAAATCTTATCGAAACAAATGAAAAACGTTTTGAATTATAAAGTATAATTTGGAAGAAAAAAATCGAGTATAAACCCTCTTCTAATTTTATAGTCCACCTTAAGTACCCGAAAAAAAAGCATACCAAAACACATCACTCACAAAGAACCACGCAATAATAATAAATATATTAAAAACTAAAAACAAAAGGAAAAACAATATATATACATTTATAAAGAAAAATGACAGCGTGAATCATATCATTGAGCTTTGCTTTACGAGTGACGAGATTCTAAAGTATAAATAAAGAGAAATCACACAATATAAATGTTATATAAGCAAACAACAAATTGCTAACCACAAAACAAACACCAAAAAAATCTCAAAATGCAAAAATATAATATAAAAAAATATATATATATAGATAAAAAAAAAAACAAATGTTTGGTTCATCTACAGCATCTACTAAAAAGATCTATAATAAATAAACATATTAGTCCTAAAAAAAAGTTTCGAAAAAGAAAAGAACACAGTTTTGAGTAATTATATAAAATAAAAACAATACACACAGTTGCATAATAATAATAATAATAATAATAATAATGAAATATATGTGTTTTGTCTGCGCTGGCTGAGTCGTGAAATTATAATGATTTATATTTTGTTTATGAGTTTCTATGCAAACCCAAACAAATATATATGCAAAAATAAAATAAAATAAAATTAAAAAAAAATTAAAAAAATAAAATAATAAAACCAACAACAATTTACAAAAATTATGTGAACTTGTTAATTTTTAGCGTTTAAGTCTGTAAAGCTCCGCTTGTAGATGAAAAATCAATAAATAAACTAAATACAAAATTGAATAAAACGATAAAAAAAAAAGTTATAAACTTTCACAATACACAATAAAAAAAAAAAACAAACTTTGCTGTTTTATCGACTATGCAGCTCATTAATAATGATATATGCGCATTGGATAATGGGATTTTGGACAGTGAAATAGTATACCAATATAGATACCAAGGAAAGACTAATTTCGAATCGAATTTTGATTAACTAAGCTCACAGCTCACTTTTCTCGATTGGCTTGCAAACTCTTGTGGGTGTTTCAATAATGCAAATAAACCAACAAAAAATAAACTAAGAAATCCAAAATTAAATGAATTGTTATCAATATTGACGTTAAAAATAATTTAATTTAATTTTCTTATAATTTAACCGCTTAATCCAGATATGGTATCTTATAGAAAAGTAATTGATCAGCTAAATAATATTTTTTCCGCACGCATTAGCAGCCCTCATTGATACTAGGATATATAAATTGACGAATTATTTCTTTCATTAAACTTTATTTGTTTTATAAAAATGCAAAACTTTTAAAAGAAGTTATTTTATATGTGATTAAGTATAAATCAATATGTACTTGCACAGTTAAGTGAAGTGTATTTTTGTTAAGTTAAATTAAGGTATTTGGGAAAATTGCTCGCTTGGCAATGGGTTGTGTTGGGCTGCGCACTATTTTGATGAATCCATCCTCTCCCCATGTGCTTCCAAAGGAGTTGACGGCACGCCAATAGTTCAAATTGCTTTGCGTATCATGACCATAGCCGAGAATTACGAGAAATTGAGAGCTGCTGGCTTGGGCATGCACAGGGGGCACATAGACACCACTGCTGTAGTGCATGAATCCAAATGTAGCAGGATTATATTCAACAATCACAGGGAATCCACTTGCCACGTAGCGCATCAGTAGATTATCATTGGAATCAGCAATAATTCCGTAGCTCTCCACCACAATGTTACTTGCTGTCATAGTGGGCAAACACATGCCCTCATGATTAATGGAATTATTGGGAGGATATTCCGTCTCGGTGACCAAGGACGTACCCGGATTTTGTGTCAGATAGTCGAAGCCAATTTGAGGCACCTGTGTGGTGCAACCAGTTCCCATTCCAGCGCAATCGATTAAGCTCTGAGCGGATATATTCAATGGCTTCATGTTTGAAGTCTGCAGCGCATTCATTATTTGTACGGACTTGGCCAAAGAATAGGCCCAACTGCTGCTGCAGACGGTGCCCTGATCCTGTGCCGTCAGAGTCATAGTGTTAGCTAACATGTCAAACTGTGGTGGTGCCTGATCCATCGGCGGTACCGGCATCATGGTGTGGAAGGAATTTGATGGATAAACGGATTGTGGCAAACGTGCCGCAAACGTTTTCAATCTGATGTCAGAGAATTGATTCAGCTTCACGTGATAGCTGCTCGCGTTGCGATTTGCTAGTGCTTCGTGTTGAGTTATCAAATTTTTGTGGTAATTGTAGTAATACTGAGCATTGTTTTGCTCTGCACTGTTGGCATATTCCTTGTGAAAATCACGCTACACAGGATACAATTCGTTACGAAAATTAGTATAATTTTTAAATATTAAAAAATGAAAATATTGAGAAAAAAAAGTACCGTATCAGGCGAATACTGAGTTGTTGTATGAAACACAGTTTTTCTTATGCTTCTAACAATTTTTGTTAGGTAATCAATCCTTTTCCCTTTTTCTTGAATATTTAACTCACCATATATGCTTCGAAATCTAATTGGGCCTGTCCGTGATTGAAGGCATAGCCACCCGCGAACAGAGCACAGCAAAGCAACAGTTTTAACATCTCGGAATTGACAGAAGACACTAGTTAAGAATTGAAAATTGGCAGTACCTTTATATAGTCGCACGCATCCATACACTTTCTTTATGGCTCGACAAGCAAATAATAGATAAACGTAAAGTGCAAATAGATTTCTACATACAAGAATGGGGCATTAAAATCATGACAGTCGTTCTTTGCCAGCTCGCAAATGCTCAATTCGCACTTGACTAATTATGATCGTATAGATATATACACATATGACTGGTATTCTCTTGGGGCCAGTCAATATCGTTAGATGCCTGGGCGTGGCGTGTTTATCTATTCCACTGCTGTTGGAGGTTCTCATATCGCTGTTAATTTGAAATTTCCACTGGCCTAGTTCAAATCCAACGTTGTTCCCAATTCATAAGCTGTCTGCATTGGCATTTCTCGGCAATTGCTGTCATGTTCTCAATATAATAAACTTTGTTAGTCTTGACAATCAAGAAGATGGCATAGTAATGCATACAAAAATGATAATAATACTCAAATCTTTTATTAGACTATTATAATTGCACAATTTCTATTTGCATAATACCAATGCGGAATTTGCTTTGTTGATAACTTTCGATTCATGAGTAAATATGATTCATATCAGTTTTTTAGTGTATATTTAACACTTAAGACTAAAATGTGGAGTAATTAATACTAATCAATATGGCTCTTTATCTCCCGGTGTGTTCTCTATATCACAATTTCCGTTTGCGTAATACGCAATGCGGAACTTGGTATGTCCCATCGATTAGTTCGGATTCTAAATATGATTCATCTCAGTTTTATGACGTTTATTTAAGACTTAAGTGTACTTCCCACGTTAATGCTTGGTATTCATGGCTATAAAATGTAGAGTAATTAACTAATCGTCAAGTCACTCTTCAAGTACAATCAGATCTTTAATTTTTGCAAAATATTTAATAATATGTAAATGTGAACGTTGTTAATTACCTAAAAATTCCATTTCTTATCACTTATCTAATATATTTTTCTTATTATTCAATTCGTTTGGAATTAGAAAGTTATGTAATAAACAATTTATACAAATCAGTAAATAATATGTCTCATAGAAATTGTATTAAGCTCTCATCAAAACTTTCTCATTCCCCCAAGTCTTTTCACATAAAATAACTTTAAATAGCGAGCATTCATCACTCTTACATTTTGGCAGTGATATGAAGTGGGCTTATATTGGTTTATAAACCATCAAAACTGGTTGCAATAATTAACATGCTTTCTTTGGATCCCCAAGAGATGATTCAATTCACATGTGTTAGTTGATATGCTCGTAGTTGAAATTGTATATTCGTAAACATATATATATATATATTATATATAAATAAATTTAAGTTCATTATCTAAGTAATTTCTATGAAAATGTAAGTTTAAGCAAGAGTATTAAGTATTCGGCACCTGTTAACTAACTAGACTAGTTTATAATCATTAATTAGCCATCATAAGAGTTGAAAATGTTTACATTCTAATGGTTTTACGGATTACTGATATGTCACCATACAATATCAATTATAAATATAATTACCAGAAAACCTTAATTAGGCAGAAAGAGCCGAAACATTTGACCAGTTAGTGATTAATTTAAATTTAAGGCGAAGACGAAAAACTAGGTAACAAATCCGAAAAATAACACATCAATTAAAGTTGGGACTTATGCTGAGCAGGTTTTTTCGTATTGTTTGTCTGTTGGTTCGAAAGCTTATAAAACTGAAGCGCTTAACGCCAGCGCGACTTAAAACGCTGACAGTCTCCGAGACAAAAGCATCTTTACAAGATCTACACACGCGTCCAAGAGCACAAAAGCCGAACATCCAACAGTATTCACAATAGGAAATAAGTGACGAAAGGTGATTACTGTGCATCTGTACCTATTTCAAAAAAATTTAAAAAAAAAATCGAGTGTGTGTTTGTGTGTGCATTCAATCTTCGATTATGGCCGTAATGAGCATTACAATCGAATCGGCATTGCCCAGAAGACCCCCCATTTCTCTCAGCTGATTAAGCGCCTTTCACCCACCATCAAAGTTCGATTAGGCCGCCCATGTGGATAAATACATTGATATGGACTATTGAAAGTGAAATTTTAATCAGATATTTGGTATCTTTTGTGTTGTCGATTCGGTTCACTGGCCAAGGGCAGAAATTTCACAAAATACACAAGACACACAAATTAGCCCAGTTAATCCGGACTTATGTTAATTTTGTGTCTATTTTATGGATTTGTAATCGTAACATATTAATCAGTCAATGACATTCATAGGAAATTTAAATTTAAAATTAAATGTTTCATGATAATCAAAATGCAACGGTTTCAATATTCATCTCATCTCTTAAAAACTTCACAAATGTATTTCCTAGAATTTAACTCTTGAATTGTAGACTTAATGATTCAAATCGGAGTACCCCTTAAAGTCAAGATGACGATGATGATTGGTACACCTGCTATCGGGCGATTATTTAACCATTATTTAACTCTTACATCATCGACCTCTCCACTCTCTGCATTTCGCCGTATAGATGCGGATGGCCAAATTGGAGATGTTGCAGCTGCTCGTTTTGTTGGCTTTGTTAAATGCTGCGTCATCGCAGACACTGCAATCATTCCCAAAGCTGTGCAATGTGCGCAACTTTGATGACTTTCTGGAACAGACGGGCAAAGTGTATACCGACGAAAGGGAGAGAGAGTTTCGTGAGAGCATCTTCGCAGCAAAGAAGTCATTAGTGGATCTGTCCAACAGTCGTGTGGGCAGCTATCGCCTCAGCATTAACATACTCGCCGATTTGACACGCAAAGAAGTTGCCACACTGCTCGGCTCCAAGATCTCAACACAGGGCGAGTAAGTTCAAAAACGAAACTTATCAATAAATTAATTTTTTGTTGCAAGACTGACTGATTACCGAATTTTTCCATCAACGAGCAACAAAAACCCTCCCATAAATATTTTTGACTGGCTTCAATTTAAGTTACTGCCCAAGCAACATCAAGCTCTTTTTTTTTAAGTTTCAACACACAAATTAATCACCAGCGAAAAGTAATTGTTTGAAATATTTTTTAACTTTGACAATTTCGAAAACTTGGGTTCAATTGAAAAGATTTTAAGCAGCAAGATAATAGTATGTTTAAGGTTTTTTGTTGCCAAACTTTTCTTCTTTCAAAGAGTTTTTTGATACCCATTAAAACCATTACAAATGGGTAATAAGGCTATTATGGTCTTCAGTAAAACTATGTAACTGGCAGAAGGAAGTATCATCGACCCCATAATTTATATATATTCAAGTAACAATTTTTAAAGTTGATATATAATATACCTTGGCATATTATTGAAAATTTTAATTGAGGTTGTATTAGAAACTACAAAGTTAAATTGAATTTGGCAATACGAGCAGAATATCATTAACAGCTAGGTTCAGGGTATTTCGTAGTCGTGCTCAGCTGGCTACAGCATTATTACTTGTTTTCCAACTTATATATTTTCTCCCCACTTTTCATACTTAGAGAATACACTGCAAGTCACATCAACTTTGTGCCCGCTACGCCTCCATTGAGTGACAAGCTGCCAGAATCGTTTGATTGGCGTGAGAAGGGTGGTGTGACGCCGGCTGGTTTCCAAGGCATTAACTGCGGATCATGTTGGTCGTTCTCCACCATTGGCGCCCTGGAGGGGCATCTATTTCGTCGCACTGGAGTTTTGGTGCCGCTGTCGCAACAGAATCTGATGGACTGTGCCGATGACTATGGCAATATGGGCTGCGACGGCGGTTTTCAGGAATACGGCTTTGAGTATATACGGGATCATGGTGTTACGCTGGCCAACAAGTATCCGTATGTGCAGTCCGAGATGGAATGCAGACAGAATGAAACCGCTGGCAGATATCCACGTGAGAGCATTGTGAAGATTCGGGACTATGCGCGCATCGATCCAGGAGATGAGCAGAAAATGAAACAAGTGATTGCCACGCTGGGTCCATTGGCCTGCTCGATGAATGCCGGTGCTGTATCCTTTGAGCAATACGAAGGCGGCATCTACGAGGACGACGAGTGCAATAAGGACGAAGTCAATCATTCAGTTGTTGTCGTCGGCTATGGCAACGAAAACGGTCGCGACTATTGGATCATCAAGAATTCCTATTCACAGAACTGGGGAGAGCAAGGATTCATGCGACTCCCGCGCAATGCCGGAAGCTTCTGTGGCATTGCCAGCGAGTGCAGTTATCCCATTCTGTAAAAACATCTCAGTCTCGAAATAAGTGTTTGGTTACTCACAAGAATACGAATTTATTTTTGTTAATATAGTTTGTAGAAAATATATATAAAGCCTGTTTAAAAATCATATTTTTTCATCATATTTTTTTATAGTAAAATTCTAGTCTTAGTTTTGTGAAACAATCCGACCGATTTTGGCCTCTAGACAAAACTATATTTGAAGTTCGAAATGGAATTCTGGCCCCAAAATATGCTTGCACCTTTTATCTATAAATTTCCAGCTCCGACTGATCCCACAGCAGGGCAAACAGAAGTAAATGAATCATCAACACCAGTGCCAAGAACACCAGTGGAAGAATCATCAAATCCATTGCCAACTCTGATTGAAGTCAAGGAATCATCAATTCCAGTGCCAACTCGGATGGTTGTGGACACCTCAAAGGAAGAGTTCGATTTGGTCGCTTGACAGAATTAAGTGGTAATTATTTGAACAACTTTTGTAATGAATTGTTAAAAAAGGAAAAAACATTTTCATATTTATGATTCATAGGATAACTACGAAAGGGGCTATCAGAGCAGCGCATATGAGAAGCAGCGTAAAAATATCTTCTGCGATAATCTGCGCACAATCAGGAAACACAACGAAGCCTACAATCTTGGCAGGTAAACCTACATGATGGGCATCAATGAGTTCAGCGATTTGTCTCAGGGTGAATGGGCTAAACTATGTATATCTTAAGCCACTTGCGATTTATTGTTCTATATAAATAAATAATTGTACCCACATTATCGCAAACACCAGAGTTCATTAAAATTCAAATTACGCAAAGCTTTCATTTCGTTTTTAAAAATATGTGTCATAATTTATTGAATGGTTTTCTCCTTTGTTTAGTTGGGATTGATTTTATTACATTATTGTTCACTGATTTCCAAACAAGTATTATTTATATATAGTTTAGCTTCGATTTGTACCGATCATGAATTGTTGCTTTGTTTTTTATTTTTTATTATAACTATTATTATTTGTTTTCTTCTTTATCAACTTGTGTGTTTCAATGCATAAATTTGTAATTAATTATTTAACGCTCACGATCTCTACATGAATAATTTATAAATTTACTGCGAATTTGTGTGATTTTTATTTTGGCTTTAATTAATATTCAATTATTTTTGCATTTAGCCCTTTTGCACATACAACATACATAAACGTACAGCTGGCTTATATAATGTACATATACAATACATAAATATATAATATATATATTCTTTTATAACAAATATTCTCGTAGTTTAACATAATTTGATGCTGCACTAAACAAACATTTATGTTCATTTATTAAATATGTTTACATTCATTGATATAGATTAAATGTTCAATTGTATAATATAACAATAATGTTTTACTTTATTATACTATACAATTCTTAAAGCGCTCAACAATTCCCTAAGAGACTGTCCAAAAGTCTGTTCCTATGAATATATAATTAAAAGAAGTAAATTCTATGAATGTGAAGTTGTTGCTTTGAACATCTCTTTCCTAGAAATGATTCGAAATTAGAAATTATTTTGGAATCGCAATCCATAGTTGGATAAACATTTTGGACAGTCCCCAAGAATTCCTATGGGTCGCGCATTTATGTGCAATTTTCCACTGTGAAATTGAGAACAGTGATTAGTTTTCAATTCATACAAATACCAAATCATAATCTATGCTTTTTGGTGTAATGTTAAAAATAAAAATTCTTAAGAGTTTTTACTAACATAAGTTAAAAACGTGATATTTTTCCTTTACTTCTCACTTTTCAGCCTAGCATTACAAATTTCCCAATTACTTGTTTGTAGTATTTTTAAATATTTGTTTTTTTTTTTCAATCTGCTTAGTTTTTTTTTTCACAATTTACTATTTTAACAATTATTAGCAGGTTTGTTTTTTGGTTTTTTTTTTTAGAATTTTTACATTTTGGCGTTGTGTTTTATTGTTTCCATATATGCGCTAAGTTTTAAGCGACCCTGACCATAAAAGTCTGACATTATTAAGAACTATTTGATTCAAAAGAAAGCAGAAGAGAAAATGTTGCCCATGAAAAATTCATGTACATTTTTCGGGGGTTGTAAAATGGATATGTTTTGAGCAGTGTTTGTGATGTCTGCTAGTTAACTAGTGTGGGTCAATTTCAATGTATATTCTTTTATTGTTGGCGTGTGTGTGTAAATTTGTATAAAAAACATTTTTGTATTTGCTTTGCTTATTTTGCGAATATTACTTGTCATATTTTGCTGTCAAGCCAAACCCAGAGCTGAGTATATAAGGGGCCAGGGTCTTGCACAAGAAAAATTAATACGATACACTAAATAACTAACAACGTTTAAAGCGTATAGTATATTTATATAGTATTTAGTATATAATATGTATATATATTATATTTATATATATTGCAACAAAGTTTTACTACAAAAACTGCACACACATAACTTAGGGAACTAGCTTATAAATTATTATCATTAATATTATTCTGTATAAGAATTAGGGCTTTCAACTGAGCAGATCTGCTTGCTGCTTATGGTTTTATCCTTGCTGTAGTAAAATGCAATGGCATTGTTGTTGTTCTTGTTGCTGTTGTTCTTGTTGTTGTTCGTATATGCTTGACATCGGTGTATTAAGTTAAGCCAACTTGTGTAATATAGTTGCAGTTGGTGTAAAAATTGTATTTGCCATTTTTGCACTACCAAAAAATGTGGAAAAGGAGCACAACTTGCTAAGTGATACGCTTAGTAGGTGGGTTGCTGATACTCCATGCCCGAAGACTGTTCCATGCCACCTGCAAAAGGATTCAATCAACGATTCATGATTTACAAATTGGATATAAATCTGATATAACTCACCCTGCTGTGGCTGACCAAATGGCGAGGCGCTGTATTGTTCGTTATCGTTGTCCATATTGTAGCTATATGCCTGCTGGTGCACCACATTGGCCGGATCAGTCTCAAAGGCCGAAGTGAACTCATCGCCGGCGCCAATCAGAAAACGCTTATAGGCCATAAAAGCACACAGAGCCTGTAAAATAAACAAACCCCCATTATAACTACTTTAACAATGTGGGAATGTGTTTAGTCACTTACCCAGCTAAAGATGCTAAAGAAGCAGAACACAATGGCCGTCTGCATGCTGCCGGCGCCAATTCCAAGTGGGGGCATGGGTGCTGAGCTCCACTGGGACCACAAATAGAAGAATGCGATAAAGTATAAAAATGCCCAGGCAGCTGCAATTCGAACGATTAGCATGTGAATCAAAACTATTGAGAATATTTTAATGTACACACCTGAGAATCCCATGTCGGCCATTACGTAACGTTTTCTGCTCTTCACCGATGACATGCGCTCAAACATGAACTCACCGCCAATGAAATACATGGAGGCAAGAAAGCCCAAAATGCCAATGGTATTGCCATATTTACAGGCCATGCCATCATTATTATATAGACACATCTCCTTTCCATCCTTTTCGACCCAGCCCTCGGACGATATACAGCCAAAGACCACAATCGAAAAAAGCTGAAAAATCACAACAAAAATGCCAAATAATTATTTAATGCTGACGCCACGCAAAAAAAAACACACACACACAAATCACAAAAGTCCACAGAGCCGCTCTCCACCTTTCCAGCATTATTACGTATTTATGGATTTTAAAGAGCAGGTGCAACAAGCCAGAAGTTCAAGTACACACAGATTCACACACATACCAAGACGGGCACGTATTTGGGTTTGTGACCCAATTTCAATTGAAGGCCAAGTTTAGTCAGCATAAGAAGCGCCTGGGGATAGGCAATGCCAACTGCAATAACAAAGCGGGTCCTTGGCCAAACTTGGCAAACAACTGTTGTTGCTTTTGTATGTCGTCAGCCATTAAACGTAAATGAAAAGCAAACTCATGCTCTAAACGACTGTTAACCATTTGTGTCTCTTGCCAAGTCTATCTAAGACTATGACGCACACGTTTTTCCATTAGAAATGGCTTTGTTAGTCGCTCAATGCATTCATTGGCTTATAGTTTATGGCCTTTATTTCAAATTTTCATGGACGTGTGACTTTTAATGGCAACAGCACCAGCTGTCTCTTGTTCGCACTGATCTTATTCACAATTCATTTAACTACTTTCATATAACAAATCTCGTCAGTCATCAACACCACAATCGCACCAAATCCGAGCGATTCCCGCAACGACTTGGACACGCACATGTTTAACGATTCTAATTAAGAAACCTAATTATGATATAAAAACTTTTGCCAACGATGTGATTATCTATCTATGGAATAATAATTATCTTTTAGAATATTAAGTTGTTAGTCAGCAACTATTGTTTGTTCAACATTTCTTTCTATTATGATACTCTATAAAATAACGAATGACAAAAACATTGCCTTGACCCAGTTAGGTTGTCTAAAAGAATTATTTACACCTTTCAAATCCGAATTTAGTTATTGAATGAGGAAAACTAAGCATTAACTTAGAAAGTCTAATAAATATTACATTTTCGTTGCAAAACATTTGAGTTAAAGTTACACAACTCAACCGTCTGAAATTTAAGATTTCTAAGACGACGGGAAACAATTCTGAGAATTCTAAAATGTGATTAAAATTCATATTCGAGCTCACAATAAACCTAAAAGAAATGCGAACGTTGACGTGATCCCCAGCATCGTAAAAGTCACAGAACTTAATAAAAAAAACACCCTCGTCGTTGACAATAATGGTAAAAATACCATTAAGCCTTGTCTAGGGGTGGGGTGGGGTTGTATGTGGGGGTGGTGGGAGGTGGGGTTGCCTTTATAAAAACTTACCCAGCATAGGGCCCGTATGACAACTTGAGGTTTCATGGCAAATGTTAGCGGATCGAAGGCGCCACCCGCCTTGCCACCGCCATAGGCGCCACCAGCATTAATGTTGAGTATTTGATTGAGCACATCCATTTTCCACGCCTACCACTTGTCTGCGATACTATATATATAATTTTATTATATGTATATATTTAGTATTTTTTTTTTCTTCTCGTTTCTTTCCTTGTTAGTGAAAGCGTGCGAGAGCTGCGCAAACTTTATTCGTGTGAGCGTGTTTTATTTCACGTTTTTCACGTCTTGTTGTGAAAAATCGAATGCTTCGCACTACGCCACAACTCAAGGGCAATGTGGGGGCGTCTTGGACGTTGGCTTTCTGTCTCTATGTGTGTGTGTCTGTGTTATGCTGTGTAGTTATATACACACATATAATCGTAATTATGGATTACCGAACACCAGAAATAGCAAAGCAAAGAAATTGGGACAAATTTGCGCGCGAACGACGCAGAAACCGCAAAACCGTTATTCAAAACAAACAAAAGACACGCGCGCACAAATTATTTTTTTATTAATCATGCATAATTAATGATAATAATTTTACGAAATTTCAAGGGCCTGATTTTCACTTTTACTTTTCGCACACACAACGGCCAACGCGCAGGACTAACAATAAGCTGTATGAAACGTCCTGTATACGTCGTGCATATGCTCAGTATATACGTGTGTAAGCGATAGCAACGTCGTTACTATCGATAACTATTCAACTATCTTGATATGCCCTAACGGCGTCAACCGAGTTGCCCATAGGTTTCTTTTTTAAATAAAAATACTAAACGGTTGAGCAGCATTGTATTCAACTATTTGGCAACTATGTATTTCGTTAATCTGCACACCCCATACCCCCAAAAGTATGCAACAAATATTTGAAATCGTAAACGACCCAATAAACCCCAATTAAGAGCAGCTTAATCAACGTCACAGGAGATGGGCAAGAAGCGCAATCTATCCATGAATGCAAATTAAACGCTGATCGGTTGATCTATGATCTACCTATCAAATTTTAGCAACCATCAGCTACCCTTTTTATGGACCATATCTAATTAAAAAAGATATTTAAAAGTAAGAGTTTTAGCGAAGTTAAGATAAGTCAGCTAAAACTCTAACGCAGGCTTTGGAGCTCTACTGGTGAAGTACAATTTAACTAGCGGCAATCAAACTTTTTTATCCCACTACTTAAATATATATATATTTTTTTTAGGATTTTAACAATCTTCTAATTTTAGCACTAATTTTTGGGCTAATAAGACAATCAGTGATTTTTTAACAATATTATATTTGCATACAATAACACAGGTTAAAGTTGATAAATGCATTGCTGGCTTTAACTGGGATTAATTGTGAATATGATTTATTCGTTGGTAAATTTAGCTGGACGCTTCTCCACAAAGGCTTGCATGCCCTCCTTGCGATCGGCCTGCAACGGAAAAGAAAACAAATTGTTATGTATAAACAATTGAAGCGTATTATGTAATCAAATTGTCTCACCGTTGAGAATGTGGCATGGAAAGTGCGACGCTCGAATTTGAGGCCCTCCTGCAGAGTTGTCTCATATGCGGTGTTCACTGACTCCTTGCACAGCTGCACAATCAGACTCGAGTGGGTGCCAATTTTCTCGCCCAGTTTGACTGCCTCGGCCACCAGTTGATCTGCTGGAATCACCTTGCTGACGAGGCCAACCTTCTCGGCCTCCTGCGCATTGATCATGTTGCCGGTGAGGCACATTTCCATGGCCTTGGATTTGCCAATGGCACGGGTCAAACGCTGGGTGCCACCAGCACCGGGAATCGTGCCCAATGCAATCTCTGGCTGACCAAACTTGGCTTTCTCCCCCGCATAGATAATGTCGCACATCATGGCCAGCTCACAGCCACCGCCCAGCGCATACCCGTTGACAGCGGCAATGATGGGCTTCTGGGTGCGTGCCACTTCCGTCCAGTCGTTGAGGAAGTTGCCCTGAATGCACTGCGAGTAGGTGTTGGGTGCCATCTCCTTGATATCGGCGCCAGCAGCGAATGCCTTCTCGCTGCCAGTCAACACAATGGCGGCGATGTTCTTATCCTTGCCATAGCTCTTCAGGGCGGTGGACAGCTCCATCATCAGGCCATTGCACAAAGCATTCAGAGCCTTGGGACGGTTCAAGGTGATAACAGCAACATTTTGCTTCTCTCCCGTGACCTCAGTTTTAATGTATTCCCAGCTGCTGTTCGCTGTGTGAGTGAGAAAGAGATAGCAAACCCAAATTGATATCACAAAACTTACGTAATCGTTGTTTCTTCTTTTCTGCATATTTAGACAACAATCAATTTTGAAATAAGATAAGTTCTTATACTACTAAAATACTATTTTACGTGTTATATATAAAGTGGACTTTGACCTGCAAATTAACTGTTTTTTTTTTATACTCACAGCTGGCGAAGCGGGTGGCAACTTGTGGCTGGCGGGCGGCAGCCTGGACCAAGCTTTGTGCACGCACAGTAAACAGTTTTGCAATGTTGGCCATCTCTAACACCTGTTTTTTTTTTCAATTACAAGTTATTTAACTAAGCAGCGTATAGAATTTGCAGGTTGATACTTACGATCAGAACGCTGGAGCAGGAGTGTGTAGAATGCGATCGTGCGATGCTTGAAGCCGGTTGGAATTGGTGATGGACCAACACAGCGTCAAAGAATAATCGAAGTCCGCTAATACGCAATGCGTACGTCATAATTGACCATCATTTATTTGAATAATTAATTTGCATTTTAATGTGTAAATGAAGAAGTTACACAGAAAACAGGTCGAACTCAATTCAAGTCCGGTAATATTCTAGTTTACCATGCGGTGAACTATCGATATACTAAACGATTTTAATGCTCACATGCAAAGTTGATTTCGATTCCTTCAACGCATTATAAATTAGCCGCTTATTTTTAAATAGCCATAAAGTTCGTTTTTCGATTTGTTAAATCAGAAGTCAATATCAAAGCCGTTGTAATTCATATAAATTTATTTGTCGTCTCCAAAGACTTGTTCAGTGTATTTATTATACAAAATATATGTAATACAAATATAATATTCATTATCAAAAGAGGTGTATTTGTAATCATGAGATTTATGAAAAGGTAATCAAAATAAAGCTGCTATGTATTAAACAGCATTTGAATAAGGTTTATAATTACATTCAAGAACTCTATAAATTTAACACTTTCGATAAGTGCAACAAAAGAAAAAAATTGAAATACTTTGATGTTGAATTTAAGTAAACACGCCAGCGATGCATGAGAAAATGTGGACGGATGTTGATCTCACTTCTTGTGCGCAGAAATGGGCGGAGTGGCATAAAACTTGCGCTTCTTCATGGTGCCCTTGAGTGGCGTGGCTACAAAAACAGGATAATCAAAATAAGCAATCAATATTAAATATTATATAAATTCGTGTAAATACCGTAAAGCGAAAACAAATCCCTATTGTTGCTGGGCGCACGCTTGACGGCGCTGCTCGGCAGTGGCGATGGCTCCACGGCGAGATACTTCTGCCAAAAAGTCCCCGGCAGTTCCAGCAACGACTTAATCACCTGCGACTGTGTAAAGGCTTCCGTGTAGAGGGCATGCTGATCCGGATCCCGCGATGAATAACCCATAATTGTCGGTCCAAATATCTTGGATATATTATCGATGGGCATCATTACCACCGGGCAATCTGCAATGCGCTGAAAGTGCAACATGAGAAAGGCCATTGTATCGCGATTGGCAGGCGGCATTTGCTCCACCGCCTTGTACAATAATTGCTCGGCCAGTTTGTTATCTGGATTTTGGACCGCATTGGCAAAGTCCTTCCACTGGCTGGTTGGTATCAGTGGTTCGCGCAACGTGCGCAAGAAATCCTTCACACAGCAGCACAGCACATAAATGTCCGTGTTGCCCAAATGTGGTGTCACCTTGCCACGCAAAAACTGCTCCTTGAGCGCCTTATACTCCCGCTCCGACGACGACATACGATACAGACCAACCTCGGTGAGGCCACGTGCCTCAATCTCATTCACACAGTGCACAATCAGTGCGGGTATCATTGGTGCAATCGTTGGCGCAAAGTCACTCAGATAGTGCATCTCCGTCTTGGCCGTCGGAGTGCCCGATTGCGGCACACAGGCGACAGTCAGCAGAAAGCGACAGTCGATGTGACAGCGAACGGGACAATCGCGACATCGCAAACCCACAGATCCAAAGCGAATCCTATTAGAAATTATCATAATATTTACATAAGTAGAATATCTTAAAATATCATATTTGTAATTTTTTACTGTACCGTTTCTGGCACTGGACACAGTTGTCTCCGCGTAGAAAGGTCTTCTGGCTGAAGCTGTGCTTGCGCATTAAAAGACGATTCTGTGCCGGCGACGAGCCCATTGCCATGGGATTGTGTGGTGTTTGTGGTGGCGCCGTTGGTTCCTTTACAGTAGAGCGACGCTGTGGCGTTGAAGAACTCTGGACCTCGGCTGGAATGTGCACCTGGGCAATAGGGCCGGGCAGCGATTGAATTGTGGACTCGGCTCGAATGATACCTTGGCCATCCTGAGGTATTGTCACCTTGGTGGTGGCACAAAAGCGCTCGGCTCCCTGACCCACATCCAATGTGTGCTGATCCACGCGACCGCCGGAGCGACGCGATGTCATCGTTGGTGTGCCAATGTTGCTGTTGTTGTGACCACCGCCGCTCAAGCGGGAACGCTTGTTTCCTACACACGGTACCGGATTCTTGGGCAACGACGGACGATGCTCATACCACGACTTCGAGCGACGCACATCAAGAAAATCATCCTCTGAGTGTGTGATAGATAAATCCGACAGCAACGAACCTGTCGAATTGATGTCCCCATACGACTTATCCTCGTGCAGGGTATTCAGAGATTTACGCTTGCGCGTCGCTCCCGACGGCAGCGTATTCAAGAAGGCCAACTTATCACGCGTCTCATTGTTCAAATTGCGCTCGTGTCGCAGCAGATCAGCTACGGCCATTATTTTGTGCTCCATCGCGTCGCGTTCGTGCTCCGCCTGGCGACGTGACTTGATCTCTGTGTCGATGATGCGGCGTGCATGATACAACTTCCCCTCTAGATCGCCCATCTTGGCCAGCGATTTATCCAGCTCCGTTTGCAAACGCGCATTTTGTGTCGCATAACCGTGGCATTTATCATTGTACTGCTCGAACAGGCGCAGGAAGCGAAGAAACTCTAAATCATAATTGAATTATAGTATTTTTATAGTTTCTTTTAAGGAGCACCTAAGAAAACTCACCCTCCTCGGCATTGCCATCCATCATCACCTGCATGCAGCGTCGCAGATCATCAAACGACGCCAACACGGAGAGCGTCATTTTAATTAATTATAGATATAATACTATTGCGCTGCTGCTATTTTCTGTGTATTACGATGTTCTCTTCTTTAATACACACTTTTCCACAATATTTAGTCAGATATAGTCTTATTTCCAGCAATAAATACGGCAAAGAGGAAGCACGCTACAAAAGGAACGCGACTTTTTCGTTGGGAGTGCCGTTGTTTCAAATATTTTATCTAGATATGTGCGACAAGCGATAGTCTTAGTATCGTACAAAATTAGAGTTGCTCATGTCTGAGCGATGATTGTAAACGTCTCACCACTATCGCTTGGGATATGGTATTTTTTAGTGCATTTTGAGAAAAAGATTTGCCGCTTTCAGAATTTGGATTGGTCAAAAAGATGTCGGTTGCCTCGCCCCCAAATCCCTCGCTGGCCTTGCAGAGCAAACGTTGGAATGGCCTGCGCCACGTCCTGGAGCGTGAGGGACTCTTTTGCAAGGATGACTTCACCCCGTCGCCGGACAATTTGGAATTCCTTCAGACCAAGTGCAAGGTGCTCATCATTGGTGCCGGCGGCTTGGGCTGTGAGCTGCTCAAGGATCTTGCACTGATGGGTTTCGGTGATTTGCACGTGATCGACATGGACATCATCGAACTATCCAATCTAAACCGCCAGTTCCTGTTCCGGCGCACAGATATTGGTGCCTCGAAAGCGGAATGCGCTGCTCGCTTCATCAATAATCGAGTGCCAACTTGTAAGGTGACGCCGCACTTTTGCAAGATCCAGGACTTTGATGAGTCCTTCTATCAGAAGTTCCACATCATTGTCTGCGGACTGGACTCGATTGTCGCGCGGCGCTGGATCAACGGCATGCTGCTCTCCATGCTCCGTTACGAAGAGGATAACAGCATCGATGTCGCCTCGATTATACCCATGATTGATGGCGGCACCGAGGGCTTTAAGGGCAATGCACGCGTCATCTTGCCCGGCTTTACGGCTTGCATTGAATGCACCTTGGATCTGTTTCCGCCCCAGGTGAATTATCCACTGTGCACCATTGCGAATACGCCGCGACTCCCGGAGCACTGCGTCGAGTATGTGAAGCTGATACAGTGGGACAAGGAGAGTCCATTTGGTGCGCCACTCGACGGCGACGATCCGCAGCACATTGCCTGGATCTATGAGCGTGCCCAGGAACGGGCGAACCAGTTCAACATAAGTGGAATCACCTATCGCCTCGTGCAGGGAGTGATAAAGCATATCATTCCAGCTGTAGCCAGCACCAATGCTGTCATCGCTGCCGCCTGTGCCATGGAGGTGTTTAAGCTGGCCACCAGCTGCTACGATAGCATGGCCAACTATTTCAACTTCAACGATCTCGACGGCATCTATAGCTACACCTACGAGGCGGAGAAGTCCGACAGCTGTTTAGCCTGCAGCAATGCGCCACAGTTGCTGACTATTGAGGATCCCAATACGACGACGCTGGAGGATGTCATCAAGGAGCTGTGCGAACTGCCTCGATTCCAGCTCAAAAGTCCGGCGCTGACAACCGTCATGGCCGATGGCAAGCAGCGCACTCTTTACTTGGCCAGCGTGAAGAGCATCGAGGAGGCCACACGCAAGAATCTGACGCAGTCTTTGGGCGAACTTGGCCTACAGGATGGTCAGCAGCTGACCATCACCGATGTCACATCACCAACGGCCATCACCATTCAGCTGAAGTATCAAGCCAATGAGATTGAGATGTCATAAAATGTACACTTAGAACAAAAACTCAAAATAAAACAGATTTAATCTGGATTGTACATTTTGTATGTATTTTTTACCAAATCAGAAAAAGCAGTTTTATGGCTGAAATTTCACATGGATAACAAAGAAGATAACGAATGGATCACATTCAACAGCTCATGTTCAGGATGAACTTCTTGCCCGTGAAGCCCTTGAAATTGAGCGAAGCGGCTGTTGCATTTTTGAACTGATCCAGTGGCACCATTTCATGCGTTGGAGCAATAAATTTGCCTTGAACCATCAGCTGGCAGAGATCTTGGAACATCTGCTTGCGCTCCGGCGTGTTGTAGTGCTCTTTGGACCAGCGTGTCATCCAAAAACCCCTAAATGCAATGTCCTTGAAGATTAGTGGACCGGTAGCGACAGTTACTGGTTCGCGAGACATGCCACCGTAGGTGACCACAACGCCGCCGTTGTCCAAATGACGGGACACCTCCGTCGCACTCTTGCCGCCCACACAATTGAAGGCGAGCTTGGGCCGCTTGAGTTGGCCCGACTTGAAGATGTCGCTGGTGCGCAACTCCTCCTCGGTGAGCACAGCAGTGGCGCCCAGGCATTCGAGTAACTGCTTCAGTTCGCCAATCTCTGGGCGATTGCGCACAATGCCTACACTATTGATGCCCCAAGCGCGGCACAGTTGGTGCACCGCCTGACCAACCGCACTGTTGGCTCCATTCTGTATCACAGTGTCGCCCGGCGATAGCTGCACAAAGTCCTTGAGCATGCGATATGCGGTACAGGGATTTACGGTAATTGTTGCCGCCTCCGCTAAGCCAACTTTATTGGATATCGCCAGCAATTGATCCTCATTGTAGACAGCGTGTGTTGCCCAGGTGCCCAATCCGGTGGCTAGCGGCACCACATGCTCACCCGGCTGCAAATCCTTCACCTCCTTGCCCACACACACCACTTCGCCGACAAACTCATTGCCAGCTATTGCCGGAAATTTGGGTTTCACGGGATATTTGCCTGCAATTCAACGTTTCTTTTCTTTATGTAATAATAATTTATGTTTACTTTCACAGTAGACTTGCCTTGTATGGTGTTGATGTCAGCGGGATTGATGGGAGCGGCCAGAATTTTGACCAGCACCTGTTTGTCCTGCGGATCCGCCAGTTTATCCTCCACCAATTTCAACACATCTTGCGGCTCACCGTGCTGTGTGTATTTCAGTGATTTGGCCACAACGGACATCTGCCGGCACAGCTGTGAGGGACGTGTCCAACTGGACAATGTTTTACGCAACATTTTTGTTGTGTTCGTTTTGTTGTCTGAACAATTGAATAATTGTCAATAGTATTTGTTTTGTTTTTACACCTGCACAGCTGTTTCCACCTGTCAGCTTTGCAATTTAAAATATTGACGTTTATCGATTATCTAAATAAGGATTAGCGGGACATCTCCGGCGAGCCAATACTCTACTTAGGGATGGGTTTACCCTTGCCAGCCCACTATACAATAACACAACACTACACAAATCTACACATCACTAGAAACAGCTGACTGGAAATTGAATTCGAACAGTGGCGATAATAAACACTCGAAACACCAAAAAATAACTAAATCATAATAAATAAATATTTTGATTTTACTTAAATTAATATTTCACCCATTCGCACACGGTTTTTAAATTGTTTCCACACACACTTCTGGATCTATTATCTTTCTAATCTCGACTTCCGGCTTTCCTTAACCTCTAAAAACTATTCAGTTATACAAATAACCAAATTCTCTCCTGATCATGGCCGTTATTTGAAGCTGACAACTCCCCTATGCGATGACCAATAGGTGGCGTTGCTGTTATAGCCCTCCCAACGATAGATGGCGCCATCGACATAAGGTTTCCACTGCAACATCAATGCACATTTTTTGTTCTTTTATTTAATGTTATTAAAAACATATTGCAATTTTAACAACTCTCTAAGAAATAACAAATATGCAATGAAATTATTTGGTGTGACCGTACTGTTTCGCCAATACTCAAAACCGACCTTTGCGCGCCAAGAAGCTAAAGTTTAAAAGTCAACAACGTTATGTCTTCCACTAATTGCACTGAGCGGGCAATCACGCAACTTCCGGCTTCCGGTTCCGTTGCAGCCCCCAAGGCAGTGCCGGTGTTTTGGCTTTAGCAACCACATGCGGTTGGTTGCCGCCACTAATATTCCATTAGCATTAAATGCAAATCTGTTTTTGCGTGACATGGCGATTGCAACACTCATAAAAGTGTAAAATTAAAACCTAAACGTCCTTCCGTTATTTGAGAATAATATCTAGTCTGACTTTTGACTTTTAACGCATTTCTTCCATTTCTATAATTGTAAGTGTTTGCAGAAACGCCACCGCATTGACAATTATCATAATTTACGTTTCGTTTTGCAAAATCAACAGGAATCAATAAGTAAGCGACGTCTGAAAGAAAACTTCATGTCTATAACCCATTCCAGGTTCCACTTCTTCCCCCCACACACCGCCTTCCCCTGCCACCCCTCTGCCATTAATGCCATAATTATCCTTGCGGGAGTCGCTACCCTGTATGAGGTATATTCATTTTGTTACATAACACAGAAATCTAATGTTGAAATAATATAGTTTTTCAACTGTAACTGTAATCGAATTGATAATTTCCTAGTTGATAATTAAATTGGATTTTGTGTACCCATCTTAATCAGTGTTTCACAAGTCGGGCATTCGCTACAATATGGCACCCTTTGTTTTTATTTGCATTTATTGTTGCTGTAAAAGACGTTGCCCCGGGTTCTCATAAGCTAGTCAAATACAGAACCCTCTGCTCCCCATGAGGTCCTTCCCCTCTTGCCAACGGGCAGGAAACGAAAAAATCCAATAAAATAAATGTATGTGTGAACTGTATTCGTTGTTGGTCGCGTGCAGCACTTTAGTTCTTGGCTAGCATGTGGCTCCGTCCCAGGTTTCAGTTAACATTTAGCATTCGAGCTTGCCGGATTTGTCCAGTGCGAAGCGGAGTTTTGTGCCCTTATTCATTGCTAGCGAAATGTCCACGCCACGTAGTCAACAACTTAATCCACGCGCCAACGTCTTCATATTGGTCAACCTGGGCTGTGAGGCATTGTACGTAATTGACCAGCGTTTGAAGGCACAACAAATTTCCACCGAACAATGTGTGCAAGGTGAGTGCGAGGGGGGATGGGGGTGCCCCCATTTTTTTTATTAATCGTCTGGTCATTTGTCTAGTTATACACGATGTGACGACCGTGCTGCTGGAACCAAAATTTCTGGAGTCCATCATCAATGGGTCGATGCATAGCAATGCCCAACTGCTGACGGCGGATCAGTGCAAGTTTATGGTCAATGATATTGCAACGTGTTCGGTGATGCGTCTGGACGAGTTGTCCATGGAGAAGCTGTGGAATCTGATGACCATGGTGTACAAGTGGCAATTGTTTGTCTCCCGACACCAACATCATTTGCTGGACATCACCATTCGGCACTTGGATGGCATCAGCAAACTGTATCCGGATGCAAAGCGACATATGCTGATTGATTTCAGCAAGAATACATTGTTGGATTTCTGGAATGCTTGCGGCGAGGAGCAACAGCTGTCCATTTATCGGAGCAACAAGGCCTGGCTGCAGTGCTTCAATGTGAAGATATCGCTGCTGATACGTCTTGGCTTTCAGGCTTTAGACGGTAGTTTCTTGCCTGTTTTAGATCATGGTCTTTACAAGGACTACGTGCAATGCATTGGCGACAATATCTTTGTCATAAGCAACAAGCAGCAGCAGCAACAGCAACAACAGCAGCGTGAACCCAATCGCATGGATCAGTTGGCGGCACAGTTGAGCGTTGGCCAGACGTCGAGCAGTGCTGGCGAGGATTTGCAGGCCATGGATGCGAATCAGCTGCAGAAACAAATCGAGCAAACATTTTCGCATATTTTATTTCCCGATTTTGATAACAATGCGGCGGCAGCAGCAGGAGCAACAGCAACAACAGCCACATCTCAAGTGCAACGCCATTCTGGCTGTGAATTTGTTCAGCTGAGTAATGTGGATGAGCAGCAGTTGGCCAATCCACCTAGTCGCAGTGCTGGCACAGGATCGTCACTCAATCAGCAGCTTCTCGATCTGTACAGCAAAATTAACTGAAAATTGACTGTGAAGTGTGAAATAAAGTGTGGCGCCATCTAGCGTCAAGTAAGAGCAGCATAGGCATCTAATGCATAATTAAAAAATATTGTATTTGTTTGTAAAATAATTACAAAAAAGTGTTTTCTTTTTCTCTTTTCTTTAGCAGTTTCGAAGACATTGGTGATCCAAACAACATTACAAAAATTTTGAGCATGCGACCTAGTTACATTAATGTTTATATGCATAAGGCAAAGGACCTAAAAAATTCTGTATGCTTTTTTATCTCATTTTCAAGTGACACACAAATGATGATTTTGTGTGTGTGTGTGTAAGTGTAAAATTAAAAATTCACAATTTGATAAATATTAAAGAACAGTTTGATTGTGTATGTTGTGTTTGTGGTGTGTGGTGCAATTTAAATCAACAACTGCTGCAGCTGCCAAATGCGTTAAGAAACTTATGGCAACAAATTATTATTAGAGAGGGATAATTAATGCTTGCTCGTCCAGATATAATTATAGAGTTCGTCGCTGTGTTTGTCTTGGGGATGGTCTTGGGAGTGGTGGTGCTGATGGTGATGATGCTGCTGGTGCTGTTGGTGGTGGGATGGCGGGTTGTTGCGAGGCAGTCAGTGTATATGTGTGTCCCAGACACAGATTTACATTTTCGCCTTGAGCGGCACCGCATCCATCATGACATGCAGTGCCATTTTCAGGCACTCTTCGGCGGAACTGATCTGGGCGCAGGGGAAAGCGTCCGCGTATTGCGTGAGAAACTCACAATATTTCCGATAATTGTTCACCGCAAAATCATAGTTATAGGCACCCAATAATTTCATATCGGTATCATCAGTCACCAGCGGCACGCACGCCTTGTGCGGCAACTGTCTATATTTCAGATAATCCAATTCGCATGCTTCGCACTTGCAATTGAAACGATACTGCATCGAGAGCGTCTCCTGGCGCTGCTTCTTGCTGAACACAGCAAAGTGGGCGCTGCGTTGATTGGACCAAATATAAATATATATATTAAAATTCAACAGGCTGCCTCTGCTGCAATCTTACCCATAGTTATCGTAAAGCACATCGCCGGCCTTGATTGGTCGCAGGACGAATAGATAGGCGTGTACGCCCTGATTGATGCGCATGGTGTTCGGTGCACAGGAGTGATTGATGAGGGAGAGAAACGCGTAGGCGCCAGATGCGTACGACTGATCGTCCTTGGTCTCATTGGGCTGTTCGACGAGATCGATGCCATGCATATTCGATGGTGATGTCTGTAGATGTCGGAACAATAGATCCGTAAAGAAATTACGTCCATCCTCGCCGCCAAGGTACTCCTTGAGCGGCGTATACTCAATGATAAAGTGCTTGAGGACGGCACAGACAACCGAACGCTGAAAGAGATCCGATACGGAGCGTAAATGTTGATTCGTCACCAGGCCGTGGATGGCACGATAATGCTCCTGGGGCGTCAATTGCGTATAGTCCAGATCGAAGACGGACTTGTGCTGATTCTGGGGCTGATCACAGTACGCCATCAGCTCTTCAATGCTGCCATGCAAATCCAGCGCACTCAACGTCGTGCGCAACGCAATTCCATGGATTTTGTTGAACATGCGATGCAGTAGATCAATAATCGGGCATTCGTACTTGTGGAAAGTGCTGGTCGCCCGCTCCTTGCACTCCTCCGAACAGAACATGGCCGAGCAGCAGCTGTCGCAGGGTATTAGCGTTAAATAACGCTCCTCTTTGCACGTGGCACACCGAATGTAACGCATCGGCGCCAACAGGGATGAGCAGAACGGTTGCTCGATGGCAATTACATCGCCAACGACCAGATCCCGGTTCGTCACTATAAATCTGCCCTCGTCGGGCGTTTCGCGCATCTCCAGGCAATTGGCGATCGACGGCACCTGCGGATGCGATTCAAAGCTCAACTTGAACCTGTAGGGCACAATATCCGGCGGCTGTTGCTGCACCAGCTGCTGACAATCGCGCTCCCGCTTGTCCAGCTTGTGACGCAGCCGTTCCGGATAGTTGGCCTTGCGAGCCAACTCAATATTAGCCAGGCACTCCCGATACCGTTTCCACTCGAAGAAGACAGCCGATCGATTTGCATACCCAATGGACAAATGCTCCGAATTGGGTTCCGCATAGCAAATGCTCTTGTTATACAATTCCAGTGCCTGCAAATAAAAAAATATATATATATATGTGTATTTTAGAAATTTACAAATCTTAAATAGATAAATTAAAATCAATTCTTTATTTTTTGGTTACTTGCCTGAAAATATTTCCTGTTTTTTAGCGAGAATTGCTCGTTGCCAAGCATGCGAAATTCGACGCTGCGCTTATTGCATTTATTCTCGCGCAGCGACACAGTTAAGAATATCTTTTCCATGTATTTGAAGTCGATCAGGGCGTGCTCCACAAAGTTCACCTTGGAGTAGTTCTCTTTCAGCTCATTGAATTTACCCGAAATGATGGCAATCAGTTTCCAGTCGTTGAGCTTCTTCACCAGATCATCGCTCACATCGTATACATCCATTATGATTGCTGTTGCTTCTCCTCCTCTTCTTCTTGTTGATTACTTAAATTATCCTCGTGTTTGTTGTTGAATACATAAACGCACACACACATACACAAACACACACACACACACTACAAATCGTCCTCCTCGCCGTGTTTTGCTTGCAAGTCGCGTGTGTTGCGTCGCCGCCGCTGTCGCCGTCGCTGCTGCTGCCGCCGCCTGTTTTTTCACGAACCGAATATGTTTGTGTTTGTGTGTGCAGCTGTTGTGCAACTGTTGGGTTGCCTCTATCTATGGCGTTAATATGAAACTTCACAGAGAATTTTGTTCAATATACGGCTAATTTATTTATTATGCGCCGAATTCTGATTAAAATTTTAGCAGCTTAGTTCGGTCTTTTTTTTGGCGAATTCGAGTGCAGTGTGACCTCATAGCGCGAGCATAGAAAAGACGTAGTCAGCATGCCAGAAAATACCAGCAATCACGCGGTTGGTAGCGCCGCCGCAAAAGCGCCATCTAGCGCAAATAGCTGGTGATTTGCCGTTTCGCAAAGAAGTGGATAGATGTGCTCCAGCTGCATATGCACATATATAAATATTTATGTATTAAATATATTTTTAGGCCAGTGCTTTTTTTGTTTGGGTTAAATAAACAATCTCTTTAATAATATCATGTTCTAAACAATTTTTTTCTTCTATTTTGTGTTTTTTATTTACTTCTCCTCGCACCATTCGTTCTCCTTGCGAACCTGTTCCTCCTCGGCTGCTGAGAAATCGTTGGCAATGCCGAAAGTCTCGCGAATGTCCTGCAGGGATTTGCCTTTGATCATGTTCGCGCACGTCTTGCAGGTGACATCCAATAGGCCCTGGATGTTTAGATAATTGGCCGCCAGAATGAGCTCGAACAGTGTGCCCTGGTCGACTTTGAGGAAGTCGGCATCCCACGATGAAATGTCATCGGTGCGCTTTTCTTTGTTCTCATCTTCCTGTGGCTGCTGTGGTTCGTCCTGGGCATGGTAGGTGGCCCAGTGCAGCACTTTGCGCAATATCGCCGAATTCACATTGGGCAGCGGCAACACACTATTGTCACTCTCATCCCCCAAATCTTCGAGTGCCGTTTTAATCGTCTCCGAGCATTTGGCGATCTCGATATCCGTGTCAAAGATTTCCTTGTCAGCGGACTCCAAGCGAATTATTGGCATTGCTGCAAATTGCTAAAATAATATTTTTTATCGATTCACTCTTGTTTGTCAAATAATATTATTAACATACACGTTGCTCTTATTATTGATATCGAACTTTCGAGATTTTGTTATGTTTTATTGCCACCAATTGTGGAATTGTTTGTTGTAGTTTCCAAGGCACCCACTGAAAAGCTAAAAATAAGTGCTTTATTTATTTTTGCTGCCTGCGCTTTAACGTGCAATGATATTAATAACACCAATATTAACATAAGCCAAAAAAACTCAAATCTGCAAATAAAATACAGTAAAAATTGCACTAATCTGCCAAAAATCCTTGCCGTAATTTGTAAGAAAAACCAAAAATTTGTTTTTCCTGCGCTGTTGACAAAATAATGTTGCTTTTGCCGGGGTCCGCTAATGTGACCATATCTCGTGTATCCAAAAAAAGTCTTTATAACAAGAATTAGCAAGGCAATATATTTTCAAATAAATAAAAGTATTTGGGTGCCAAGAATGCATTAAAGTAAATTTATGTACAATTAATTTGGTTGGAATGGTAAGTCCAAAACGGAACAGTCTTTGGTTCAGAACAGGATATACAAAATAAATTTGAGCGACTTCGCTATAACCGTTAATGCTGTTTCCACCAATACGCTTAGTGCCTGGAAGAATAAGTCCAGCAGATACTCGTGTCCGTATGTGCGTAGGAGGTGAAACAGGAAATATGCCGATACGACCATAATCACAGGCCAGATTAGCGAGATCATCAAACGGGTTGCCCAGAGAATCACATACCAGGTGACGACGAGGAGCAGCACATAGGCGATCAGTGTGCCCATATCCGTGGGCATGCCGACATTTTTGGACACGTACTCGCTCAGAACGATCAGGAAAGGTGAGTCGCGCCAATCGCCAGATTCTTCCCACTTATTGTCATGCATTTTATTTCTATATTTAAATTCTAAAACTTGACAAACTATGTTAAATCTTATTTTGAGGTGATTTCCCAACTTAAAACTTTGTCAAAGGCCGACAAAAGATCAGCTGTTCGATGTTGAGTCGATTGAAACTAGTGTCAAAATACCCTAAATTATCGTTTGGTAATCGAAAAATACCAAGTTGCTCTGCTCACCAATTTGTTATCGAGAGCTGCTATCGCGATTAGTGAACGCACGATATCGATATTATTCAAAATTGTGCTTTTATCCACTCGAATGCTTTATCAAACTTTTGTGGGGAACCTGTGTGCGTATGCATTGAACTTGCAGCCTTCTTCTCAGAATACAGTCAATGCTCCTAGCTTAAAATAGAACTGTATCTGATGCCAAGCTTTCCAATGGAAAACAATTTCCTTTTCCTTTGAGCTCACATTCATGGCCTGGTTAAGTTACAATTACGGTTCAATGTACTTCACCTGTAGCGCTTTTGTTCTAAGCGAAAAGAAACGAAACAAAATCACACAACAAAGCCACACTACCCCTACATTTTTTATCCAGACACCAGCAAACTTTTCGACGTTTAGGAAATTGGCTGCTTCAGCTGTTTCATGTGGTTACTAAACTAAATCACGCATTTTCATTCGTTGCAGACTTATAAAAAGACAACCAAATACTTGTTTGGGTTTTATTGTAAGGCATTAATGTTAATGCGTTATTAAGTTTAAGGCAATATCAAAAGGTCATTGCTCATGGAAATCGTTTAAGTTTTGACCATGTTATGGCACTGATATTTCGAATTGTTTCTCATAACTATCTAAAATCGTAGGTCATGCCAAACACATTCTTTACTGCCGCATTTTAGTTGTTTTTGTTTTTTACTGTTATTAGAGTATTACACAGTCGGCTATGTCCGGCTGAAATATTGTCCATTTATAGAATGTATATATACATTTTTTGTGGTATATATTTACGAATCGTTGATTTTGTTTTTAACTGTAACGGTAACTGACAGCTGATCAATCTGTTGAGAGGCGTGTTGTGGGCTCGTCAGTCCCTTATGTGACACTCAATGCTGTAAGTGCTTATGTATTAAATTCTGCAGTAAGAGTTGCGAAAGGGGCAAACATGATTGCAACAGGTTTGACATATGTGCTTAGATATTTATAAGTTTTGCTTTGTTATCTCGTATGATTTTTAAATATTCAGTGGCAGTTTACTTTGTTTTGGGACAACAAATGGTAGAAAATTCATGAAAAGTGTGTGTAGAATACAAAATGAAAGGAAGCGGAGATATGCAGGCAAAAGTCAAGGAAGCTACATACACACACACACACACATGCACACCCGAGCACAAAAGGAGATATTGTAACACTTTTACGAACGTTGCAACAAAAGCCAAATATATAATACCAGGCACAACAACTACAATAATAACAACAATAACACCAGCACTAACAAGAACAAGAACAAGAGCAGCTTGTCGTTGTTTCTGCTATGTTATACAAGCAAATAAAGGCGTGACACAGTTCTTGCATTCTGAGTCCCACACACACACACATATATATACATATATATATATATATATGAATGTAGTTGCAGTAACACATTGTAGTCTCTTATTTATAGTCCTGTTGCTTTTGCTCCTTCTGTCAAAGTCAGTCAACCAGTTCAGGCATTGCAACAAAGTGACATAAGTTGCCCTTTGTCAAACGGGCCTTCTGTGCTGTTTGCATGTGCGGCAAACAGCATAGGTAAAAACCTGCTGTGCCATGAAAGTGGCATACTACGAGTTGTAGATTGTTTTTGCCACCAAATGAAGTGCTTGATAAATGAATCCTTACCACAGTTGACAACTGAAGCATAAGCAGCACTACTCCAAGATCAATTTATTAAGTAATTCAAGAAAATAGTTTTTGTTCGCTTAAATTGCTACTGGAAAACGTATACTAAGAGCTTAATGGCAAATTGTATTTAATTTAATTGAATGGAAGCAATTTATGTTTATTATGATTTTCTCAGCTTTTCATTTATATACATATATTTATAGCATTTTATCAGTCAGAAACTTTCAAGCATTTTAAATTGCTGACCAAAGATTCTACTTCGTTTTTGTAGACGATTTCATGCATCTGTCAAATTCTGATATTTATTAGAACATTCCACTTGATGTGCTTTGTGGAATTTTGGAAACACTTATAGTTTTACTTTCAGCTTGCTTTCACTTGCTTTCCATTCGTATTTGTAGCAATAGCATTTATCGGGCGACCTTTCAACTTTATGCAGTTGATGTGTCTGTCAGATTGGCAAGCATTGCACATGTTTACCGTTACTTTAGATGGCAGCAGAAACTAACCGCACAAGCTCAAGACCAAACACCCGCCCAACCTGCCCCAGATCCTGCTTGTCAAGAAGCAGGAGCCATATGCCACACTTGTCCCATGCCAGTGCTGCAACCATACAGAGGTGAGCTATAAAGTGCAGTCGGCTCCCACTCAACGCTGACCTGACCTTTCAAGCTGTGTGTGAGGTGTGTGTGTGTTGAGTGTGTGTCGCCTTGCATGCTAAAAACCATTTGATATAGTCGTGTATATTGCCGCGACACTTGATAAAAGTAATGAGCATCGACCTGGCCAAAAAGAAAAGAAAATTAGCTGTTGCGCGAAAGTGCGGCGACCAGGGAGATAAACACAAAGAGAGGGGGAGGGGGTGGGGGTGGTGGTTAGAAAATGTGGGGCAGCTCATCAAATTGCTTGGGGATCTTCTGCTGTGAGCCAGGGGAATGTGTAAAAGCAACAGGTTTCCTGCGGTTTCTGTGGTGTGTACTTTAAGTTTTAAATGTATATATATATTTAAGTAAAAGAAACTTTCCAATTTAGACAGTATTCAGAATGCTCACGCTTCGGGGCCAATTATTAAAGTAACTAAAGGATAAACAAAGCAAAGTAAAAGAAAAAGGCAACAAAAAGCGGGCAACAAAAAAAAAGAAGCGAAGAATGAACTGTTGTCTGCTTTTAGGCCGCTTTTTAAATGTCAGCGTGTAAAAAAAACTTGGACGCCTTTTACGCATTTTTAAGTTTGCGCTGCTTGCGTATAAATGAAATTATTAACAAATAAATGAAAATGCGCAGTAAAATTGAATTATATATACATAAATACACACACACACACACACAGACACACGTATATATTTATTTTTTAATATTTTCATTCAATTTTGTAGGTTTTGCCCCGTGCAGCAAACATAAATATCAAAGGTGAGAGTGTGCATCAAGAAGCCAACGAGACACTGACTGCGTATGTGTGAGAGTAGTTTATTTTTTTTCTTTACGATTTTCTGTTGTTGTCTGGATTGGATCGGAAGTACCCGGAGCGGGTGCTGGATGATGATGTGAATGTTCAGGAGGGGGGGTAAGGGGACAGACTGGTGTGCTCCGCCTGTCGTGTCAATTCAATCAACTTGCTTTCTTGCCGATTCCCCACGAGCCTCTTATGGCTGTTGGCTGCCGCTGCTGTTGCTACTGCTGTTTGGCTACACAAATGAAAATTTATTGTATATGCTTTATGCATGCGTTGATACAATATAGGGACACAACGTATATAATAAATTTTCAATTTGCTGTACAAGACACTCGACAAACTGCGTAGTTTAAAAGTGAAAAGCATTAATAAAAATATCGTATATACATATTGTAATTTGCCAAATTGAAAAAGTTTAGCCCAACAAAAGCTGAATTTTATCTGCCCTTCGTTATGCTTTGGCAGCTTGGCTTGCTTGTTGTTTTTTTTTTTTTAATAAAACAATACATTGCTCATACGCATGAGTTTGCAACTTAATTAATGTTTTTGGTGCGCTTTGTGTGGGTTTTTTTTTTGTTGCCTTCTTGCTTAAAGAGCTTAATTCTTTTACTTGGGTCCTGCTCAAAAAAGTTGTGTCTGAATAAAAAATGTAAAGTTTTTGTGTTTAATGTTTTTTTTTTTTTGCCGCTCTGCAGTGCACAAAGGGAACCCTAACCTTTCTTTATATGTGTGTGTGTGTGTGTGTGGAGGCGTTTATAAAAGCATGGCATAGGTAGCTAATATCTTGGGTATTTACCTAGATGCCGCGACTGCTCTTTGCAGCTGCCTCAGCTGCTAATGTGTCTCTCCTTTCTCTGCTTCCACTCACACTTACTAGTCATTTACATATGCGACGCAGGTAAAACTGCAGCACAGCCAGAGTAGAACAGCGGAGCGGAGCGGAGCGGAGCGG